CGCCAGATTATGCGGCAATAACTGTGCGGAAATCGTGCCATAAGTTCAAATTCAATGCCTTTCACTATACATCAATTAATTGCCTTGTTCGAGGTTACACTGGGCAGTGCGCAACTGGGCCGCAAAACGCAGTGCTGCCCAATCGTGAACCGTTCCGTCAACAACATTAGCATATGTTGGGGACAACAATTGCGGCTCTACAAATTAAACATTCAAGATGGTGTGGAGATGTCAGTCGGTTTCTCATTGATGAGGGTGACCATCTTGCATGTGGAGGATAGCACGTGCTTGCACTTACAAGGCTCTCATTGACGGAGCCTTTCTACATATTGCCTCTTGTCGCCGATATTTATTCGTCGCGGGCAACAAAGACTATGACTGATCACCTTGATGAGGCCCGGTGAGTCTCGTGTTCAGGTCTTATCAAGTTGACAGCCCACCCTAACAAGCCACAAATCGTCAATATCCCCAAACTATGATCCTTTCGACCACAGTCTACGAGTTCCATCGCGCCACCACTATCAACCCAATTTCAGCCTCGAATGTCTGGTCTGTCGGTAAATCTACCTCATAGATTCTCTTATGAAGCCTCAAAAAAGTGCTGCATTGATGAGAACGCGGCCTCGCGTCATAACACATGGTCAATGGTATAGTAAGGGGGTTCCCAAAATGGCAGTGACTAAATTAAGAGAGATAAATTGAGAAATTCAATGAGGTGTATTTGCATTCGATTGTTGTGTCTGATCGAGATTTCTCGTAATCATACCTGACTAGCTCGCAATGGGAAAGAATCAGCTGGGAGTTCCGCTGGGATGACCGATGCAAAAGAATTCGCATCCAATTCAGCAGAGCCCCAGCCTTCCTGTAATACATGTTTTGGAGGATTGGCTTGTACTATGCGATGCTTACTACTACTCGTTCTAAGGAGTCTACTCCACCGTTTCCGCCTATCAGTTCTCGCATTTCCTTTTATCAGGTATACGATAGCAATAGCACATATGCACAAGAGTGCAAGACCCCCAATAACGCCACCAACAATAATACCGATATTAGTCGTAGTGGAAGAGCTAGCTGAGCGTTCAGATGTAGTCGACGATGAAGGTGCAATACCTTCTTGGGTCGAGGATTGTGATGTGTCTGTTGACGTCACTCGTGTGCTCTGTTCTGGTGACGAAGATACGGAAAACGCAGTCGATTCTAATGTAGTTGGCGAGGGCAGACGAGAGGAGATGGTTTCCACTAGGTCGGTTGTTGGACTGACCATCAAATGATCCGTTCTAGGGGTCGGTCCACAAGCAATGTATGAATAGGTTTGATCGACTCCGAATGTCAAAAGAGCAGTCGAGCAGAAGTCTCCGTTCGTACTATTAGCCGAATGTTAAACGTCTCGTGGATGATACGAAGTAACAGCTGCAATTCATTTCATGCTTACCAAATGAATGTAATTATTCCAGGAGTTCCAACAATCCCACAACCATTAGAGCAGGTGTTGGAATCGACACAATTCCCTGCAAGGCCACAATCCGTCGCAGAAATGACAGTCGTGGGACAGAAACCCCAAAGGCCATGTTGTGTATCGATGCGGCAAACAAAACCTAAGTTCGCCGTGCGAGGCTTTGACGGATCTCCGTTAGCAAATCCACAGGTTGTCAACGAATGTTGTCTTCTTTGGGGATTTGGTGACACTAATTGTGGTGTTGCGGATATAATTGGCAAATGGACGAGGTTGTTTGCCGTTGACTGAGTGACTGTCTCGAAGATGAAGGCAGAGATGGCCTTATACCAATAGATGTAGGGAAACAAGGCTCTGACAATGTGCATCTTGAAAGCGATGGGAGAGCTCATGACAAGTCGAACAGCAATTGTTGTTGGAAATATGAAAGTATTTAGAGATAATTCTAGGTACTAAACAACTCAAAGATTTGGAAAGAAATGAAACCATCGCAGACGGAAGGAGAGCAGAAATGGAATTCATAGACGACGGCTCGGGAGGGTGAACCAACAGCACAGGGCCAAGCATGCTCGCAATGGGATGCTCTTCATTCACTCTGGCCAACCTATGGCTTCTGTGCCAACTCATAGTATACGGAGAGCCCTGCAAGTCGCAGCTTTTCTCTTATCAGTCTTTGTCTACTAAAGCCGGTAACGGGAATTGGTCGGCCTCTTCGGCGCGAAAGCATTGGCTGTCCAAGAACACCATTCTGTCGGGTTTGTCTACGACACAGCCTTAACCTTTTCCCAATCTCTTGCGCAGGTCTTCCCCCTCCAGTTTCCGAAGGCAGAATCTCAAGCGAGTTTTGTTGGTTTACTGAACAGTACCCCTGGCACTTATAAGACCAATAGAATATCGCCTTACCCCATGAAACCGTCACCCAGTTGTTGCTACCTTGCAGATAACCTTTAAGCCGGCAGCGTTCCCAAAACTTCTCCTGCATCATTGTTATCCTCAACATGGCAGAGCAGTTCACACTGTCCATGTAACAGAACCAGCGATGTTCATGTAAATATTTGGCTTTCATTCATGGCGCCGCGAAAGGTCGTCATTGCTGTGCAACTGGCCATCTTGTCGGTCGTGATCACCATTCTCATCTTCTATCATGATTTGATAGCGGAGCGATTTACCAACGTCACTAAACCGTTGCATCATATCGGTGAGCCACCTGATGCTCGGGTGTTCCATATTCTAATCAAGAACAGAGGTCCTGGGGAGTGAAGATGGCAGCCACCCAACATCCACAATTGAGGATCACTTCAAAGAAGGGACATCCGGAAAAAATAGCAACAAAACGGCTCCCGAGCCTACAATGCAGGTTCATCAAGGTTTGAACAGCACAGTACCTTTTGTGAAAGCCATCATGAATCCGGCAGATGATGAATTTCCACGACTCGAGTGTCCAATTACAGATTTGTCCCGGTATGCAGTCTTGAATGCCGAATCGACAACAGTCGAGTACTTCTTTGCCCTGGATCTTCGGCAATGTGTCGACTTACTACCGCGATTACTTGGAAGTATAGTTGATGCGATGAAATTCCTAGGCCCTCAGTCCTGCTCGTTATCAATAGTTGAAGGTAATTCTAATGACGGCACGCCCGAGGTTCTCGAAGCTATCCGCACCGAGATCGAGGCAATTGGGGCGACTTACTCGCTCCAAATTAGTGATATTGACCCATCCAAGAATGAGCGAATTCCAAAATTGGCCAAGCTGAGAAACCTAGCTCTTCAACCAATTCTTGACCAAGCCTCTCGGTATTCACTTCATACAACGGTGATTTTCCTCAACGATGTGGCCATCTGCTTGGAAGACATCTTGGAGCTAATTTATCAGCGACAACTTCTCGGTGCCGATATGACCTGCGCCATGGATTGGACTTATGTTGGACAAAATCCTACATTTTACGATATATGGATCGCGCGAACGCTAAACGGAGATTCCTTCTTCGAGATTCCCGCTGACGGGAACTGGGATTCGGCTTGGAATCTCTTTTGGAACAACCCCGAGACTAAGAGCAGATACAACCAACACCTCCCATTTCAGGTATTCTCATGTTGGAATGGAGCCGCGGTCTTTACGGCAGCCCCAATCTTTAAGAAAGCAGTTGCTTTTCGTGGTCCTGGGAAGGGCGAATGTTTTCAGGGAGAACCAGAACTCTTTTGCAAAGACATGTGGTACAATGGATATGGACGAATCGCAGTGGTACCCAGTGTCAATCTAGAATACTCGGATGAGCGTGCAAAGGATATCAAAGCATTGAAGGGGTACACATCGCACTGGCTTGGCTCGGAACAGACTGAGCAGTCCAATCCGATAATATGGCAGCCAAACCCACCCCCACAAGTGAAGTGCATGACATCTTACGATTCGCAGGAGTGGAGGCCATGGAATGAGACTTTAGCTAGAGAATAAGCACAAACTGAGTCCCTCCCACTCGCCTTCCGTGAAGTCCATCAGAACACATCAAATCGTGGCTTTCTACCTGTAACAGCTCGCTGTCTCGGGATGTCTAATACATTCGAGACAGTCGCCAGGACAGCTAGTGCTGAATTTGTCTGTAGCTTAGAAAAGGCCGCTGGTGTCTGTCTTTTCTGCTTCCCGCAACAAAAACTTCGCCGTGTATCATGTCAAAGCGACGAGTGAGATTGATCTCCGTATCCTGTCGGACAGGGGTAAACACCAATAAAGCATGTTTGCTAACCCCTACGACAATCACTTTTCACCATGATAATGTAAACTACAGACATTATTGCACTTTCTTCAGGCCGTGACTATTTCTTAGAGCTGAATGGGGGGTCTGTCTGGCTGGGCTCTTTTCATACCACAGCGCTCGCTGCAAGGGGCCTACGTCTACCATGCCGTACACCATGCGGCACAGGCGCAATCCTCCTCAACAAATGCAAAAGTCCCTGGATATACACGTGTAGAATGTCTATGCGTAAGGCTGTGCAAGATGGCTGTCTGAAGAGACATGCAGTCCAATGAAGTGAAGACCTCTCCTCAGCTTCAATTTCTCTTTCCCTCCGAAACCACCTTCTTTCGTTTCTTGTAAACCCTTTGATAGACGTTAGATCATTTGAGAAAATGAGCTCGACAAGGAACAAGAAGATACTCTTCATCACCAATGCGGAATTGGGGGAGGCCCAGGTACACTTGGCGACATGTCACACAGTCGTACAAGAGGACTCAAGTGTCGAAATTCACTTTGCAAGCTACAGAGGGATCGAAGAGGCCGTGGAACGTGCGAGCCAGTACTCTCAGAAGTGCACACTCCAATCGAAGCCTTTTAATTTCCACCAAATCCGCCCTCCGGCGTCCCCACTGTAACGGCGGAGGGGCGTGACGGAGCAGAGTGCCGGCAGTGGGGCCGGCCACCAGCTGTCGGAGAATTGACGGACCGTTCGAGAAATTTGGGTGGTACCAACCTTCCCACTACGCGACGAGGGCCTTGCGAAGAAGCTCAACAGTCGACCTACACTCCAGCTTCCTCCGCAGCCAGACTCCACCATGACGTCCACAATTGGCATCCCGATCAAGCTGCTGAACGAGGCTCAGGTGAGCATTGGATCTATCGGAACTTTGGGGCGCTCTATCGTGTACTAACATTGTTTGTAGGGCCACATTGTGACCCTGGAGATCACCTCTGGCCAGACCTACCGCGGCAAGCTCATCGAAGGTGCGTGAGACAGTTTATTCCTATATTTCTGCTTGGGCTAATTGATTGAATAGCCGAAGACAACATGAACGTGCAGCTCAAGGACATTACGGTGACGGCGCGCGATGGAAGAGTCAGCCATCTGGAGCAGGTCTACATTCGAGGCAGTCACGTTCGGTTCTTCATTGTCCCAGACATGTTGAGGTAGGTGTTTACGGTGTCGCAAATCGAAGGGCGACTGCTTGGGTACGCGGGCGACTTTGCTGACGAGATGAATAGGAATGCGCCCATGTTCCGAAGCCGCAACGTCCGTGGTCGTGGTGTGGGTTTGGCAAGAGGCAGGGCGACCGTTAGCAGGGCAAGGGCTGGTGGACGGGGAGGCAGATAGGAGATATGATTTCTGTTCTAAGCGTGACAGACGACAGGCGACATGGCAATTGTGTTTGGCGTTCGGATCAAAAGCCACGGGAAATGATGGCGGATATAGCATGATATTGGCAGGCGGCACATCGATATAGATGCTACCCGATTTTGAGGCCAGGCAGACATGCCGCTTGAGCAAGAATCGAGCGCGGCTCTAAAATAGAGTACGTATGGTCATACTCGGAAGAACCAATAGCAAACGATTGCTAACCATTTGCGCACCTTGAAGTGATAAATATTTACAATGGGAGAGCAGTGGTTTCCCTGGTATACGTTACAGGAAATGTACAAATATTATCCTCCGAGTGGATCTGTGATTACTTGAGCTTCGATAGCGCTTCCTCGGCTTTTTGAACAAGCTCTCTTGCCTTTCTCAGTTCCGTCACGCCTTCAGGTCCCTTAAGAGCACCCTTTGTAGATCTGTCAAGAACCTCGGCAACGCTAACTTCGACGGCTCTCACGGCCTTGCGGCCTTCTTCTTGTACTTCTCCCTGCCAATACTCCCGCGCTGTTTCCCATTTTGTCTGCAGCCGTCGAAGACTCCAGACAATACCCAGCGCAGCTACCGCACCGGCTTCAAAGGGACTGAAAGCAGACAAGTAGGCAAGGGCTGCTAGAGCCGTAGACAATGCAGAAGTGCTGAGCGATTGGATCATGAGCTTTTGAGCCAAAGCCTGGAGGGCTGGAATTGTTTTGTCCAGGAGGTAAGCCCGCGTAAAGCCGATATGTGTCGGCCACTTTGATTCAGCTTCCACTACGGCGGATTTTGGCGGTTCGAGACTGAGAGACTCTTCGGCTGTTGAAGCATCAGGCGCTTGCAGAATAGGTGCAGAATAAGATGGTTTGCCTGAATCTGCGAACAAGCCAGCTTCTTCAAGACGGCCGGCGAGATATATGATGTTGCGTTCCGCAAGAGGGAGAAAGCGCTGGCTGAGCATCTCTGAAGAAAGCAGCGCAACGTCATCAACACGCCAAAATAGCTTCCACCAGTTTAGTTTCCGCCAACGGCGGCTTGTGAATGCCAGATCCAGCTGATCTTGAAGCTCAGCATGTGCAGATTCGGCCCAATCTGCTAGGCCCTGATTCAAGGCTGTAAGGTCAGATGCAGAAGTTGCAGATAGAACAGAGGATAACCGATGCGCCTCTGATTCTTGGATTGATGCAAGAGCATTCTGCAAGATTGACGCAACGAGGGCCTTAACCGGCCCCTTAGTGGCACCATCACTGGTTGGAGACGTGCCGGTTTTAAGCCACTCCAGAAGCGTCGGCACGTTACTCTGGAACCACAATTGCTCATAAGTGAAAGCATTGCTCAGGCTTTCGCGGAAAGCAGCAAGCCCTTTGCTAGCAGTCTTAATGTCGACCTGTGTAAAAGGGTAGCCAGCTGCGTCTTCAGAGGGAAAGCCTGGCAGGTTGACAGCCGCAGCTATCGTGTCTCGGTACTGTAATAGTGGCATTGTTACAATGGAGGCCGCTCCCATTATGCCTTCAGTAACAATTAAAGCTTTGTGGATCGGAGTCGTGATCGGGGCGTATCTTCCCGTACTCGAGGTGGGAATGTCTACCGTAGGCACGAGAACGGCTTCCTCGAAGGCCTGAAATGCTGCATCGTTGTCTGCGTCTGCAAGCGGATTGGACTCAGTGACCAAAATCTCAAGGTTGTGTCCATTGAGAGTTGGCGACGAGATGCGGATTTCGCGCAGGAGGCTGCTGTCTTTCGCGAATGCCACTGATCCGTCTCCATCACGGATTTGCTCTGGGCCAACCCTAATAATCAGAGGCTGACCGGCGTCATGATTGCCCAATTGCTGCTCCCAGTCCTGCTCGGGCTTCAACGGGTCTGCTAACAGCAGCCTGAGCACTTCCTTTGCTATACGGCCCGAATCTGCGCCGTTCGTCAAGCCTAATATCGCGATGCGTATTGACTCGTTTCCTGCCTCCTGCTTCAAGCCGCTGAGGGCCAATTGAATTCTTGACAGATTCACATAATTTGCGGCATGCTTTTGCAGGTCTTTCAGGGCGTCTTCAAGATCTCGGCGGGGATTTGTATGTGCCAGAGCCGAAGTAGATTCGAGTCTTCGCGACACGAGATTTCTGCGCCTGGTCTTTGGTGTCGCGCTAGTCGGTCGCGAACATAGCGAACAGAAGAGGCATAGTTGTGGTTGAGGATTCGATATGAGACTCGCAAATGCCTTGGTGCGGCCGGCAGCTGGCCGCAAAGTGAGTCGTGGTGACATGGCTGCCGTTGAGTCTATGAGGAGGACCTGAGCAGGATATCACAGGAAGCTTTGAGTGTCGCTAAGAGAGCTGTAATTCAGAGCTTGGTTTTGCCGGCAAAGAGCCGGCAGCTTTAGTGGGTGAGCCCTGGGACGTCACTACCTAACTACATCGCTCAGTCTGCCCCACGCTATTCCGGATACATCCGCTCCCGGAACCAACCCACCATACCTACGTCTACTGAACACTCGTATACCCTTTCTCGTGAATCCGATACTTGAGACTTTGAAGACTCTGGCCTGCAAGCTCTAGATCCTCCGAAATGTCGCAGTCGACTGCACACCGCCGGCTCCTCCAGGAGTATCGGGCGTTGACGAACAATCCGCCTGAGGGCATCACCGCCGGTCCCGTCTCCGAAGATGATCTGCTACACTGGGAGGCGCTGATCCAGGGCCCCGAGGGCACCCCGTTCGAGGGCGGCGTTTTCCCTGCCGAGTTACGCTTCCCCAAAGACTACCCGCTCGCTCCACCAACAATGAAGTTTCTGGGGGAGATTTGGCATCCCAATGGTATGTTCACACATCCAGGCATCCAAAAGCAACAGCTCGACTGACGTTCACATGCAGTGTACCCCAGTGGCCTGGTCTGCATCTCTATTCTACATCCACCCGGCGACGACCCGAACCACTACGAGCACGCATCCGAGCGTTGGTCGCCGATTCAGTCAGTGGAGAAGATCTTGATCTCGGTGATGAGTATGCTTGCGGAGCCGAACGACGAAAGTCCTGCGAATGTCGAAGCGGCGAAGATGTGGCGCGAGCGGAGGGGCGAGTACGAGCAGAAGGTCCGAGATGGCGTCAGGCATATGTTGGGACTCTAGAATCCCGAAATATGAAGTCCATTCTGGCGAGCAACATATGATGCTCCAACTGCAGGTTCAATAGGTACATCAGAGCAGACGAGATTCGTGATCGCTCACATATGCATAGCGTGGAGTTTTAGGTAATACACTTTAGCAACGCTTCTCTATGGGTTGGGTATTCATTGTGTCTACATGCTTCTTCTACGCTCATTCTTCGTGACTTCATAGACCGAATGGCCAGGCTACAGACCGTTCTCAGCTTTAAACTTATCCCAGCTCTCATTCAATGTCGCAAATACAGTCCCTGCAATCATTCGGATCTCTGTGTTTGCGTCTTGTGGAAGCTGAGTGAAACAGTTAGCAAAAGAGTCTGCGTCTTCTCGGTTTAAGTGACAAGCTTACCTTATCTGGGTGTGTCTTGCTGATGGCCTTCATGTAGACGATCTTCACTTTGTTGGCCATCACAAGTTCATGTAACCCGACTTTCTTCCATCCGCTGTTCTCCCACAAGACCTGGTCCAGGCTGCCCAACAGGGCTCGAAGATTATCCCTCTTGCCATCGCGCCATGCAGCAATGCGGGCATCAACCTTGTCGACCAGCGCAAACTTCTCATCGTCTGCCTTTGCAGCCGCTTGATTCGCAGCACGGAGCCTCTCGACAGCTTCAGAGTCCTTCTGAAGAAGCGACGGAGCTGTACGTCTTGTAGCGGGCCGAGCAGTCGGTGTAGTTGTCCTTGATCTGGCAGCCGGCGTCGGCGGTTTAGAGGCAGGCTTTGGAGCAAGTGCCTTTTGACATCGCTGACGGCCTGCGAGAGCTGTAGGACCGCCAACACCACTCTCAATGCAAATTGTCCAGACGGCGCCAGCATCTGCCCACTTCTCCATCTGCTCCAATGCCTCGGCTTTTCGGGTCAACGCTTTCCCAAAGAGATCCTTCATATCTCGCTTCTCGCCGCTCTCATCTTGCAGCTGAACGTGTTCGCCCTCGCCCTTGCCAGGCCCAATAAGCGTGATCGCCGCGTCTGCATCCTCGACAGCTTGGCGCGGCTCACCAGTCTTGAGAGCTGTCAAGGCTCTATTGCAGAGCAGAAGAATCGCCAAGGGATGCTCGCGAGGTATAGCCGCGAGGGATGAAGAATAGGAGCTGTGCGCTGCTGCATAATCTCCACGTTTGAAATGTGCTGTACCATCCAACCGGTGGCGAGTCGAAGTCTGCAGAGCCGCGGGCTGGATTGATGGTATTTGACGAACTGGGCGGGGTGTTGGAGTCTTTCTGGGAGGCGGTGGGTGCGAGGCTACCTTGTTTGAAGCCGGCGATGGTTGGAACTGTCTTTGTGGATTAGTAGACTTAGAGGGAGCTTGAGAGTTGAACAGAAGATCAGGTTCTTCTGAGGGCTGAGGCCTTGAATCGACCGGTGGCTGTGCAGCAGGTTTCTTCCTTCGAGCCGGACTGACATAGGCCTGGGGCTCTTCAGCCGAGAGTTTACTCAGTCGAACTCTAGGGTCTAATAGTGAGGGTTGTGGCTGTTGTTGCTGCCATCTAGGGGCGGAACTGCTCCGAGTAGATGATCCTGTTGACAGGGCTGGAGACTGGTCACGCGTAGCCGCCCTTTGCTCACTACGAGACTGCGGAGCGAGATGACTTCTGACGGGGCGAGAGTTTGCCTCAAGCGCCATGGCCTCATCTGTTACATCAATGTGGCGTTTTTCTCCTTCGCCTGGTGTTCTCTCTTGCTGTATCGACCTCATCCATTTCGGCTGGCTAGGATCACCTTCTGGCTGTTGAAACTCAGCGACCGCCTTTTGCATCCTTTTCTGCCCAGTTTTCCACAGTGAATTCGCGGTCTTGAGAAAACTTGTCCCCACAGCCGCCGCTGTCTTTGCAAAGTCAGGCTCTCCGCTAGCAGGTGAACCGTTATCCCGCCTGTTCGGAGGCCCTTCACTCATCCAGGCCGGGCTGGCGTTCCTATCTCTTTCAGATGGAACCTCGGTCCGGGTTGAAGCTTCTCTGCTCGCGCCCCTGCCCCCCTTTGCCTTCTCTTTCGACTGCCGGTGTGCATCATCAAGTAACCAGTTCACTGCAGCCTGTACATTCAAGCCGGCGCCGCTTTCTGTTAGACCCCGTCTGGCGTTCTCTGGCGTGAATCCATAATCCACAAGCTGTGCTACCGCTTTGTCAAAGGGGTCCTGACTCCCAGCTGGGACAGCATCCTCGTCGGCTGAATCCGAATCTGATCCTTCGATGGGCTTTCCTGGCTCTGGTTCTTGCGGCCGCCGCTGTGGCGGTTGCTGCTTCCGCTTGATCTGGTCGACTGGCTTTCCTAGGTCGCCCAGGAGGTCATCGTCCTCCTCGTCACCCTCTGAGGTTTGTGGAGCTGGGCGACTGCTAGTAGGCTTCATCTGGTTGAGACCAAATGGGTCATCGTCGTCGTCACCAAGGCCTCCGCCGTTAGGAGCAGAAGGTTTTGTCCAGGCGCTTGGATCATTGAGATTCAGCGCTGGCGTAGACTTCCCAGAGGCAAGCTGCGGCGGGGGGTAGTGACTCGCGTTGTCTACCTTGGTGTCGGCATTGAACGCAGCGAATAGGTCGTCATCGGATCCCGGCTTAGCATTCTGTGCATTAGGCGTGGAAACCGGAGGAGGGATAGCGGGGGACGCTGTCCTCGAACCCGTCCCTGATCGCTGGCCCAGAGTGTCCCAGAACTGCCCATCGCCAAAATTTGCTTGCGCCTGTTTGCGCTTTTCTTCTTCTTTCCTCCTCTTTTCGGCCTCGAGCTGTTCTTGACGTTCTCGCAAGCTCAGGTTTGCAGTGTTCTTGTGAGAGCCAATGTTCATAAGGTTGCTGAAGGCATCTTGGGACGGTTTGGCTGGCGGCGGCTTGGAGCCAATGTTGCCTGAGGCTTGAGAGGACAAGGGCGTGTTACGCCCCGAGGTGAGGGGTGACGGTGTCGGCCGGAGCGAAGGGTAGGAGAAGGCACTCGAAGAGTTCATCGGCGGCGGTTTCGATGTTTTGCTGGTAGACGACCAGTCCAACCCGGAAAGGTCGTCCATCGTTGCAGATGACGAGAAGCAGAAATCTTTATCTTTTTGAAAGAAAATACAGTGCCATCAATTCTCGAATCCAGAGTTCATCCACTACCACATATCCAGGGTTGCTCAGTATTGCATAACAGATTAATACTCCTTTCCTAGTCGATAGCTTCCCCAAGCACGTTGTCGTAACATGTGGCTTAAGATTCTGTGGCTGAAGTGGCATATGTGGCGTCGCCTCTCCACGTGCTTAGCTGCTAAACACAGACCCGGCTACTGATCTCTTTCAGGAAGAAGTGTCTCGGTGAACGAGCCTGTCACTGTTCAATGATCCATTATTTGAACCATTATTTGAAATTACAGGCCTCAAGTGAAGACGCTCAGGATCATGTCTAACTGTATAGATTTCTTCCCCCGATCTTGTAAAAACAAAACTCTGTAAACAAGTTCATATTCAATAACCCGCGTGGTTCACTTGACAGATAACTATGCAGGATGTTTTGTACAGTAGTCTAAGTGGTTCCCGTGGTGCAGAGAATAGTTCATGACCTGTCCGACAAAATCTGTATGTAATGCTGGAAATTAACGCTGAAATAGACTTATTTCGAAAAGTTCATCTAGCTTCAAGGCCTGATCATAAATACCTGTACAAATGGCCTATTAGTGTGTAAGGACTTGACATGTTGGTTTACCATAAGTTCCCTCTAACACTCATCATTCCTGTGGTCGGATTCTGAAGGAAGCTTGTTCGATGATCAAACAGGAGAAGCTCATCTCCCCTTGCCTATCCCATAGGGGCGGTCTCCTCCACATTGAATACGTAATGACAAACGGTTGTTCCCGAACCAGCCACTACTTCTGTCATTTCGGGCAGTTTACACAGCTCTCAGCTCGATTGTCTCTTCAACGTCATCACACTCAAAAAGTGCAGGTGGTGACGAAGGTCTCCTCCATGCAGCAGATAAGTCGTTCAGCAAACGGCGATGATCTTTTCGTTGAACAGGAATTTCACATCCCGTCCAGCCGCCGAATTGTTTGCTTTTGGGGCCCCATCACACAGGAGTCAGGAGTCAGGAGTCTGTCCCTGACTCGACGCAGCTGAGAAGGAATGTTATTGACACCTGCTCAACATTTCGCTGCCCAGCAACATCGATAATTGACAAACTAAATGAGTAGTGCTCATATAGACAGTAGCCGACAACAATTTCAACCGGTAAGCTTCATACAATCTCGCTCGTTATGCTGCTCTCGAGAATAGCATCACTTGTTGCCCAGAATAGGGAGGCGAGTGCTCTGACGAGGTGAGACTGTGGCACAAGCCACGCTGTACCGTCAAGCACACTTTTAGAAGCGTGGGATTTAACCCTTCGGTTCGGGCGCTCCAGCCATTCATTCCTAAGGGTGTTGGAGGGGCACAAGAATAGCTGGGGGTTAGGCGCAGGCCATGCATGTTGGTCGAGGGTAAAGGGGGCGATTGTGTAAGGTGATTGGCCAGATGAAGTGCCTGAAACACGTTTCAAGACCTTCCATTGGGGATCGAGCCCCTGCGCTATCCCTGGCGTGCCTTGCAGCTTAACAGCCGCCCCTGGCTTTAATTGGGCTTGCAGCTTTTGTGGTCTTTCCCCTTTGTCAAAATCTTTGGCAGCAAACGCAGATTCACGGCCAGACAGCTTGTCAGCTGGCGTCTTTTCGCAGCCAATCGACCAAGATAGCACGACCGGTTTGTATGACAGGCATAAGAGACACGTTCTGCTTGCCGCGCATGTCTGTCTGCACTCATCGGGCCAGAACGAACGTGCAAGCCACGATGTGTGACGCTAATGGTGCCACGAAGGACAACTGGCCGGCCACAGAGGGTGAGGGTGATGAGGAAGGGAGCACCATTTCTTCTCGTCGTGATCAGGAGACCCCCCATCCTGGGCACTTCACTGGCGGCGTGTCAAGGAGTTCCGCATCCTTCAGCGCGGCGGGTGAATTGGAGCTCTCGCCGTGTCTGTGGCGTTCTCTGCGCGACTGGAATGCGAGCGTCGTGCCGAGTAACGGCATGTGCCCTTAATAGCCTCTCTTGCCTATTGTCCATTGCGTTGCCGAAGGACTGCACTGACGGGCCCCCAAGCGGCGGTGCAGGCTTTTGGAATTCATAAACTGGTATGGGATATCCTCTTTGTGCTTCCAAATAGCGTCTGCCGTTCTGCAGATCTCCCCTGTAGATTCTGCTTATCCCTATTCGCCCTCCGGCAATTGCTCCAATGAGGGCGGCAACGTGCGTGCCCAAGCCTCTGTGCCCCCAGCTCCTTCTCCATAACACACCGCTGCGACGGCTGAGGATGACGAGTGTGTCTGCCAGGGCCCGAGAGAGGTGCAGATTTTCGGATGGAAAAAGGCGACAAGTCGTCTGCGATCGTTGCCGGTAGGCGTGTCCCGACGAGGTAGATGAGGGCCGAGGAGTTGCTGTACCTGTACTCTATCTGTACCTGCAGGACATGATCGCCCACTAAGATGCGCACAGCCAACAGATCCCCGGTCTGGCAACCCAGTTTCTGTGCCACCTCCCACCTTTTCCAAACGGCTCTAGTGAGCCTTGGACTGCACCCTTAATCTACCTCGTGTACACCAGCTTTCCCCGTTGGCTGTGGCTGACAAGGTGCTCCCTTGCCCCTGTATGAGTTGCACAGAAGTCCAGGTGAGTACAGCATGGGGATCTGGCCTGGTAAAGTGATCGCTTGGCAGCGTGCCTCCGCTCCGCTCGGGTCCCCGGCCACCCCCCTCCCCCAAGTGTGAGTGAGTCTGCAATGGAATGAATATCTTCAGCCCATGTCTCTCCTTCGCTATCCTTTGACGTGTTTCGTTCGTTCTCCCTCCCTTGGCGAGATTCACTCAACGCGCCTCCGCGGTGTTCGCTTCGTCACTTCCCACATTCATTTTCTCTGTTCGTCGTCGTGGTCTCCTGGATCTGGCCTGACTTGACCTTTGGTGAACTCTTGCGACTTTCGTTACCTCCAGGTTCCAGTCTCCCAGTTTCCCTTCGACATTCACACTCCTTTTCGTGAACGCAACCATTTTTTTGACACATTGATCATTCATTCTCATCTGTGTTGATCGCATTCGTTTCTGGAGAACTTCAGAGATCTCGGCTTGTCCAGGTCTTAACTGCCGGTCTTGGCTTATCAACCTGAGCTGGACATTGGTTTTCGACTCTTTTATTCAACAGGGGCCAGAACTCCTTGAGAAGAAAGACAGAAGTGTTGTTGGCCCGGTGCTTTGGAAGCGCCCATTTGCGACGACGGTCTGGACTCGCCGCGAGATTCACTTAACATTCGATTATCGAACCGACTCTGGAACCATATCGATCGTGGTAGACTGCCCCCGGTCTAGCCTCTTGTCGTCTAGAAGTCGTATAGAGTGGCACGCATCTACCGCACGTGGTTCGCAAGCTTAACGCCAATCTTGACGACGCTCGATAAGCAAACGACACATTTGCCAAGGGGGGACGGAATCTGACCGATTTTGCGGTATCAACTTCTCGCGGGGTGGAGACCGACAAGAAGACTTGTTCGAGGCAAATTAACCTCAGAATTGTCTAGACACCACAACCACGAAATATCGCATTTTGAAGCAGGTGACTTAGATCATCTGCCACCACTCTAAAGTCTGGGGCTTGAAATTCTTTGACGCCAGAGCCGTTGAGACAGGTCCCCTACGATTTACGGCTGACGTTGTGGCTGAGATTCGGAGGAGAAGCAGCCCATTTGGACATACTGGGAGGCTTCACTTGGCTCATTCCTCAAGTAAACAACCTGTCAACCCGACGCCAAATCGTCATTCCACATACCAGAGCAGCTACCCTTGTGGGTCTCCTGGTTATCGCAATCGACAGGAGCATCACCATCCAAATTACCTCTGGGTTGGCTTCGCTTCTAGTCTGCTTCTACCTGCCCACCCAGCAACCAAACTTCCCCTACCCAAAACAATACCCATTTGTATTTGATTGATTCTCATCCGCGATCCTCTTGTAAAGTTCAAGGACCCGGCGAGATATCCTACAAACCATCGTTTTGGTGGGCCTCTCACCCTGCCCTCAAATCGACCTTTCTCCAAGGCATCTTTGTACCTGAGCTTGGATTACCCAAATAGGGAATCTCACTTCTCAAACTCTACCTCTTGTATACCTCACCTCCGAAACATCCTCCCTCCCAAAGTTTGTCCGTGTGGCTGGTTCTGAGGGCACTTCCGTCCAAACTTCGTGAGTTGTATCACATCAACGTTCACCGTTGTCTAACCCCGGTTTACTACACACCACCACCTACGTACTCCTCCTCCTACACCTCACCCCCACCACCCTCCGCCTCATCAAAGCACCTGCTATTCCTCCAGGAGAAAGTGGTTGATAGTTTGTCATCAACTCGATCCTAGTACCTCTTGTGCTTGAGCTTCCTGCAACCTCTCTCGAACGCATCTCATCACCCCTCCGCTGCTTTCAATATGAACTCCAAGCAGACGCTTACCATTCTCATTACCGCCCTCCTGGGCGTGGAGGTCAGTGCCTTCTGGCGCATGGAGTGCCGTGGCCGTTCTGGTCTAGCCAGAATTGACCCACTCGTGGATAAGTCTCTCCCAGCGCAGCATCTTCACGCCATTCACGGTTCCAGCGGTTTCAATGAGGCCGTCACCTATGAAGAATTAGTCGGCGCCGACTGCACCTCTTGTGGCGTTACGCAGGACAAGTCTGCCTACTGGGTCCCGCCCCTATTCTTCCACGACAATGCCACTGGCGAATACAGCATTGTGAACCAAGTCGGTGGTATCTTGGCGTATGTGTGCCTTTCTGTGGATGCTCTGGTGAAGAAGCTAACAACATGCCAGATACTACTTTCTCAACAAGGACCCCGCTGGCGATAGCATCACAGGCTTCCCTAAGGACTTTCGCATGATCGCTGGAACCAGCTCTCGTCGAAACTATACCGCTGGTGATGGCAACTATGCAACTCCTGACCCGGAGAAATCACTTTGGGCATCTCTGGGCCAGACTGACCAAGGAACCTTGTCGCAGCGGGCTCTCGGCTTCAACTGCTTGGATTACTCGAAAACCCCTGAGGGTTCATTGTACCGCCACTTCTTGCCTGACAAGGGTTACCTAGACGCGAACTGCCCGGATGGTATTCGAACCGAGCTCATGTTCCCATCCTGCTGGAATGGCAAGGACACTGACTCTTCGGATCACAAGTCACATGTGGCCTACCCGGACTTGGTTATTCAGGGCAACTGCCCTAGCGGCTTCCCGACTCGCCTACCTGGCTTGTTCTACGAAGTGATCTGGGATACCTATGCCTTCAAGGACCAGGCGGGCTATTTCACTTTCGCCAATGGTGACCCGCTTGGCTTCGGGTACCACGGTGATTTCATCATGGGTTGGGATGAGGCTTTTCTTCAAGAGGCTGTCGATACTTGCACCAACGAGTCCGGTAGAATCGAAGATTGCCCCATTTTCACTATCCAGGATGAGAACACTCAGCGCCAGTGCTCCATCGCGGTGCCAGGTAACTTGAAGTTGGAAGTGTCTTTCACTTCCCTCACCAGCCTGCCTGGTAACGTTCCCGACAACTGGGGCCCGGCTCCTGCAACGGTTATGAACCCGACCACACCAGCGACAGTTGTTGTGCCGACGCTCACATACGCTGCTGGCGAGACTGCTGCCGTCAACGGTAGCTACATCCCGGGACAGATCTTCTTTGCATCAACCCAGACCTCGGGACCCGCGGCCGTGGGAGTGTCTTCACCGACAGATGATGTGGTACATGTGGAGGCTGTGCCAGCTGCCGATGCAACACCTACTCCGGCTCCCACTACCCCGGCGCCTTCGCCTCCTGAGACCACACCGGCGCCTGCTCCTGCTGACACGGACACCCGGATCCCCATCAGCACGGGCTATGTGACTGATGGCAACATGGTAACTGAGATTCTCTACTACCAGGATGAGGTCTATGTCACCGAGTACGAGGATATCACCACGACCGTGACCGTGTCCGCTGCTGTTAAGAAACGGCGCGATAGCCGTGGTCATCTTCATCGTCACAGGCATCTTCACGGACGGCCCTGGTGAGCGGTGCACATTCTCAGCATTTCAATTCTGGCATTCAGCAGCACAACTGTTTTCTGCAAATATGGTGAATTTCGCGCGATGATGATTTGACGATACCGCATCCTTCGACGATGAAACTTCTTGGTCTGGGCCCTGTTCGCGTTGCATGCATTGAAGGTGTCGCACATGGGGATGGTTTTCAAACGAAAACGGCTTCAACTGAGGGGGTTTGCATTGAGTGTAAGCCCGCTCCTGGTACCTTGAACAAAGTGAACAAGGTGTTGATGGCGTTTCTGCGACACGGAGAGGCATTTGAGGTCGCGATCCGACCTGGTGTGTATAGGTCGCTCGCATGATATGGCACGAAGTTGATATTTGCTTCTTTGCTATCGTTCATACAATCAGATAAGGGAATGAATGCATTTACATTTGACTGCCAATAACTATCTTCTCTCGTCTCCCTTGTTGTGTCGTGATACCCTCAAAATGTCCTGCCTAGATGCGGTTGTTGGCGTCTTCAGGGATGGCTTCAAAAAAGCCAGATGCGCCGATACGCCACATTAAGGGTCCTCGTTTAACTGAATCATATAAGTCTCTCTTTTCAATTAAACTCGCTGCCATGGGCGCAGTGTCTCGGGGCTGGCGCAGGCCTCACGTTGGCATGTGGTTGTCTATAGCTACACATTCCAGTCATTCCAGTAGTCAAGGCACTAAACATAGACCACAAGAAATACTAGAGTCCGGCCATATTTTGTACGGTTCAGTTTTTGAACTGTTCTAATTTGTGCCTAACCTAATTCTTAATCCTAGGTTGTGTTGGACTGGAAGTCTGTCCTGGTCCCATGTGAAGGAGAAAGAAGTCATCGAGATGGCGGAAGACTCCAAGGATCCGTTCAGCTCAGATACCCAGAGAGATCTGGTAGGCTCGAGCAAACTCACGTTGGGAGCCTTGATCGCAATCGTTCTGGGCGGTACGGCTGTGTTATTTGCCTGTCTGGCTTTCTTATGGATATCCCTGGCTCGCCGCCGCAGGGCCATGCGCCGCGATGCAGCTCTGGATATCAACTGCGGCGACACCGTCATCGACGATGGCGATACCATGACGACCGGTGGATATCCAAGGAAGCTGCGCAAGAGCCGTAGCCGGCCTTCAGAGGTCACCGTGGTGCAAGAGTTTATGGTGCCTGCTCGCAAGACCTCGCTAGCATCAATCTTCACTCGGCGCACATCTCAGAAGACCTTCAGCAGGCCGCCGTCCGAGCATGGCAGTCATCAAAGAAAGACCTCAAACCAATGGATTGACGAAGATGCGATCCATGGGCCCAGGGTCGTCAGACAATCATGGCGACTATCGCTCTCTCAGTCGTGGCCTCTGAGGAACTTATCACCAACGCTTCCAAGACTACAACAGTTCACCAACCACGACGAGGAGCTTCAGGAGCACGAATATCACCAGCACCAAGCTCCCCCTCCTCCACCACCGCCGCCACCACCAATGCCAATGCCATTGCAGTTGGCTCCTCAGCGACAACCTCAACCTCAAATGCAACACCGGCCGGAGCCGCAACAGCAACAGTACCTTGTTATGTCACAGATACCCTATCTTCCACCCCCTCGCCAGTTGCCTGAGCCTCCTGTCCAAGCACATCTAGCCAACCAGTCTCAGCCCGTTGTTTATATTTCGCCCACCTCATCTCCAACAAGGTCGTCTCCGACAAGATCCCCATCATATGGCGATCCTCAGAGGCAATCACCAATTAATATTTCTCCCACCCGCCGGCCTAAGAGAACTAGAGACTCGTCGACTGATTCGACATTGTCCGAAATCCTGAAGTTGACAGAGAGAAGGCTTCAGGATGGGACCACTAGTGGCCGGGTTTCCCGCAGAAGCAGGAACAGCATCTCGCCACACAAGTCCATTGGGCCAAGCAGAGCAGTATCGATGAAGAAGAGCGCATCAGAAGGCGCCCGCTGGAACAACCTCAGCCGCAACGGCACTATCGTCCGGATGGACAGCGATAGTCCATCCAAGTCAACTCCTTCGACCGTGGATGAGAGTCCCATAGACCCATTCCAGAGCCACATCGTCATGAGTCGCACTGGCACCGTATTGAGTCGTCACAACACTATCAATCGCTCTCCTGACCGATCTGGAGCAGGGGATATGCTGCAAGTTGGGAATCTGGTAGCCGATCTACGGCGCATGAACAGCCAGATCAGCTCATATAGCACGGCAACGAGTGCCTACAGTACTAATTCCAACGAAAGTCCGGCGCTGCCCTCACTTGAGCGAGGCTTCGTTTCCCACAAGAAGAAGAAGTCCGGATCGAAACATTACCTCTCCCTCAACACTCCTCCCCGCAGTAGCGTGGTAAGCAGCAAGCATGAGGATGAAGGCGTTGCAATGGAAGAGCACATTGAGGATGCGATACCCGTCATTGATATAGAGGAAGACAGTGATAGCTTCATCAGAGAGGAGGAGGAAGAGGAGAGCAATGACACACGACCAAGGTTGACTATCAACACCGACGTATATCGTACACCCACCAAACAGATCATTACCCTTAAGGACATTGAGGATGGAAGTGTAGTAGTGGCATCGTCACTGCCCCGACGAATGGCCGAAGAAAAGCAAGATAGTGCTGGTCGCGGAAGCACCGGTCGCAGGAGCGAGGATAGCCTGGGCTTGTACGACAAGGACGGGTTTCTACTTAGCTCTCCAGAAAGGGGGTCGCCTGTGAAGAAGAAGCGGGGATCCAGAAGCAGCAGGAAGGGGAATGATGGACAAAGTCCAAAGCCGCAGCGCGGCAGTATAATTTCGATGGTGTCTGTATAATTAGGTCATTCATAATGGATATTTTTGATACTCCGTAACGGAAACAAGAAAAATATAGTTAGCCCGAAACTGTGCTGTTCCAGAAGGATGACAACTTTTTTTGTGATTTAAGCTTAGAGTAGAAGCGATGTGCCGCCCTTCACTGTTAGTGTCTAATTTACCTAGCTTGTCAGTCACGTCGTCTGTATTAGCACACTCCGCTAATGCACACGTCGCCCCGTTCCGTTACAGAGCCTCACCTTATGTTGATCCTCAACCATACAAACACTTATGTGGCAAGAAAGGTTAACCCCACAGACAACGGCGTTCCAGGAAATTCTCAGAAAGGCACAGATCCATCCATCAAACGCCAGCCTACGGGCTCCCGCAAGCAAATATGCCCCCTCTTCCACATCCGCCGCTTCCCCGCATCATCACATATTACCAGACTCATCATGACAAAGATGGCAAGCCAATATCAGTTCTGCCCCTGCTTACACAGCCTCACGTGGGCATCACGCATGTCATCTTGGCTGCTCTGCACCTGAATGAGGATCCAGCAGCGATGACATTGAATGACCACCACCCTAAAGACCCCCGCTTCACTACTCTCTGGGCCGAGATGAGAGTGCTTCAAGCAAGTGGTGTTAAAGTCCTTCTCATGCTAGGTGGTGCAGCCAGAGGCTCCTATGAGAGACTAGATTCAGACGACGCCAAATTCGAGAGGTACTATCTCCCTATGCGGGACCTAATACGAGAACGAGCTCTGGACGGAATCGATTTGGACGTGGAAGAAGAGATGAGCTTAGGAGGGATAATTCGGCTTATCGACCGGATTCGCGCGGACTTCGGTCCCGATTTTCTCATCACCATGGCCCCTGTGGCTGCTGCGCTGCTGGATTCTCGGAAAAACATGTCTGGGTTCGATTACGAGGCATTGGAAGTCATGCGGGGCAAAGACATTGCTTGGTACAACGCGCAATTCTATTGCGGCTGGGGGGACTGCTCTAACCCTGTCATGTACGAGATGATCATATACAAGGGCTGGAAGCCGGAGAAAGTCGTGGTGGGTCTGCTTACGAGCCCCGAGAATGGCAACGGATGGACACCATGGGAAGCGCTGGCGAACGTAATTCCTCTGCTGCTCGGGCGGCACGCTCGTTTCGGCGGAGTTATGGGCTGGGAATACTTCAACAGCCTCCCTGGTGGGAGAGAACGGCCGTGGGAGTGGGCGCAGTGGATGACAACAGTATTGAAGGGCCGGCGGACTGAGTCTCAGGAGATGGTTGCGCCGAGCGGAAACGTCGTGGCGGTGCCAGCGGCGGAGAAAATCCCCGAGACACGGGACGCCGACGAGGGTGACGGAGAAGCAGAGGTACCGCAAAGCTTCGAATACTATTCCGACGGAGCTGCTGAGGATTGATGGATGCAATATGTCGAGATGTCCGCCACTTGTCATCTAAAAATACTCAAGGGGAACCGGTGATTTCAAGCATGCAATTAGACCACGCTCCTCAACACCACCGCCGTGTCACGATACGCATATGGGCTATTTTCGTCACCAAATCAGACCGAAAACAACTCGATAGTGTTCAAAACTCGAGGCACAGAGCTTGCACGTGATGTGTGGTAGGGTGTTACATGAAGACCAGAGCACATGGCTTATGCTGCGAAACAAGTGAATGACGAAAGGAGGTCGGGTAATTGATATTCTCACAGATATTGGAGGCTATCATGGGAAACCCGTGATCGTAGCCTTCAATAGAAAAAGAATCAAAAGGCTAGACAAATTCAATATAACAGTCATGGCTGAAAATTGGCAAGATTTTGAAGCAAAAAGTATAATATGATATATTTGTCCGTATCTTTTCGTACAATCCCAGCGTAAAAGAACCCAACCGCCCAGAGGGGTTCTTTTTTCTCCTGAAATTCTGACTCGTAGACTTTCTATTATATCAGTAAACTTTCCATCGACTTGAAATAGCAATTGTGATATGATATATCATGCCCAGAAGCTTTATGTCAGATATTCACAATGCGCCTTAGGCTGGTGGTCGACATTACCGTAATCATGAGCAGACTATTCAAAGCTATCAAAGGGGATTTCAACCTCAGGGGTGCCGTATCGCTTTCTGCAGGCCGTCCGCTATTTGTTGGCTGTCTTGAGCCGTCGCGGTGTTCTACACAATCTGTTTTCGCGTCTATTTTCAGAGGTCATCCTACACAGGTCGTGACACAGTGCTGGCTTGCAATTATCTAAGTAAGACTGACAGTTATTGCCGCCTGGTAAAGGACTTGTTGGCTTACATGAGCAAACACGGAACACCCTTTCTCCTGTCATCCGTCAGCTTGCCTAATCCGAATGGTCTCAGCATCCTCATTGTGGGATCTCACAGGCTAATCTACGAATACGATCAGTCATTGAGTTCACCTCGAATATAAAGATACACAACAACGTCTATGATAATGTGGTGGTTATAATAAAGCTACTATCATTAGTATCTCTACCTGATTCCGTTGACAAGAATCATGTTCCGCCAGTCATTCGCACGAGCCAAGTCGTCGTCACATTTCTCATATGTAACATTGCTTTGGCCATCAAAAGCCAAGGCGATGCCTTCCAAGTGAGGGAAATCGACATAAGGGAGTGAATAAGCGTGGATGCAAGGGCAGCCTGCATCGAAAATGGAATCTTAGGTAGGAGTCCGAGGCTAAAGCCAAACAAGCAGTCGGAGTAGCCGTCACCCATGAGTCTGTACCGTGCTCTGCAGATACCATGTATCGTAGTTTAAGAGACTTGGTCTACTTAAGGCGTTGCCGCTTATCCAGCATAGGCGTAGCTCTGGTGTTGGTCCAAGCTGGCACCGCCGTCGGCGCGAGACGGTTACGCCGACAGGTAAGAATTGAAATTAGAGTCTGACGTCGCCATCGAAAACACGGCTGGTCAGACTGCCTAATATTAGGAGTAAGAGTCTCAAGTATATAAATGTTGTGAGCTTCCTAGACATTGTCAGGACGTCTACTCGACTTGATGTCCAAGTTTCACGCACGAGGTTGTTAAAACAACTCGACAATATGATGTGCGACAAAAGTGCTCGCCGAGACCTCCCTGCTCGGCGACAAACCACCCATCCTTCTCGAAGGTTTCGAAACAGGGCCCCTGACAAGGGAATCTTTGTCAAGCATCCATGGGCTGACTACTTACATTAGTTGTCTGCGAGTTGCCCTTGTCGATTGTGAAAAGTTGTGATATGCGCACATATCCAGGCTTCGAGATAAAACTCATTGACTCACGGTCGGCGAGTGGCTCCAAGGCAGGCTATGCCAAGGCATGATGCCGCCTGCGGATGGATACGAAGCAACTTACTCGAGATCAGTGATCATATTTCCTGTTTGAATCAACCGTCTGCGGAGGTAGTGTATGCCTCAAGTCAGAAGAAAAGGGGGTATGGGCTTGGCAAGGTCTCCCCTATCTTGCAGACCAATCCACAGAGACCAGCAGGGAAGCAGATACAGGCAGGACTTAAACCGCAATGTGATCCGACCTGCTCGCAATGCAGGCCTCTTTGGAAAGTTTGTCAACAGGGACAAACGTCTATTTGACATTGACTTGGATGTTATCGACTGCCTCAAGGATGAATAACGCAACCGCTCGGGCCAAGGACAACACCGCATCCTGCAGGAATCTCTTTCCCAATCCGGTGTGGACAGAGAGGCCGAATTCATGATGAGAAGACTATCACGACACGGAAAGAGATCACATAAATGTGTCTGCCCCTGAACATCGAGTGCATCGAAACGAACGTTGCATAACGCCAGTCCGGACCTATATCCAGATGAGGACATAAGACGAGTTGGAGCATGATGCTCGGTGCCTTTCTGCGTAAACTGCGGGAACATCTGCCGCATACCGGTTCGCGACAGCCAGTCATGTCGATTTGGAAGAGGAGGAGAAGGGCATTAGGCTTTCCGCCGGTAAGCACCTTCTTCCCTCCCGCAGAACCGCGTTAGACCGGGGAAATCCCAACCGACACGCTCCATAGCGTCTAGGCTTGACGAACGTCGACGGCAATTGCATGTAGTTCTCGTATTGAATTGAAGGATTGGCCTGGAACTGCAACCCGGCCGCTGAACCGTCTCCGCCTCAACAGCTCACACCGAGACGAAACGGATTCGGTGGGAGATTGACTGAGGCCGGTAGCACTGCAAAGTCGCACAAGGACGCTCTTGTCTCTTTGTGGACTGCCTTGCACCGTCTAAGTGTCGGAATAACTTCATATGAAGGGGGGTCCTTGGGGGCTAGCTTGGCAGGTTGGCGTCAAGGCGCAATCTTAGCTAGGTGTTAGTCAGATCGCGAGGAAGAGCGGAACCACTCTCGACACACAGCCCAGAAGCATTGGCAACCCGCAGAGACTCAAGAAGGAAATGCTGTAAAGGCCAAGAGACAAGAAGAAACTCGTTACAGGAAAGGGGTTTCTTGACGTTTGAGGTGGACGTCGAGGGAATTATGTGGCGGCATCCTTTCTAATGGAACTGACAGTCCGACAGGTAGGACGACGTTCTCATTCGTGGTGTCTTACCAGCTGCTCTACCTGGTAATCATCCTCCTGGATTGCATTCTGCAAACGCATGCAGAACGGAACCAAGTTCTTCATAGAGCGGCATGATAAGGGGCATTTCCATTTCGCACACCGCCGATGATTGAGGTTTAGTGCTGCCTTGGAAGCCGTGAGGTTATGCTGGAAGACCCCCGTGTCATCGGTCCAACGCCCGGGGTGGCAGTGCCAGGGGCCCGCCTGTGGCTTGCCCAATCTATTTTGGTGAGATTACCGCCTTACGGACTCGCTAAAGAATGTGGCATCGGCAGCCTGGATTAGGTATCCGTATGGGCGGTTGTCACTCAATACGCCGTTTACAAACTGACTTGCCCGTGGAAGACCCCGCCAACCAACCCTCTTTTCCTTCCAGGTGACGCCGCGCGCGTATGCGGTCAAGCTTCTTACTCATCCTATTTTACGCACCCAGATGCAGATGCCGAGAAACTTCGAGATGAGCGGGCTTCAGCGGAAGGGCGCAGCCGAACAAGACATGCAATGTTGTTGGTAACTCGTCAACTGTCAAGCCCGTGACTCATGGCCGAAAGTTCGGTGAGCACCCTGCCGATGGTCTTTCGGCCACGTACGCAAGATACACGCGGAGGAAGAAGGAACCAGACTTCGGTTTACGACTGAACTAGGGAGTTCTGGCAACATCATTGCAGAGCCTCTTTGGTGTTGCCTTGTTGCCTTGCTGTCGGGCCTTCTGGGATCGTGGAACGATGCGGCAGGTAAAAAAGAGAAAAATCATCGTTTCACATGTCACTTCAGAGCCTCAAAGGTCGAACAGGACCAGGGCTCGAGGCTAAACGGCGCCGAACCAATTCAAGCACGCACCAACTGATGCACAGTTTGTGCGGGATCCTACACGCCTCGCCAAGTCCGCAGATGATAAGACGACATTTGGCTTAATTGGGCTACCATGCGCCATGAGTACTTGTCTAAGTAGAGCATGACGTTGAGGGGTGGGCAGCCAAGATCTTCGAGAAACATGCCCACGCATACGCTGAGTAACGAGAGTGATTCTGTGGACAAAAGTGTGGCATCCCAAAGGGTTAGCAATTGCCAATCTCGTAGATGTGGAATTAGATCGAAAAGAAGACATTTCGGTGACTTCCGGCCGGGAGAGGGACGGCGGATGGAGGATTGTCCCTCTTACGCGCCCGGCGGGAATTACAGTCTTGACATAGGAGTGTGTCCAACGGCGGAGCGGAATGATCGGAACGGTTTACTTTCTAGCCGGGCACATGTTCAAGTGTGACTGTTCTCACTTGCAGGAGACCGTCACCGAAGGGGAAGGTTTGGTGCTGCATCGTCGACTAGGCTTAGATAATACAGGGTTCCAAGTGTCTGTCGAGGGTGAGATTCAAGAAAAGAAAACTTGCGTGGCGACTTGTCAGAGTAAGACAAGGGACCTGAAAAGAGACGATACTATTCCAGAATTGGGAGGCTTCGCCCTGGTACCACCAGGCTGGCGCTTACAGGCTCAGCCCTACCTGGAGGAAGATCATTCGTGGAACCGTCCTTTCAGCCCCCAAAATAGCTTGCGCTGCAACTTTGACCATTTACCATGCAGCTCGGTCAAATTGCCGGAACCTTGGACTGGGAGCCAGTATGCCGCCCTCGTACTCTCTTGGTCGATTTTGGCAACCAGGCAATCACTAATGCCTGCCGGGGTTCGATGCAAGACAGCTGCAAGGCGATGCATGCCCAGGGGCTTGTTATCTCTTTTGGGACCACTTTAGTCCTATCTGTGGCCGGAACCTGGTACATCCATGTGGGATCTAGCAGGCGATATCGAGGCTTAAACAGTAACCACCAAAATCCTTATGTCATCCACGCTGGGGGCTATGGGGGTCCGCCCTCGCCGACGGCTTGCTCGTAGTAGGCTAGGTTGACGGAACGGAGCGAGCGAGACTTGTGACGGGAGTTGGGATGACTTCACCACCTTGGACCCTTTTTGAGTATATAAACCCTTGAAGGCTCCCAGGTTGAAATCATCTATCCCAGCATCAGCATCAATATCTACTCAAACAATCCCAAGCTTCAAACACCACTCCAAGACTCTCTTCCTGCTTCTTGCTTCTATATCAAAACAATGGCTGCCTTCACTTCCACCTCTTTCACTAGCCAGTTCCCCGTCCACTACGGACGCAGTGGCTACAACAATAAGCCTGATGAGGATGATGATACCAAGGATCAGGGCCGCAGCGGCTACAACAAGTAAGACCCTTACCCTAAAATCCTCCTCAACTGATTGCTAACCCGAAATTCCCAGGGGCGACAAGGGTGACGACGAGGAAGAGGACAAGAAGGCTCTGACCTTCGGCCATTAAAGGCCAACCTCAACAAGCCAACACCTCCTGGTTCTGATTCTGAAATCTTTTCCCTATAGACAGTTGGTGTTCGCTATTGTCTCACTATTGTAACGATGTTGGGATTAGATGAGCTTTCTGAAACGATCGATATAGAGATGGACGAGCGATCATTGTATGACTGATGTTCCAGTTCTTTGACTCGCCGGTTTGACAGAACGGCGGCTATGTATTACCATTCCAATTTGCTTTGCACCTTCTGAATTAGACAGCTCTTCAGCATTGTTGGAAATCGGGATGGGATAGCATTTAGACGGATCTCTTTTGTCATAGATGAACCAGACTGCTCGGGCGACCGTTATCTTGAATAGAACATACACGAATGTATAGTTAATAATTCATTCATTTCCCAACACAGAACCTAAGCAGTATTAGCATATCTCTTACGTGGAGCACTGGAGAATCTTCAACTTACTTCTCAAAGATGACGCCAAGGACTTCTTCTACATCCCCAGCGTCTCCCCGGCCTGTGATTCTCGCCAAACATTCGGCAGCATAGCGGAGATGTTCAGCAGCCAATACAACATCAGGCTCACCACCCTCTCCCTCGGTCCCCACTTCCGCTAAGAAGTCTTCTAGATGCTGTCGACAGAGTGCCAAGAGCTGTCGCTGCCTCTCTGTACCACCAAGTAAGACTTCCATTCCTTCTGGCAACGACGTCATCGCAGCGAATGAACGTGTAAGGTTCTGAATCAGCCGTTGAATCCCACCGGCATCCGTCAGCCCTAGAGATGAAGTCTCAGCCTCCCTGCACGAAATTGTCAGCGGCTCAGCCTCTGCATATGCCTGGACTGGGCTCAATGTTGTTGCCACGAAATCTGCGACCAAACTGTGCAATTCTGCCTCTGTGACGGAATCACGTTTGTTGATCACAAGAAGATGCTGCTGAGCATTGGCTGCTAATTCAAGTGTTTCCGCGTCATATGCAATCATATGGCCACCACCAGGGTTTGCTTCAACAGATGCGAGGACTATGACGACGTCTGAATCCAGAGCTTTCGACTTGGCTCTGCGAATGCCTTCTTGTTCGACAGGCCCCAAAGCCTCGGTATGAATTGAAGAATGAGATCTGAAGCCAGCTGTATCTGCAAATGTGCAAAGATAGCCGCGAATGTCGAGATTCACTTCCACAATATCTCTTGTGGTACCAGCCTCGCTGGATACAATAGATGCCTCACGCCCGACAATGAGATTCATCAATGAGCTTTTCCCTACGTTCGGGGGGCCAAGTAGTGCAATACGTATGCCGTTTCGCAATAGCTCGCTTCGCTGGTTTACCATCTCATGAATATCCACCGAGTGAAGCATTTCTCGGACCACCTTAGTGACATTGCGTAACAACTCTGTGGGTGACTCGTCAAAGTGCTGATCCTCGGAGAAGTCTATCAAAGCTTCGATTTCTCCTCGTGCAAGGAGGAGTTGCTCTCGCCAAGCTTCATACGTTCTTCCCAGAACACCAGAATTCCCACGTACCGCAGCACGTCGCTGTTGCTCAGTTTCTGCACTAAGGCTATCACTCAAAGACTCAACCTGCCCTAAATCAAGTCGGTCATTGAGAAATGCCCTTTTAGTGAACTCCCCTGGTTCGGCATAACGAATAGCTCCACTCGAAGCAGAGTTGGGGATGGCTGATAGAACCGCTTTCACCGTCGCCGGGCCACCATGAACGTGAAGCTCAAGGATATCTTCACCAGTCACGGTCTTGGGCCCAGGAAAATACAAGACTAAAGCTTGAGAATCCAGAATATTACTGGCATCTGGTCGTTCCGGATCGAACAGTGTCCTGACTGCCGCATAGCGAGGTTTCGGAATGGGTCTTGCTGGACATAAACCCTTGTACACCTTACTGGGTCAGTGCAAGCTCGCTGGCAAGCGCTAGAGCTACTGGTTCACTTACATCGAGTGACCTTCGTCCAGATACTCGAATCACGGCAATGCCAGCTCTACCCTGGGCAGATGATAAGGCATATATCGTGTCATCTTTTGTTGGTAGGCTTGAGAGACATCTGCTTCGTAGCTGCACGCCTATGGAGAACCAGCTAGGCTTGTAAACGACTGAGGAAACATGGTGAGAGCTAGCATGCGCAAGGTACACGCTAGACGTGGTGGCCGAGAACGAATGAGGCCTCAAGAGACTGTATCCAGCTATCACATTCCAAGCACGCCGGAACATTGACCAGATTTTCGAAATCGTCACTTGTCTCCTTTGGTTACCTCAGCTATAAATAGCGACCGTGAGCTGAGGAAGTTCAGTCGTAGAAGAGATCCTTAATTAAAGACTGGCTAAGGCACTTACAGCCTAGAGCTGACCTAAGCCGGGAACTAGAAGTCGCACCGGAAATACAAATGTGCGGAGCAGGGGTAACGGGCCAATGAGCGAACATGCTTTATGTGGTCGGTCTGGCAGTACCCGAAATTTTTTGGTCCAGGCAAAGCAGCAAGCCCCTCCAAAGAAATATTTCGAGAATCTCCAACCGTCTCTGATCCTTACCAGGGAAACCGCAGCAGAATCGACGAGTAGCCATTCTTGCGGCACTTTGAATATGGCGTCCGAAGAGATCGTCTGGCAGGTATGGCATTACATCTTATTCGACATTCTTGCAATTTGCTAAGTTTCCTAGGTCATCAACCAACAATTCTGCTCGTATAAACTCAAGTAAGAATTCCTTTGCCCAGGTCAAGCCGCGAAAGCAAAAACTAACGATCGCAGGACCACAAAGCAGTCCAACTTCTGCCGAAACGAGTACAATGTCACTGGTCTCTGTAATGTACGCTACCCTCGCAATATTGATTCTTCCAAACGTTTTCTAATAGGAAACAGCGACAATCGTGTCCTTTGGCGAACTTCAAGTATGCGACGGTGAGAGCAGATCCGGCAACGGGAAGGCTCTACCTGTATATGAAGACCATCGAACGATTCCACCAACCGTCGAAGTTATGGGAACGATATCGCCTGAATTCGAACTACGCGAAAGCTCTGCAACAAATATCAGAGAGACTAGAGTATTGGCCCAAATTTTTACAGCACAAGTGCAAGCAGCGGTTGACAAGGTAAAAGCCCCCACAGAGGAGGTGAAGTGTTCTACTGGGCTAACAACCGTCAAAGACTCACGCAAGTTGCCATCCGAATGCGAAGACTAGCAGCAGAGGAAGACAGGCTGGGTGAGAAGCTCGTCCCCAAGCTGGCACCCAAGATCCGAAGACGAGAGGAGGCACGAGAGCGCAAAGCAGAGGCAGCAGCGAAACTGGAAAGAACAATTGAACGCGAGCTCATCGAGCGACTCAGGCAAGGCGCCTATGGTGATCAGCCGCTAAACGTCTCTGAAACCATCTGGCAGAAGGTCCTCACTGCCATGGAAAAGGAAGGCCAAGGCATCCGAGATAAGGACCACGACAAGGGCATCGAGGAGGATGACGAAGAGGAGCTTGAGGAAGAGTATGAGGAAGAAGACGAGGACGAGCTTGACGGCAACGTGGAGTATGTCAGCGACGTTGAAGAGAGTGATGAGGAGCTTGGAGACATTGAGGACTGGCTCGGAAGTGATGAGGATGATGACGAGGACGAGGACGACGAAGAGGAAGACAGCGATGATGCCGCTCTCAAGAAGAAGGGCAAGGCTGCTGTGGGTGACAAGCGGAAGAGGGGCCGTGTTGTCCGCATGAAAGCCAGGAAGAGGAGAGAGCGTGAGGTGGAGGAAGAGTCTGAGAGACACAAATTGCTTGCGTTCTAGTTTCATGGCGTTGGTTTCGGAAAAGGACTTGCATGGCAAACGGTTGTTACATAGATAGATACCTCATTGTTCCGTCAATCGAGTTCAGATCATTCTTAAATATCGTGAATCAATGGCTTAATAATGGTCTACACAGAAGTCTGCTGCGATGTGCGTGGGTTTCCCTTAACAATGTCTGTTGGCTTGCGCAGATGTAGCGTTGCATTAGAAGCCAGTCTTTTGAAACACGGCATTTGAAGCAAAGCCCAAGCCCCAAACCACACTTACCGGCTCCCCATAAATCACCCCGCCGCCCCCAATTCGACCTCTTCTCCCAACACCACAATCTTTCAACGATTCTTGCATAATAGCAGAAAGTGACGAAATCTGTGCTTCCAGCTGTACAAAAGCTAGAGGACTGCTATTGTAATCGCTTAATTGGGAGGGATACACCCCGGAATCTACAAAGCTCCCCGCCGCAGTTCGTGTGGTGACCGTCACACGAGGGGATTCGACGGTAGCCACAATCATGACATCGTGGTATTCAAACATCCTCACCACTACGACCAGTCGCATTTCCAACCTGCGAAGCACGCTGCTCGCAAGCGAAGCTGACGGGGACACCGAAGATGACACACATGTGTGCCGCGTTCTGCGCGCATACTACACCGAGAAGGGCCGTTCCTTCCCCGGATGGCTGCCCCCCGACCCGAAGGCACCACCGCCCGCGGCGCCTGTCTATGCTCAGTCGCAGGTTGGCTCGAGATACGGTGGTATGACTTCTCAGCAAGGAGGAGGCGGCAGCCTGTCGTCGCTGTGGGACAACAACGCCATGAATCAGCGCCAGGATGCGCAGTCTCTACGGCAGGGACGAGGTATGCCTGCCCCGATGAGAGGAGAGCCGCAACAAGTCTCGAGCCGGAATCCGTTTGCAAATAGGGGGAACGATGCACGGGAGGATGTTCAAGCTCGCCCGCTACCGAGCCAGCGGGCAGGAAGCTACCAACAATCATACGGGAGGGAGAGCAACACCACACCCCCCGGAAGTTCGACGGGATCGGCACAGGATCGGCTCAAGCAGAGGTTATGGGGTGGTGCTCGCACTGCGAGTCCGGCGCAGTCAGGGCCATTCCAGCCGCCTGCGCAGCAGAGTAGTGGAAGTCCATACGGTGGAGGAAGAGCTGGAAACAACTATGGTGGTGGTAGTGCAGGAGGCGGGGGCGGCGATAGCTACGAAGATCGTTTTGCTCCCGGCGGAATGTACGATGGCGGCAGCGGCTCTAGCAGAGGCGGTGGAAACGACAGGCCGTTCATGGCCGCAAACTCTCCCTGGGCCAGCAACGAATCTGAGTATGCTGGTGGCGGCGGGGGCGGAGGAGGCGGCAGAGCCGGAGGGCTTCCTAGCGGTCCTAGGAGGATGGGAGGTCTTCCTAGTGGACCCAGGATGAGATGATTCAATTGAGACTCGCTCTTGTCTCCTCACCTGGGCTTCTGTGGGCAATGCGGTCTGAGGCCGCTCCTTTCTGTTCACCAATCTTGGACGATATCGAAATCTTGGAATAATAAGTGACGTCCTTCGACATTACCATCCTATCAAGTTATATTCGGGGAAGGGCTTGTTTATCCGGCATGGCAAGGCGTTAGGAGTGTTCTAGCTCATTCAAATACTCACGAAATTGCCTGAATCCCACCAACGATTCTCTAACTGGCCTGGGAACGTCTAGAGTTGCCCGCTCATGGATCTCTTGTACTTCTCTGTGAATGATTTGCTGCTGCCTATACTAAAACTACGTTTCTCATATAAGCCGATACACATATACGCATCAATACCTTCACATAAACAAATCCAGAGTCCTCGATACAAGGATGCTACAGGAGTACATTTCTTTTAAGGCATGGGGGCATCGTGATGTTGCGTAGGCCTCCGCGTGTTGGTGTTCAGTGAGGGTGGCGGATGACGCAGCGTTCTCGAATACATGCGTAGACATGCGCGACGGATTGCATATGATCGCAGCTAGCGAGCAAGTAGAGGTACTAAGCTTAACTGCAGTGGGGCAACGCTACGGAGCGTACTGGCGACTCTACATGACCCCTCTATGCAGGCAAGCAGCAGCTCGGTCTAGGCGCGGGGCACGCCTAAGACACCCTCACTCAGCCACTGACGGCTCATATGATTCCATCTGCCCGTTGTCCCCAAACCTAATTTCCACCTCCAGCGTGCTTCAACATTCTCTATGAGTGTCTTCTCGTAGCGAGCACTCGTCACCCTGGATCAACAGTTATCCGCCGCCGTCGGTATTTTCATTCTTTAAAGAGGAGAGTCATCCGGTGCGGGCTCCCCGCGATCCATGATGACGTCCGATGGAGTCCCGGTCAAGCAAAACGCCCCGCCACCACGGCCGGTATCTCCCTCTGCGAGCTTCTACGCAATGAGCGACGACGAGGAGGGCGATTATAACACTATAACACACAGCGAAACAGGACGAGGTGTCAAGCTCCTTTATTCAAAGAGCAAGGTGAGGAACCCACAAACGGAAGAGATACGTCGAGAAACGAACTAATACGGTCATCGCTACAGGTATACATCCATCCCACGCCTTCCGCAAAGGATAACATACCCGGATACATCGCTTTGTGGCAACAGAAAGGCCCCCATGGCGAGCGGCCGACTTCTTCAGACTCCAAGGAGTCCCCGGCCTCGTCAGATCTCCTCTTGGGCTGGGTTCCAGAGTCCCAACTGGGAGATTCTGCTAGCTTATACGTGAAGGTTGACCTATGTGAAGGGGATTCTCCTCCCAAGCAGTCATATCTGGTTCCACCTCCACCGACTGTCACAACTCATAAGGGATCTGTCGGTCACTATGCTTTCGCCATTCCCGTCAGTGCCATATACTCCCTCTTAGTCCGGCCGCCGAGCCTGGGCTGGTGGTTCGGATCACTCATCATCAACTCTCGGGCTGGCGACAGTTTCCCGGCGTTGTTCTTCCACGACAGCGAGTGCCAGTCAACTATCCTCCAGAAGAAGAAACGAGCCAGGGACAGCTTCGACCCGTTTGGTGAGGGGGGCGAGATGTTTTGGGGTGGTGATGAGGTTCTTAGATGGCTCAAGCGATACATCAAGATCGAGCGCAGCGGTGCGGAGCCTAACATCTATTTGGTCGAGCCGACTACAGAAGACAGCGAGGCATTTAGTGACAGGCCGACTACCAGCACTGCATCGTCTATTGGCCGACAGGATGGTGGTGCAGCCCGGAGAGGGGGAAGGGGCGGCTCTAGAGCTGGTCCCAGTGGCTCAAGAGACGCAGGGATGGACCCGTTCATGAAATTTGTCAAGGAAACTGGGTGGAATATCATGGAGAAATTCAGCAAGGTCACAACCTTCACAAGACAGGCTGCTCAAGATGTTATAGACAACCCGAGAATGCCTCCGCAAATGAGAAGGTTGCTTCGGAATCCAGAGGTTCAGACCTTGCAGGAAGAGTTCGACAGCGCTCGGCTTTATCTCGCGAGATGGGCTATGGGGATTGCGGAACAAAGCGAGAGGGATCGAAGCCAACGAATATGGACCGCGAGAGACGTCATGGAGCTCGAGGATACGGACGTAGGGGAGTTCGAGCTACTAGAGGGAAGCAGCAGCATGTCGTTGGAGGATTTGAGGAAACCAGTTACTCTTAAGGAGTGGAACGGATTCTTTGATCCTCGCACTGGACGACTGAACATTACTGTTGATGAAGTAAAGGAGCGAATCTTCCACGGTGGGCTTGACCCTGATGATGGAGTGCGAAAAGAAGCATGGCTATTCCTGCTCGGCATCTACGACTGGTATAGTACTGCACCTGAGAGGAAGGCTCAGCTGGCGTCTTTGAGAGACGAATATGTCAAGTTGAAGGCAGCCTGGTGGGAACGGTTAATTGATCTTGGTGGCCAAGGTGAGGAGGGAGAGTGGTGGAGAGAACAACGCGGCCGCATTGGTTTGTATTCCCTTGTCTACATAAAAAACTTTGACGAGCTCACAATATGAAACAGAAAAAGACGTTCACCGGACAGACCGAAATGTGCCGATCTTTGCAGGAGAAAACATCCCCCATCCTGATCCAGATTCACCTTTCGCGGAGACCGGCACGAATGTCCACATGGAGCAGATGAAGGACCTTCTTTTAACATACAACGAGTACAACAAGGAGCTTGGATACGTCCAGGGAATGTCGGACCTACTCGCCCCTATATATGCTGTCATCCAAGATGATGCTATCGCCTTTTGGGCTTTTCAACACTTTATGGATCGCATGGAAAGGAATTTTCTACGAGATCAATCGGGAATGAGGAAACAGCTCACAACTCTGGACCACCTCGTGCAATTCATGGACCCTAAGCTTTACGCGCATCTGCAATCTGCGGACAGCACGAATTTCTTTTTCTTCTTCCGGATGTTGTTGGTATGGTACAAGCGAGAGTTCCCATGGATGGATGTATTACATTTATGGGAAGTGCTTTGGACAGATTACTTGACCAGCAGCTTCCATCTTTTCATTGCTCTGGCTATTTTGGAAAAGCACAGAGATGTCATCATGAACCACCTGCAACACTTCGACGAGGTCCTGAAATACGGTAAGCTTTCAATCTTGAAAGTAAAATGGCGATGGTTACTGACATATAATATATAGTCAATGAGCTTTCTGGAAGCATTGATCTTGATTCGACCTTGATCCGGGCTGAGTCTCTATTCCGTCGGTTTAGGAGACTGATCGAGACCATTGATAAGAAACCCAACTTTCCCGCACCTCGTGCCCGCCCGAGCTTAGGCTCTCCTTCAACCTCGTCCGAGGCGGCGAATGCTCCGCAACCACCAGCCAATGGCTCGCCCCGACGCGATACAGGAAAGGCTCCAGAACAGAAGAAGGAGGTGGAGAAGGTGATCACACCCGAGCTGCGAAGCCTATTGAGTCGAGAGGTTGAAGTGCTACCGAGGAAAGAGGTCGCCGGTAAGGGCGAGGGCCTCTTCTCGGACAACAGAAAATGATGGGTTATGTGGATAAATTCGGATTAGGTCGCCTTGTATTACATAGCTTGTTTATATCCAGCGCAAGAACATATTAGCTCACTGCAACGAACCGGAGCGTATTCCTGTCATAATCAAGTCTGATTGCTTTTCCATGTCATCAATTCCCTGACGACTTTTGTCGTCGAGTAGGTGTTTATATACATCTATAGTATTGCTGTAAAATCACAGCTCATCTTTCAGGTGCTCAGAACCACCACTGAGATTATCCATTGCCATAATCTTGACCACGAGACTCGTCCAGCCTGTAAAGTGCTGCGTCCTTTGACCTTGACCAGTCTCTGGGTTATATTGTTCCCAGGCGAAGCCGGTTTCCTCCCAGCTCTTGAAAACGGTGTCTACCAAATTCTTGCGCAGCCGTGTGTACAGGTCCTTTGCCTGCTTTTGGTGCGGTCCGTTTTGCTTGGCAAGATTCTGTAGAGAGAGATGTCAGCAGAGAGAGATTAATTAGAATACCCCGTTTACTTACGTATAGCTGCGTGACCGCGAGATAGTTGATGTTCATCCATACTGGACTACGCCAGTAATTCTCATCCGTGCCGTACAAGTCGTCTTTCCGGCTTAAACTTCGGATACCGTGAGGACTCCATAGCTCCTCCTCGTCGCCAATGAGGCTCAATATCTTGCCCAGCTTCGGGCTATCGGGCTTCAACAAGCCAGTCAGAAAAGGGAACAAGGAGATATATCCTTTGTGGCACACTAGTGAGTGCTCCTCGAAATCATCGATGGTCGCGTCACAATAGCAGCCATCTTTCTCTGACCAGTGCAGGTCGTCAAGGTTGTGCTCAATCGCGTTGAGAACCTTTTTGAACTCTTCGACTTCGTCGGGTCGATCAAGAGCGCCGGCGATGTTGATGAGGGACTTCGTCATCAATCCAACCCATGACATGAGATCAACGTGAAGCTCACCCGGATGGGGTGGCTGTGCTCGTGGATAATCATCAAGCCCACTAGTCAGAACGTGTCGCTCGGTTCTGCCACGCCATCTATAGGCTTCCTTCTTTGAAAAAGCCTCTCGATCATAGGACTTGATATCACCATACTGGGTCTTCTTGAACCAGTCAAACTGGCGGCGAAGAAATGGGTACAACCGACGAAGATAATCAAGGCCAACTGTAGGATTGTCGAGATGAGCCGTAGATAGAGAGACGCCTTGTGAGAGCTTCTCTTTCTCTGATGGCATACTACCGTTCATCCTCTGAAGTCGTGAAACAAATTCGTCAATGACTAAGAACAGTGTTGGTGGGTTGGCATAATGTGGATATTGGACTTGGAACTCTTCCGGAACCTTGCTTCGAGCCTCTGGTCCCAGGATTTGCTCCCTAGCGATCCAGCCGTCTTCATCCATTAGGTTGAACCAGCTCTTCACGATCTCAAGAGTAAGATCTATGTCCCAGTCCGCAATCGGCATGAGGTGGAATCCTTCATCCCACAGAAACCCTCGAGGGAAGAAGGGCCTTGATGGGATGCTGGAGAAGAGCTCATAAGGACCCTCAAGCTTCTCCTGCTTTCGGGCCCGTGCCTCAGCCGCCTCCTCCCAGAAACCCTCGTTTTCCTCTTCATATTCAGGGGCATAGGACCGATCCACAACAGAGTGGCCATAGAAATAGCCGATACCGCCAATTAAGTTTGAGAACATGCTCCTACCAAATTTCTTGTACTTCTCGGCAGTGAAAGGAGCCTTGGGAGCAAAGACGTTTGAGAAGCGCTCTCCAAATGATTCGGTAGTCGACTGAATCTCTCGGGTCAAGTCCTCGCTCGTGACTTCCTTACCAGCCGAATGACTAGAGTAAAGAATATCGAACTCGAAAGGACCCTCGAACATCTTCTGAATCATGTGCACATTTCCCATACCAGGCTTGTTCGTGAGCTGATATACCTGCCACGGTGGTGGCGGCTGATTGGGGTCATAGTTCTCCATAATATAGTCGACGCCTTCCTTGAGCTGTCGGAATAGAATGGGCTTCGCCTGCCAGACAAAATCCTCGGGAACAGTCACAGACTGGATCACAGTCTTCCCCAAGTCGCGCTGCTCCGATAACTCATGGTCACTCATGGGATGATCGCCTGTGCCCTTGGTTACCACGAGCTTGTACTTTCCCAAGGACTGAGATTGTCCCTCCAAAGCGAGATCCCCATCATATCCTAGCGGGTCCTCAGATTCATAAGCAGCTAGGCTACTACCAAGCCCCTCGTCCTGTGAGACGTAGAATATGACGGTTGTCTTCAGATCGGAAGGCCCATCGGCTCTTGGTTCTCCCTTGATTCTGGCAGCCCAGCTGCCTCCATGCGCGCCGCCAGGGATCTTGACAAAAGACGTCGTGATGTCGATATTGTTGCCAGCATCGTGGATCGTCTGTACGCCGCCCTTCCGTGTATCATATTCATCCCAGCCATATCCCGCCATGCCCTCATGCTGCTCGCAGGTGTATCGAATGCCTGTCGGACACTGGTGGTCAGCCCTGGCACAAGTGGCGTACAGTTGTAGCAGAAGGGAAGCAACATACTGTTCTGGACTTCCTGGTAGTTGTCGACCTTTGCCCACATCAGCCCGGTCATTAGACTCTTGGGTATCCTGGGCCGGATTCCGAAGTAGAGGTTCGGTCGGTAAGGGCCCCATAGCAAGCTCTGGTTGTTTGATCGCCCAATCTCACTATTCAGAATGGATTCCTCGTCTGCAGCTCCAGCTGCAAGTCCCTGGGCGCAGAAGACGCTGAAGACAAGAAAAGTGACCAGCGCGGTCAATTGGCGAAGGACCGCCATGTTGGGAATCAATGCGCAAAACCCTGCGTTGAGGATTGACAGTGCAATCCGCGGGGCGTTCAAACCTTGGTTCGGAGAGGGATGCGGATTCTGAACACGTTTGGCGGTTTGAAGCTCTGGCCAGCTCGGTTCAGGTCTGCGGTCCGTGGCATGAAGCTGCCACGCAACCTTAGGTAGGGCATGTGGGGTAATTACGCCGAATACAGGGGCTCAGCTAGGCGTCCCCCACCACCATTATAGTGGAGCATTCGTTGGTGTATGGCGTCTTCAAACCGACGTGGTCACCTGAAGTTGCAGTATGGGATTCAGTGCCTAGGTACCAAGGTAGGTATCTAAGACATCTATGTGTGAACTTTTGCGGCAACTGCCAGTTCTGATCTCAGGGTAATGTCCATGTAAGCCAGCTCTTTAAACGAATTGTTTACATCATTGTATCGTCTTTTCAAAGAATTAGGCCAATATCCTAGTCTCGAGGGTGCATCCACTACAGAGGGCAAGTTCTTGAATAACAGCAACTTTCTAGGGTATCTATAGAGCAACCATACTGTGCCCAGAAGTATGAGTGAGACGAGGGCGTTGACAAAAAGATGTTGTACAGCAACATACTGCCCGGTTGGTGCACCGTCAAGGACTCCGTTGTGTCTCTCATCGACCTGGACTTAGAGGTCGGTTGAATCCTCCCACACGGTTCATGTACTGACGATATTCCGTCGTCTTCTCCTTGCGAACCGCTCCGATATTGTTACCGGCAATCTTCTTACCCTTCGTCGTACCGAAACCGCCAAAGCCCATCATGGCCTGCATGGCCGCCATTCCGTCGTCCTCGACTTCAAGTTCCTCTTCGTCTTCATCCATAGCCTCACCTTGTTCACGGTCATCCGTGCCATCACGGTCTCTCCGGTCCTCCTCCTCACGGCTCTGTTCTCGCTCGCCATCTTGGCCTGCGCCAACCTTGACAGACATGGTCCCGTGCGCATGCGCTCCACCCGGTCTTTCTCCACCCTTAGATCTCGTTGGAAGATATTCACGGCGCGGGCTTTCGCTGCGGCCTGGGGACGCCGATCGTCGCCGTTCGGCATGTCGGTCTTGAGGAGCTGTGTCAACACCATCTCCAAGTGTCATATGCGTAAAGCCAACATTCATCGCCACGTCCTTTCCATGAAATGCAAGTTGCCGGGTCCATGACATACCTTTTCCATGATTTGGCGGTTCTTCATCTCGATACCTAGCCGGTCGTCCATTGTCTCTCGGCTCGCCTCTGTCGCGCCTATCTCTGCCCTTGCCTCTGTCATCGCGGTCTCTCGGGCGAGCGTACTCCCGATCGTCGTCACGCACCCGCTCGCGCTCCCGCGACCTAGATCGATGTTGATTGTCTCTCCTGTCTCGAGACCTGGATCTGTAGCGACGCCTGTGATCTCGATCATCGCCGTCGCGCCGTCGGTCGCGGTCATCTCTTTCTCTCCGATCGCTTCGGTCACGGGGCCGGCCTTGGTCGCGCCGGGGAGCACGCTCCTCATCGCCCCACTGACGACGACCGTCAAAGCGGCGGTTGCGGCTTGGATCGGACATCATGCGTTGCCGTCACGTTTATGGCAAAGTGTGTCGAGGACAGTTGTAAATGGCGTGCGGCAAAACAAAAGCCTGGCCTATGCGGCTGAAATAAGGCTTTAGGCCTCACGTGCTGACAGCACTGTGGCGCGCTAATTACTAGCGGGCGATCCACTGCGCTGGGCCCTGCAGCCCTACCGCGATAGAAGCCTAGTTCAGGCTGAGGGTGACTCAATACCGAGAGGTCAGCCGGACGTCTCAACGTTGAAGCCTGCTACCGCAATGACCTTCATTTTGCATTCTTACGTATCTATAGACGCTTCATGTAGGCATGTAACTGAAAGCTATGCTAAGTAACCACTCCTTTTAGCGAGGACAATACTTCGCTACTCTAATGCATTTTATTATCTATACAAGTCATTTAAACGATAATACTCTCCATCCCTACAGTAGCTCATCTTCCTCACAGCCTGGGTCAAGCCCAAGACTGCAATGAAAATGGAGCGTAGAAGTTCGCGTCGCTTGGAGACAGTGTAAGACCAAGAACACAGTGGATGCTGGTCATGGAGCAAGCTCCAGCGGACCGGCCTCCCAAGTATAAAAATTTAGGATAACCTAAAGATGCCCCCCGGTGGAGGGTTATCAGCGGCTAAACTGAAAAGAACAGATACTACACTTGATCTAAGCCATTAGGCAAAGAGAGCTGGAGAAGAAAAGAAAGAAGAGATTGAAGATGTGGGAGAGACGCCAACTTATATACTTAGACGAGAGTTGGCCCGTGCGAATGTGCAAACTTTTGGGATAATTCTCGCGCCTGGCGCCTAGGGATAATTAAACTCGTTCAGTACACGTGGTGCAGTGTTGGAGACTTATTATGACTCTATGAATCGAGGCTATGTTTGTAAGTGAGTCACGTTAGACAGGAATAGAGAGGCAAGACGCCTCCCTAGAGGATCCACGCTGATGTCGAGCCCCTCTACAAACTGTAGAACTTACAAGAGCCATAGCTATAGCCGTTTGGACCCACGCTGAAGTTCAATATGTTGAAATCAGATATTTGATATTTCCTGTGGTCTTGTTATTATATCTCATCCTCTTCATCATCGAAATCGTCTTCGCGACCCATTTCATATAGGATCCGCCCACCCTCTCCAGCTCCGATGTCAGTCTGTGCATCGAAATACGGCAGAACAATGCCCTCCCTATCCTTCCGCTGCTTCTCCGTGAGACCCAAGTTAAATGTAGTCTGCATGTCGTCCTCCTCCTCATTTGCTCCAGCAAATACTTCTCCATTCGCGTCAGCTGGCGGCGCGAATAGACTGTGGTCTGTGAGGAGCGATATCCTCGATACCCCTGTCTGTTGACCTCCAGGCATCAGAACAAACTTCTCCGCCACAGCGCGCCCACTCCTTCTCCTCATTTCCATCTCAAGGACAACACCGTCGCCTGCCCCATTGTCGGTTGCTTTCACACCAATGATGGCGCCCTCTCGTCCTTCTCGCAGTCCCCACTCCGGTTCCTGCAAACTCCTGTTCTGCGCCCGTCTCCTTTCCACCGCTTGGTAAAGACTCGATACCCGCAGCACAGCTGTGGCAAGATGGCTCAAAACTCCCAACGGATGAGGTTCATACTCACTGAAGCCTTTCGGGAGAACTAGCGGGACATCTGCATGGTAGACAGCTACCACTGAGACAGCTGGTGTGATAATACTTGACAGAAAAGCAGACAGAAAGCGAGGCTCTGTGGCGGCCAAGGAATTTAGCGTATCAATAATAATCAGGGCTTCTGAAATCAAGTTAGTGAGCTGATGGTGGTACTCAGAACGTATGGATCTTCATACTCTGGGCTGGAGTGTCCTGACTAGTAGATCCCGCTGGATTTGGGCACTGCTTGACAATCTCGGACCTTAATGCGCTCAAAGGCTTTCCTCTTGCTCTTATAAAGGCGTCTGCATTTTCTGGTTTCTTCACAGTGGCGTATGACACGAATATGACTTTACTGCGAGAGATCTAGAAACTTTTCATCAGCCATTTCATGTCGATGTATCGCCCCCTCTGATTTCACTTCAAACAATGCTGGGACGGAGGTCGTAGAATGACTGCAACGCACCTTTGCTCGACTTGTAAACTCCCTGATTAGAGGACTAGCACTCTGCTCGAGATTATCGAGGACCAGAGTCAGTGGACTGGCGCTGTCTCTCAGGTTGAGCAATTTCTGCAACAGGAGCAGACTATGCGATCGATTATGCGCCTGCACTGACGGTGCCATCGTGTGGCGAGCTCAATCCTCAGCCGTGCGAATGCGTCGCAATGTATGAAAATACGACTTTATGGAGTCAGAGATTGTATAAGATATGTGTACCCGAGGGCTTAACTAAACGAGTGTTGTATGATTCGTTAAAGTCTCGAGTTGTGATCTTTAAATTCCAGACGCTGCTAAAGTACGAGAGTTAGGTCGCGGGCTCTCCCCACAATTACCCGTTACATTGACCTTGCGCTATAGCTCGCCAGCTTACCTGATTCACTACACCTATAGATAATTCGCTAACTTGCCCAAGTTCTTCTTCAGAGGCCCAAACTTCCGCAACAGTGAGACTATCCGTAATTTCACAGAGAGTCATCCAATGATGATATGGAGATTCGGTTGAGGTTTTAGTATTAATTCCGGAATTTAGACAATGAAAGTCCATATTCAGGCTACCAAGGTATCTACACCTCCGCCAGGGTAATAAACATTACTCTAGCGACTTGAATATACCAGAAAACCAGGGTTGAGAATACCTGATTGAGGCTTCGAAGATTCTGTTTATTTCTATAGCCCCGCTGGTCTTGACAAAAGTAGCAACTCCCTTGTCTGAAAAGTCAGCGATTCCCACTCAGAATTAACAAATATTACCCCGGCAGAGGTATAATTACCTAGCAATCGCATAGTCTATGGGTATATGAATTTGGATGGGCAATGGTCCATGTGAGAAAGCAATTGCCTGTCAATGATCCCAGTGCAGCAGCACATGTCGGGACGTTTGCTCAAAACAGATTTGTTCATATCTCAGATCATCACCCTAGCACTGTCCCTTCCCTTTCCTGGATCGTTACGATGGAGCCACCAGGGTTCATGGGATTTGATATCATAGGTCATGGCAGACAACGCCATTCCTGGCTCACTATCTTTTTGTCCTATCGCAATACTGCAAACCGAGTTTTGCGAATCACGCGTTCTCGGTCGAGTCAACGCCCATCGTCTCGACGGGCTTAGCCGCCTCGGAGATGTTACCGTCTGCACCTTTGGCAATGACTTCGCTGTTGACATCGGTGACTTCTCCGGAAAGCTCATCGGGGGCCTCAGACTGATAATTGGTAGTCGGCATCTCTGACTGTTGCGGTGGTAGGACCTTTGCCAGCTTGTACTCCACCGGCAGTTCCACGCCCCAGTCACTTTCGAATTTCTTGATCTTGAATTCATCGAATTCGCCGGTCTCACGTCTCTCGTGAGCAATCCAAGCCTCCTGCAACCACTGGGGATCGAGCTGTCCATTGGCAATAGCATCCTGGAAACGAGCCACGTCGTGGCGGAAGTTGTCGTCGTTTCGCAAGGACTGAATATTGGGACAAGCGTCCTCAGTCCCGGCGTTGAGGATGTGTTGCTCATCGGGAAATTTTGCCAAGATCTCCTTCTTTTCCTGTGCGGTGAGGACTGTCCAGGCGTCTGGATGTGATAGTAGAGCCTGAGTTATTGCATAAGTAATGATTCCCACCTGAGGGACATGTGAGATGAAGCTACTTACTCGAAGATCGACCTTAGTAAGAGCTGAGGCTGGATCTTCCAGCAAGAAATCGGGATCCCACTTTTTGCTTCTCATCTTCGGTTTCTTGGCCGTGGATGTGGTGGTCTTGTTGAAGGCTGCCCGATGGGGCCGTTTTCCATCCATGTTGACTTCGATGCTGGGCTCTGGGTCCTCAGAATTGTCTTTTGGCAGTTCTGTGCTCACACCGATCTTCTCCAACTGCTCTGCAATTCCTGAGTTTTCATGGGTAACCGGGCTGATCAGGGTGTCTATATCCTCTTTGGGGTCGACGATGCTTTCCGGGGGAGATGAAAGGGCCGATGATGCAACACTTGCCCCTGAGTCATCTTGAGGCGCCATCATCTGTCTGGTCACGTGAAGTCTTTCGTCTGATGTTGATGTTGTTGTGCGATGAAATGAGGTCGGTGGTTGTGGTGGTGTTCAGAACAACGGCGGATGGTGGGTACTCAACAACAGCACCTTTACAAAGGAAGGTGCTCTTTTGCAACAGAAACTGCAGGAACGCTAGAGATTACATACTTAGTAATCTAATGTATTCCTACATGGCTTCATATCAGTCCATCTTGTTTATAATTGGGGTTCGAAAAGAGGTCAGAAAGTAGTAGTTAAATCGAAGTTAACTCGATACCCGTAGTCGTAGTAGGCGGTTGATGTTAGAAGCGCGAGGCTGTGAGACCGGCCCACAGCGCCATTAGAGCAATGACGACAGCCGGAAGAGCCATTGGCCAGCCTTACAGGCCGTGCATGTGCCAATCTTGAATTCCTGCCCGGCCAGCTCAGTAGCTTCTAATCCAGCATACCTTCATCAATTCGAAACATAAGAAACCTTGCACCAGTGCCAGAACATCAGACCAGTCAATAATCATATTTTTGCATACCTATTCCTTCTAAACGGTATCAGCCTCTTCTCGACCTAGGCAGAGCTCAAAGGACGGCAAGTTGCAGAGGCCACGTAGATGCAGATGCCCAGGCTGCATTGAGGAAACACAGCAGCTATCAACGGCCTCTTTCTTCCCTCACCCAACCATTTACAATCACTTCCACACAAAATCAGAATGATTCGCTCAACGCAAATAGCAAGGCTTGATGGTATACTTACCACTATTCATCCCTTAGGATGATATCCAAACGCCCGCTAACAATCTCACCCCTTTCCTAGGCCTTATGCTCTGTGCTTCCGTCGACGACGAGCAGACCGAGTCGTCGCTATCAGAGATCAAGTCGCAAATCAAGCTGATTCTGCGCCGACTGAACCGCAACTCAGAGCCGCAGGCGTCGATCGAGAGCGGCGGCTACACGATCCACTACCTCATCTCCTCGGACATCGTCTACGTGTGCATTACCGACAAGTCGTACCCGCGCAAGCTGGCCTTCACCTACCTGCAAGACCTAGCCACCGAGTTCAGCACCACCTATCCTATGGGCCAGCTGCTGAGCACGACGCTGCGCCCCTACGCCTTCATGGAATTCGACACCTTCATCAGCCGCACCAAGGCGACCTACAGCGACACCCGCGCGACGCAGAACCTCGACAAGCTCAATGACGAGCTGCGCGACGTCACAAAGGTCATGACCAAGAACATTGAGGACCTTCTATACCGAGGAGACAGCCTGGACCGCATGGGCGAGATCAGCAGTCGGCTGAGGGACGACAGCAAGAAGTACAGGCGCGCGGCGGTCAAGATCAACTGGGATCTGATGCTCAAGCAGTACGGCCCCTTTGCCGCGCTGGGGCTCATCATTCTCATCTTCCTGTGGTGGCGGTTTTTCTGAACGCGCCTCGTGCTGGACGCTTGATTACCCACGATGGAAGCAACTGGTTCTGGCATTTTGGAGCAGGAGTCATGGCATGGACGGCAACTTGGAGGCCGGAAAACTTGTGTATGGGGTTCTATGTAATATTAAGGGGATTTATGTGCCTATAATCGTAGAGCAGCGTCGGCGTGCCCATCCATCCATTCAGTCGTGAGCGGAAACTCCTGCCCGTAACATAAACAAACAAGAATAAAGCTTTGAATCCAAGACGATGCGAAAACTCTATGGGAGTATCATGAGTGTGGTCCAATTCATCATTCAGAGGCCCCCTTTTCGAATCCAAAATAACGCCATGCCCCCCTTGACTCTTGGTCGTAGAAGTAATCAAAAAGCCAATAACGCCGTCACATAAGTAGACAATTTCCCGTAGAAGGGGCAATGGAGGGCACCTGCACTGAGGTGTGATGCCACTCGAGATGTTCCTGAAACGCCTTTAGGTCGGAGAGGCCCCTTTCATCCTGAGCATACTTCACTTGGTCCAGCTCATCGTCTCCTTGCTGATAGTACGTGTACTCGTCACAGAACGGGCACCATATCCTTGCCCTCCAGTCTCCGCTTTGGGGGCCGAGGTGGTTGGCAATTGCCAACGGTGCAAAGACGATAGTCTTATCCTCCCCGCTCGAAATACTCTTCGTGGTTGCTTGCCAGTTTGGCTGGTCAGTGATTCCCGGCAAGAGCGGCGTTCTTGAGGACGGCATGCTCTGAACGTCTTCCCACACGATGAACCCATCGCAGAAGTCGCAAGAAAAGGCGATGTCTCGATCTCCAAATCTCTCGAATCTCCCAACCGCATTACAAGCCGGTACAAGCTCTTCCAAGCTCAGTCTTCGCTCGAGCGCATCCGGCTGCTGGCTGTACTCCGTTCGCTCCATTGTCTGGGCATCCTCCTGTCGCTGTTGCGCCTCCTGGCCTTCCCACCGCGGCAGCTCCTCTCGATGCTGCTCATAGCGTTGACGTTGTTGCCCCTGCCGCTGGGCTTCTAATATGCGCTGCTGTCGGTAGACCTCGAAGGCGCCGAGACACCTCACACTGTCCTCCTTCTCAGATTGAAAGATGCGCCTGGCCGCGCGACACTGTGCCCGATGCAGCTCCCTCTTCAGTTCGCCCGTCTCGCGTGCCCATATCGGGTTGATCGGTCCTCCCGTGCGTAGCCAGTCCTTGAAGTTCTGGGCGTGGAAGTCGAACTTGGTCTTGAGAACGCGCAGTTCCTCGAGAGATTCCGCTACATAATAGTCAGCACGACTGGGGCTTTATTTGCCATTGGCCTCGCTAGAGAACATGGGCGTCGTCCATCGGTCAGGAAATGCGCAGAACGGGGCAGCTTGCGCAGCGGGGTGCTCTCGTGAGATGCGCCAGCTGGGAGGCTTCCCATCCTCCCCGAATGGCGCCGCAGCACCCTACGCCGCGCTGTGCCTCAATTGCAACAAGGCATTCGGGAGATTCCACTTACTTCTTCGGTCGTTCTCGTAGTAGAACTGGCCATTGACTAGCGGACCGAGCTCCTGGAAGTCGCGCTTGGCGTCGTCGAGAGCATCCTCGAGCGCGCGGATCTGCTCGAACTCGTCGGGCCCCCACTGGCGCTTATCGGCGAACATGAGCATGCGCAGCGAGTCGTTGAGCGAGTTGGCGATGCTGCCCAGGAGCGAGCCCACCGTGTCCGGACTGCTGCTCATTGTTTGGGTCCGGGGTCCGGGTCCGGGGGTTGAAGGGTGCAGCGCCCCGGGTCACGGGTCGTCGGGTGTGATCATTCACAAGAGGGTTCGTTTGGCTATTCGCGAGGATTGCGTAGTTGAGAAGAGGAGCAGAAGGAGGAGGATGAGCACCTAGGAAGAAGGATTGCCGGAGCTTCAGGCGGCCCGTCTCACTGGCGTAGATGCTGGGGTATGATAATAGAGCCTAGTGCCTGGAACGGGGGATTGAAGTCGTCGATCAGTGTTACAGACTACCGAGATGCGCAAGATGTTGATCTATGAATCCTGCTGGAAATTGGCTGAGGGAGGCGTGTCCGATATGAGTACAACCTTTAGGTTTCGGTATGGGCGAGAGGGTTCAGTATGACCGGAGAGCAATAGGTCAAGTCTCGGTATCTTAGGCAGTCCGGTCTAAGCCATTGAAGATGACGCTCTCGCGGAGGGAACCAATGACCCGCACTGCGGCGTCAAGCCGTTCAGGAACCCCTCGACTGTTACTGCCACCATTGGCAGCTTTACGGCACTGGGGAATGCGAAAGGCCACGCGTTGATTTGCCAGCATCCCGCTGTAAGTCTAGCGGCTAAGGCCTAAGTTCGGAGGTTTCAAGCCACGTTCGCACTGACCTCCACTGATTAGACCCCGCCAAGTCAGCCTTAACGGGAATTTCCTCTCGTGCCAACCTAATGTCCCAAGGGTCCTGGCCTGTGCCGCCTTTGCATTGGGGACCCGACGGGCTACAAGAGAGGCATGTCCGACAGGATTGGTCAATATCAAGATGTTAGATGATAAATTGGAGGACTTGTTTTCATATTTACTTCAGTCTGTCAAAATGGTGTCACTTTTTGGAGTATTATCGGAAGTGTATGATGGAGACATCGTGATATCCGAGCTCGACTTGCCGCTCTATCTCACGATAATGCTACTATTGTGTGTGAATTCGAGATGCAATGCCTATCAAACACACCTGTTCTCAAACTTGCCTCCCAAGTATGCCAGAATCATGCGAGCCATCTAATGCAACCAAAATACACATCTAAAGATTTTGACAACTCACACTTATTTCCTCTTGGTAGCACTTCCTGTGTCAGCCCCAGTGGCCTTTTGCGCCTTGGCAGCAACCTTCTTCACTTTCCCGGTTGAAGCACTGTCGGGGACAGCTGGGGGCAGTGCCTTGCCCTCATCCTTCTTCTCCTCTTCCACAACATCATCATCGCCACCCTGACCAAACTCGTTGACGCGGGTGTAGTCAATCTTGTACGCCCACCGCTGGTACAGATAGATGAAGAAGATGACATCGTCTCTGAGCGTTGCCATCCTGTGGAGGAAGGGCATCTTGATGGTGAAGGCGAAGAGGTCGTCAATGAAGGTATTCAGGAATTTGTACATCATGGCCTTTGCGGGCATGTGCGCCACGCTCTTGAGGCGGTAGTTGATGTACAGCGATGGCACCATCATCAGGAAGCCATAAGCGTAGACAGAGCCGACAAGAGTGGTGATGATGTATGAGTACCAAGACTTGTGGGTGTCGTAGATGAGCGAATAAATAGCATAGCCAATGAGTAGGGGGATTCCGGCCCAGTACATGTACTTAAAGGCAATCTCGTCATACTCCTTGGTCTTCTCCTCCGTGTCGCTCAACTTATGCTTGTCTTCAAAGGCTATCCGATAAGGTATCAAGGAACCCGGCGGGGCATTTCTCACTCGGACATCGACAACAGTCGTGATCTTCCAGAATTCAATGAGGATACCCACGCCTTGAGAGCCCAGAATCATCCAACTGGTGTTCTGCGAGTTGTCGACAAGGTATAAGAAGATGACAGTCTGCATGAACACATTCGCTAGAATGGAGCGTACTGAAATGCCGACATTGTCCTTCTTCTTGCGATAGTGGGCAATATCCGATCCAAAGGCAAGCATCTCCAGAATGATGTGGGCGATACTGACAACAATTGTAACACCAAGAAGAATCGGATTAGTATCCAAGAAAATTTCCTTGATCATTTCAATCTCGCTGCCATCACCGCCGCCAGGGGCTGGGTTACCATACGCGGCCTGGCGAGCAGTCTCCCGGGAGCTCATCTCAATGGATGTCATAATGTTGAACTTCCAATTGGCAAGGTTATTGAGATCGATGTGGACCGGCAATGTCTTGACCGTGTCATTGAGGACCGTCATCTGGCTCTTGAGCTGCCAAAAGGAGTTGACAAACAGAATTGGATAATACCATGTGTTCTGTCCAGAGCCATCACGAGCGCCGCTAGCCTCCAGGTGCAGGAACTGGCGAACAGCGGGATGAGTCTGCCCAAAGACCATGGCACCTGTGTTCGGAATGAAGGACAAAGATGCGTTCGGATGGTAGTAGCTGCCAACGATGGGCCCAGAAGGCTCCTCCACTTCTTCTTCGACCTCTTCGACATCTTGGGCTTCAAGCAGATTCCTCGTCTTGGCAACCTTCTTCCTGGCAATGTACTGAGTAAAGGGATAGACAAAATGATAGGCCTTGCCGACATCATAACCGGGTTGAGCGGGATCCAAGATACTTCCAGACAGTCCAATGAAGAAGTGTCCCCAGAGAGTGCCATTGTTCTGCACCTCGGGTGGGACATCGATGGTGGTATCAATCGTGCGCTTCTCACTCCAGTTTCCAATCTTGAAGTCCTTCTCTTGCAGCACAATTAGATCCTGAGGGGTGTCCTTGATACCCTTTGGAATATGGGTCGGCGAGAGCGTCACGACAATGTCGATCTTGCTATCTTCGGGCCAGATGGGCACTATACGCTGCGGGATAGTGTTGTATGTTGCGCCATCGTCCAATATCTTGGGTCGAGCAACATAGGGAGGAATATCCCCAGTGTTTGCTGGAACCGCAACCTCGTTACCGCTAGCATCCTTGACAGTGGCCGTCTTCGAACCGCCCATGAATTGGCCCATGAGCATATTCATGCCAAAGTACATAGCAGCACCAATCAGAAGCCGGTTTGTCAACGACATCTGCATGATAGTTGTTGGTCAGCTTGTATTGCGCAACAGCAGATAATAGATTAGGGGTACTTACGCCTCCCTCCTCTTCCCGCAGCGCGGGCGCACCCTGCGCCGCAACATTGCCTTCAGGCATTCTCGCGAATTGGAACTGGAGCAATTGAAGAGTCGGCCGATCAGAGAGAGCACTGCGCCGTCCGGGTGTTCCAAGCCTCTTTTCCCGACCGTGATTGTCTTGCACGGTGCTTGAGGAGAGGAGTTTGCTAAGGTCCAAGTGCCAGCCAGATCCCAGATCAGCGAGCGCCGACGCGGACCCCGAAAAAATGCTTGCTTTCCCCCGCTAAACGAGCACCTCATCCAATGGCCGATAGCGTTCATTGCAGACGGCGAGTCGGCTAATCAGGGGCCGACCTTCCACCACCTGCACCTGCTCCGAGAGAAGACGCCACTGAGATCTCGCGGGCCTTGCCAATCCAATTCCACAAAGCTGACTCGGGAATATACTTAATGTACTGTTACAAGATTCAGTACGCTGCGCGCGACGATCGAGGTCTTATGCGCTTCTCAGCGCCCCGGGAGACGGCATATGTGCCTTGATTTGCATTGCGCAGGGGCCCTTTCAATATCCAGCCTCGAATTGGTCCGGCTGGCGTCTTGACCTGAGTTCACTGGGCTTGAGCAGGCCTATGCGGTGATGTTCATTCGCCGGCTTGGTTTCTCCATGTCATCAGCGTGGTCACAAGGCCCTGGGGAAGACGGCGGCTGGCGGCGGCCCCGCCAGCGTACCTGGCCGGAGCCAATATGACGGGCGTGAACAGCTGGAGCGTCACGATTCATTCATTACTAAAGTTACCTAAGGTAGGTAAGGTATTTGAAGGCGAGCATGTGTTGTGTATAACTAGTTGGGTTGTGCTCTCTCTTTTGCTCCGTCTCTTCCCTTCTCATTTCTCGATTATCATCGATTCTCTTAATAGCGACGCCATTCCCTTACGTACGTTAAAACTGTCTCATTCTTATCATTGTTACGTCGTTGTCTAAGGTTGCCCGGTTCCCCACCGCTTCCGTTGCTCTAGCTAGAGCTCTTGAGATCTTAGACAAACTTGCAGCTGCCCCCTTCACTTTCCAAGTTCAATCTTTCAGGGCATTTGCTAGCTACTCTCCGCTGGTCTTTGCTATACAGTCTCTTCACAAGCAGAAGCATACAACCGTATCAATATGGTTGCCATGGAGTCTGGAGGGGTCTCCCCCTTCCCAGCATCACGGACATCCACTCCCTCCAGCCAGAATCCCAATGGCCCTCGCCAGACCAAGATCTGTGTCTACTGTGGCTCCATGCCGGGCGAGAGCCCAGCGCACATGGAAGCAGCCCGGGAACTGGCGCGCACAATGGCGGCAAACAATATTGGACTAGGTGAGTCACTCGGCGACGGTCCCTGCGTCCGATCTTCAATGCGCGCCCCGCCGAACACCGCGCTGACCTGCATGCAGTCTATGGGGGCGGAACAGTCGGTCTGATGGGCGAGGTCGCAAAGACGCTGGTGGCCCTGTCCGGTCCGGACGCCGTCCACGGCATCATACCCGAGGCGCTGGTCAAGTACGAGCGGGATCCAACCTACACCTCCACGGTGGTCAATGGGGACAAGCCGCTGGCCATCCCCGAGGAGAAGACATTTGGCAAGACGACGGTCGTTAAAGATATGCACACGCGCAAACAAATGATGGCGCAGGAGGTCATAGCCGGCGGCCCTGGCAGCGGCTTCATCGCGTTGAGCGGGGGTTACGGAACGATGGAGGAATTGCTCGAGGTCTGCACTTGGAACCAGCTGGGCATCCACAACAGGGGCGTATGCGTTCTGAATGTCGACGGGTTCTATGACGGGCTGCTCGAGTGGATCAAGAAAAGTGTTCAGCAGGGTTTCATCAAGAGCAGGAACGCAGACATCTTGGTCACAGCCACTACGGCGGCAGATGCTATCAAGGCGCTGCGGGACTACAAAGTGTCCGAGGCTGTGTACAAGCTCTCCTGGGGTAATGAGTGATGTCGCATCAGCATAGCTAGATGTCTTGTGGAGTTTTGGTGCTACATATCGGCTATGCGTTTCGCTACGGCACGGGACAAAGTAGCAGGACATGGCTCATGACTTGTACGTTTTAGGAGGCAGTGGATAGATATGGCCCTGATAGAATGCCTACTCTCTAACGTCTCGGCAAAATAAATACGCCTCTCTGGAAGAACCTGGTTTTGTCCTTTGCAAGCCTCTAATACCTGTTTAATAGTACACATCCGTAGGCAGGATCAGTGTGACTATTCGTTTCCACTGGATGCGCTGCCTCTGGAGGGATTCTCCTGAACAAACACCTAGCTGTCCACCTCCATTCCCTCGCCAGTCGCCTCCTCATCTCCGCCTCCCTGGCCATCATCTGCGACGCTGTCGATCCAGGCTCGCACTTCCTGGCCGTCGAAGACCTTGAAGGACTCAACATTCTTCTTGCCTTCCTTCGACACTGTGACACCCACAATACCGACACTCGTGTTCTCGACTGTCAGCTCCCGGTCCTGCACCAAACTCTCCTTCAGTGCTTTGAGGCCATGCCGGACGAGCTCCTCGCGATCACACGACTCGAAACTGTCAATGTTCTTCTCCAGGTACGTCCTCGCCATCTGGGACCGCGCGCCGATGGCGAACGCGACCATCTCCTCGGTCATGCCACTGGGCTGGAATTCGAACAGATGCGGGCCCTTCTCGTCCACGCCGGCCACCAGCAGTCCCACGCCGTATGGACGCTTGCCGTAGTGTTGCGTGTTAATCTGCGCCTTCTCACCGATCATCTCGACCAGGCTGCGTAGGGGCATATCTCGACCGTACGTGAGACGGTGTCCTAGGCATTGCTGCTTCATGAAGTTGGACAGCACGCGCGCGTCTGATGTCAGGCCGGCGATGGCGATGCCGACATGCTCGTCGATGGAAAATAGCTTCTTTTGATAGGAGGAGAGTTCTTCGGCATTTCGCTGTTAAGATGAGGCCGTTTGTCAGCTTGATTTCATGTATATGGATCTTCGTGGAGTGAATCACCGTACCTTGATAGCTACTAGTACAGCATGTGTCTTGCTGGCAATTCCCACGACCACGGAACCCTGCTTCACTGCCTCCGCCGCATATTCGACCTGGAATATTCGCCCTTGAGGAGAGCTGGGAGCTTGTCAGCGCGACGCCACGAACAGCGGTCTCGAGAGCTTCACGTACAATGTGACGGAGTCATTGTCGTAATTGTTTCTGAACATCTTGATCAGAGACTAGATTGAGTAATGAAAACCAGATTCACGTCAGGGAAGTCAGCATAGAGTTTTGGGGGGATTGTCGTCGCTGCGTTTGGCGGGCTGGAGCTTTGACGAGGGACGACTACTACAGCTGGCTAGACAGTTCGTTCGCAGGCAGCTTCAGAGCTTCGTACTCCGCTGGGAAGAGGCTCCGCCAGCCGCCCTGCAACAAAAACTGCGCTAGCCCACTTTCGAGCTAGCTCAACTCAGGTCCTGAGGCAACCACGCTCTACTGTGTGGTGTGTCTAAGCTTCCTAGCTTTGGGGCCCATTGCGCAAGGTAAAACCACCCGTCCGTGGAACATCCCGCCGAGGCTGACGACTGCGAGTTCACATCATCCATCCAACCTGCTGCAGCGACCAGCTCCCTCTACCTCCCACCCTTCTCTTCTGGTGATAACAGTCAGGTCCTTCCCGTAAGGAGAGATTTGCTGTCTGCTATCCACACAGTCTATATCAAGCTTCCTCGCCGTCTCCGAAGTTTCCCCAGCCTCCGACCCCCGCTACGGCGGCCCCGAACCTATGACGATGCCTACCGCCGGGCTGAAGACAATTATCGCCCTTTCCTTTGTACTCGCTGTCGGCTTTCTCCTCGTGATTTTGTCTTGCGCGCTATGGAAGGTCTACTATCCGCTCCTCGTCGTCGCGACCTACGTGCTAGCGCCGTTGCCGAACTGGATTTGCGGGCGCTGCGCCAACCCTGATGACTTCGTTGAGAGCTCTGGATCGGCTATTGTTGATTTTGGCCGATTCTGCACGGGCTTCCTGGTTGTCATGGGTATCGGTATGTATTTATGGGCGCCATCTCGTCCAAAAAGAAACTTGGCGCTGACTGCTATTTCGCTTTAGCTCTTCCCGTCGTCCTCGCCCACTCCAACTTGATCGAGATTGGCGCCATGGTCATGTCAATTGCCGGCGGCCTGCTGATCTACGGAACCATCATTAGCTTCAGCATGTTCTTCCAGGAGGAGCAAGAGTTCTAAGACAGACCGATTCAACGATAAAAGCATCAAAGTGTCGAAGAAGGAAGAGAAGGCCACTGTATTCAAAGTGTCACACTAATTACGGTTGCATTGGGGTTCATTTACATGGCGAGGTTCGTTCCGGGTCAGGTTCGGAGCTGGAATTCGTATCTATCAGCATGAATAAATCTCTAGGTTGATTTGATTCTATGTGTCCTAGATTGCTCCGTTGAGTCTAGTGCCCGGCCCATATTGGCCGTCTTTGTGTTGAACTGATAAGTTGAGTATCCTGTGTATCCCAATACCGTGAACGCCTCGCTTCCCTTTCATTCATCCCTTTCCGTAAAAAGTCCCAATGGGCCGGCAAGCTTTGTGAGCATCTCCTCACGCTCGCCATCAGCTGTGCTGAGAATTGTAACAGCTCCACCAGCGCCAATATGCCAGACCTCTTGATCTTCTCCCTCGGCGTCCGCAGCTCGCTCATCGTCCCAGCGGAACATGCTCCGGATAGTGACGCTCCAATCTCCTCTGCCCGAGACGCACATGTAGCCAACTACTCCCGAGTACAGGCTTCGCTCCTTGTGCTGCTCAATCTCCTGAAGAATCTCACAGCTGCGCTTCTTTGGCGCACCCGTCATACTGCCGGGTGGCAGGCTTGCTGCAAGGACATCCAGTCCGGTGTACCTTTTATGCTCGTTGCTTGCCGGCCTCGGCAGCTGTCCCTCGACAACCGTGATCATTTGAAACACACTTTGATATTCCTCGACTTTCATCAGCTCCGGCACGGCGACATTGCCAGGACCGCAGATGCTATGCAAATCATGACGAACGAGGTCAACAATCATCAGATTCTCCGCCTCCTCCTTTGGGACATGCAAGATCTCCTCGGCTTGCTTCAGTGTCGACACAGCATCCGACTTGCGCACCGTCCCTTTCATAGGCTTCATAGAGCAGAGGCCACGACGGTCGTATTGGAGAAACCGCTCTGGAGAGCTGCTTACGAGAGTTGCACCACCGAGGCGTATATAAGACGCAAAGGGAGCAGGTTGCCGTGTCCGCAAAGCTCTATACAGCTTCCAGGATGTGGGTGTCTTGGTTGGCAATCGTCGTTTCTTGGCTAACGGAATGGCCATTTCATGTTCGTGGCTCGTTCGAGAATCACCACGTAGTCCAATGAGGGTAGTTTGATCAGTGAGGCAGAGCTCGTATGAATCACCCGCTGCAATGAAATCTTGACAGAGCCGAACTTTTGCTTCGTAAGTGGTTGCATCCGGTCTGCGTATCGTCACGCCAGAAAATTGACTCTCTTGACGATCAACAGTGTAGTCACACGAAGCATGCTGCCACATGTGGGAACTCTCAAGTTTCCCAGCGATCGTATCTAGCCACAAACTAGCTTTGCCCTCCGAGGAGTGTAGATAATTGATGTAAAGAAGATTCTTGACGTGATCAACGACGATGCTCTTCGTAACCCATGCCAGACAAACATCAGGTCGATGATGTTGCCTCGCTCCAAGAAAGCTAACACCAATATCTTTCAAGCCTTGCTCATAGGTGATATAACCGATAAATCCTCCTAGAAAGGGGATGTCAGTCAGACCTTCCGCATCAATTCGTCTCGCATCATGGAATTCAGCAAGGAGCTGCCAGATACTTTGGCCACTTTTCATTGGCACCGCTCCCTCGACATTGATTGATTTGCCTTCGAGGTATTCGAGTCGTAGGGTCGCGTGGTCATTCCCAACATGATGCTCGATTCTCAGGGCTTCCGGCACATCCAATGCAATGATACTGTACTGTCCACGAACGTCTACTGCTGTTTTAGGAAGCGGTGTCCTCGCATTCGCTGAATCAAGAATGAGGTGCTCCGAATCCTTCCTCTGCAAAATCTCCACAATGTCGGGGATCTGCACGTGGTCAGGCAGATGTATTGTTCGTTGTTGCAATCGTGCATCAACTCCAAAGGATGACCATAGCTTCAGCCACGGCTGAGAGGATGATTCAGAAGGCCGGCACAGGCGAGTGGCTTGATGTAGTAGACTGGGCTTAACCGCATTCCTCGCCAAAATATGATCGTTTAAGCCGACGCTCCTGCCCTTCTCTTGATTCCACTGAAGTGCTTCGTGAAACCAATTTTTGATCACATTATTGCCCTGCACTTCTGTGCAGACTGACTCTGGGTGGTACTGTACTCCCCAGAATGGCCTACTCCTATGTTTCATGGCCATCAGAATTCTCTCTTTCGAATCACCACGGTCTTCCTCCACCCATGCCAGGGGAACGACATCAGGGTATTTTGACGATGCCTCCCACTTGTTGTCGTCCCACTTGACTAGATCAACGTCATCTTGCCCGATGTCGACACAGAGACTGTGGTACAGTGTGGCTTTGAATTCTCCAACACCATCAAAGATATTTCCCTTCTTAGCGCCTCGAGAAGTTTGGTGGTCTATACTCCGGACCATCCCATGGAGGCCCCGCTGAAGTCTTCGAACTTTACCTCCACAGCCCAGAGCGAGGCTCTGAAACCCCAAACAAACTCCCAATGCTGGTATCACATCCTCTTCTGAAAGGTCCCAAATGTATCTCATAAGACCGACATCCTTCTCTGCTTCGGGTGATCCGGGACCCGGACCACAGACCACGGCCGTGTAATGAGATAATTCTCGCCGAAAATCACTTTTGAAATTTGGGCTTGCCGGATCAAGAAGGGGTGTGTCAATAGGCAAGACGTGAACATCTACGCCGAGGAGAGTGGTGAGCAAGGAGGTGATATTGTTCGAGAACGAGTCATAAGCATCGAGGAACAAGATTCGGTGACGAGGGCTCAGGTGACGAGGGCTCATCCTGCTAAGAAGTCACCCAGTCTTGACTCGGGTGGTCACTTTGTGTCCCCAAGATGCTTTATTCCTGCATCTAGGCTGTGAGAATTGGAAAGGAATGGGTGAGGAATGTTGAATATAACTCCACGGGTAGTCCGTGGTGAAATTTAAATTTTTGTCGGTCAAAGTCGGTAAGCGAAAGCCACACGCCCCGGTGTTAGTGCGCGCTTCCTCCCGCCGCCAACCGTGCTGGACTTACCGAAAAGCCAAGGGATCAAAAATTTGAAAGGTAGAGGAGGAAAATGTCTTACTGCTAATCATGATAGGATATGCCTGGGTAGTTATTATGAATAGAAACGCGGTTACCTCTCTAACATTGCTTTACCAGTGCGGGGGACGCCGAGAAAGAGTGACGGGTTTCAAAGCCTCAAACATCAGCTTCAGTTGGGGAATATATGCCAGTAAATAAGGGTTTTGATAAATACAAAGGTGTGTCTGTAATCAAACACCGTCTATCATTCGGGACGATGTCTTGTTCTCTTAGTGTAAGCTTACTCGCGGTCTCGGACAAAGAGATGACATGGCTGTCGGGAGTGCCATATTCTCCTTTCCTTCGCGCCTAAAGCTGCATTAAGCATCGTCTGGGTATCTGAACGAGGTCTGCCCGAATCACGCTTCTTCTCCTCATCTGTCCTCGGCTTCCACAATTGGGTCTCTTCCACGGATGCAGTAAGTTCGAATTCGCCCCGACACAAGGCGGTTACGCCTATGGTGAAGTCCGTGCTGGATTTGCCCTGTAGTAGGGGTAGGGCTTGCTGCAAAGTTCCATTCCAAGCGAATTTTCTCGTGAAATCAAGAGCGACATTCAAGGGTCGATGACACAATGCTGGCATAAGCCTTAGCATTGGGTATATTGGTTGGTCCGTTCTATTCGTGATATGCACCTTGACTTGTGCAAAATCATCCACAAAGATGGCATTTCTGTTGCGCCTCTGGCCACTGGCACTTGGATCTTCAACAGAAATGTCGATGCCAACCTCATCGACTTTGACTGCCTCTGTCATTCGAGACGTAAGGCGCATACTTCGCAACTCTATAGTTCCGCTTCTATTATGCCCAGAGGCGGTTCTCCATGTGCCTTTGATGCTGTCTAGGATCCTCTCGCGATACCAGAATGCCTCTCTGTTCGCTCGTTCTGTATCCGGCGAGATTTTGCTCGCACTCACGACAAATTGACGTTGCCGGGATGGATTGAGCGCGGGTATTGAGGCATGAGGATCCTCCAAGTATATGCGCTTCAATGGGAGTAATACTCGACTAGTATTACCTGGCAGTATATGCTCCTCAATCAGCGTGCCATCCTCAATTTCGAGCTGCGCGACCATGTTGCTTGGCCAGGCATTCCTTAGGTCTAATAGCAACAAGCAGTACTTGTCAGCTGTGAGTACGTAACTCTGGCCACCAACTTTGTTTGTCCGGTTCCAAAGAGGTTGTGGGATACTACCATGAAGAGGTAGTATATCCATTCGGGACACCTCAACACTTGCATTGACAGTGACAGTCAACTGAAGAGAGACTTGACGGGTGTAGAACTTGTCTTTGACTTCCTCGGGCGGAACACCGAGGTGTGCGTAATCGACTTGGATCGTGCCGGCTGTCAAGCCTGGTTTGCCAAGAATCTCAAAATCAAATGTCGCTGTATCACCAGGAGCTATATATCGCTTGGTTTTCGCATTTTTTCGTAGGCGTAGTGCTTGCTTCTTCGCAAGAATGAGCTCATATTCGTACAACTCGGCAGGCGTGGCTTCGCGATTGTTGAGGCGGCCTTGCAAAGCTTCTTGTGTTGAGTCTTGGAATGAGAAGAGGAGGAAATCCGCTGGCGTAGTCGTCGAAAGGTTCTGAAGTGTGACGGAAAAGGCCTGTCTCTCTCCTTCAAGAACCATCACGGATGATTGTGGCAGGGTGGTTGACTTGACGACCACGACAGGCTGCTGTGAAATCACATTGAGACCAACGTGTTCCGTCTTTGGTGCACTAGGAGGCGGCAGAGACATGTGTAAGTCTAAGGAAGATAGCCCAATAGCTTTGACCTTCACCTCCGTGTCCGGTGCCCATGGCTGAGGGAATATGGGGAACCGTCTCTCTCGACAGCCTCTTACTCGTACAATGGCACCGGTCACATGGAGTGATCCAGACTCTTTCGGCGTGCCACCAATCCTTAATGTTTGAGTGCGGTATGCGCCAATTATGGCACTCTCGACCGACGACTCGAACTGGATACCTTCAGTATCTAATCGCACACTCTCAATGTCTACTTCGATATCGAAGGGATTTTGTAGTGTGAGCTTGAAGATTGCGGCTTCTCCAGCGACAAGATTATTCAGGGCAGCCTCCTTATCTGGCTGCTTCTGGAACGGGTTGTGAATAAACGGGTTGACATCCTGAGATGTTCTCACCGCTGAGGCTCCTGGTAGCTCTGATTTCAGGTGTTCCACCGGTGTCCTCGTACGGGCAAGAGGTTCCAGTTTCACGCCTCTAAGGAGGAATTCGTCCCAGTACTCTGCTTCGAGGTGGCCCAAGCCAAGCCGTTTGGTGAGGCTGAAAGTTTTCGAGATATTTGTGACCAGTCGAACTTGCTCATCAACTGCCAATTGGGGGGATGCATCTTCTCGCCGTGGCCCAGGCGCAACACCACTCCCTGCTGTCCGCAATAGATCGCTTGAGAATTTCAAGACCCCAGCGAAATCTGGCAAGGCCTCGGAAAAGTTGATGCAAGCACGGAGAATGTTAATCTTGATCTGCTGCATGCCAAACAGTCGAGCGACAGACTGTCTTTGGATTCTCGCGATACAACCCGCATCCGAGTCATCGGGAAGCATCTTGGCATCATTAAGAACATGCGAGCCAACATCAAAGTTGACTACGCCGTACGTCTTGAGTATTAGGTCCAGGAATGCATCAACGCCATATTCTACGTCAGACTCGGCCAAATCAAGTGCTGCCGAGCCATTCACTTGCCCATTTGCACCGTTCAGGGCGACAAGCCCGGCTGCAGGATGGATTCCCACCTCAGCCGCACCACGGGTCCGTGCCTCAACAAAGCCTCCAATCAGTACGGATATCAGCTCACGGACGACCATGGCTTTCTTTCTCTGAAATCCGAGTACACTGAGCACAGACGCAATGCCGCTTAGTATGACTATCCGGTCCACTGTAGTCAGCAACTCTGATGACGAGGCTGGAAAAGCGCGGAACAGCATATTGACAATCTGTGTCCGTGTAGGGATAATAGAAAAGCGAGGTGATGTGGTGAGAGGCTTGTCAGGGGCTGTCCCCAGAACTATGATTTCCAAAGCTCTCTGCCCCAGCTGACCTTGTGAAACATGTAGCGCGGAAAGTATCCTGCAGAACCTGATGATGGCCTCGGACAAAGGAAGTGGGGGTAAATGTTCAGCCGAGATCCTCGAGTACAATGCAACTATCCTGTCTAGCAAGTCAGGCAGGATAACTTGGAAGTTTCGCAGGTGCTTCGGTTGGTTTGGGTCGGTTTTGGCAGCCTCTTCCACAGCAGTAGTAGATGCAGCAGCTTTCTCTGGCGGTGGAAGGCACACCGTTGGGACGGTGAACTCGATTTCAGCCCACGCCAGTAGCAGAAGACTTATCACAATGAGCTCTAGAGCTTTGCCGTGCCAGAGATGGTCATTAGTTGACTTTGCTACAGATGCGCCTTCAATGAGCTCCTTCAAAGCGTCAGTCCAACGGCCTGCCTGCAAGTATAGGGAGCCCATGACAATAGTCACACGGCCCTTGCCCTTGTTTCTCCATCTTTCATTAAGGCCACCGGGCCCAAACCCCTGTACTGTGACGCGGTCTTGACTCTGTGTCCTAAAGCCTTCTGCTGTTCCCGGACGAGGGTTTTGTTCCGGACTTGTTGGCTCCGAATTAGGGCCATTGGGTAGTTCGTCAAAGGTTGTAGGCGGGTTTGATAAGCCACTCTTCACTGGTGTCGAAGGACGAGTTGGACTAGATCCTCCGGAGCCGATAGGTGACCCTTTAAAAGACACAGGCATAGACATGCGATTCTGAGTCTTGTCCGGTATGCCACTTGTGGAGCTCGACCTTGTGTTATTAGGTAGAGAGTACTGCGAGTTTCTTCGAGCTAAAGGGTTTGAATCCTCCGCCCAGGCTGAGCCATTAAGCTGCTTTGTGGTCGAATGCCCAGGAGAGTCAATGTATGACTTGGCTTCAAACATCTTGGCCAGCGTTGTCATCTCTGCAAGTAGCATTGACGAAATGTCGCACATAACAGTCCTCATAGTCGTCCTTTTACTTTGCTCCGGCGGAGGTATTGTTACGAGCCCCTCTGGTATATGTATAGTGACGTCTTGCGGAGCCACATAGTCAAAGACAAGGACCTGGTGTACAATTGCCTTCGGATATACATCTCTGAGGGTTTCCAGTTCTTGATCTAGTGTCCGGATGTTCCGTTCCACAAAGGTTGGGCCTCCTGATTGCCTCTTAGAAAACAGAACTCTCTCCAACTCTAAACCATCGGCCAACGCAATTACTACTAAGGGTTCTCGGTATAGGTCGAACGGGGAAAGAGCCAAATGGGACGGAGGCGGCACGTGTGCGATGAGCTCGTAAAATATTGCTCCACTAGGGAATGCCAATGGCGAGAACATGTCTAGGATGGCAAGTCAGCATATGGTAAATCTCGATATGATCCGAGGTGCTTTACTCCTGTTCGGACGCGCATCAGCGCTGATGTCCCGCAGGTGGACCACCTGTTCGCCATTGAGCCTCTCGACAAAGGAGACGAATCGCTCGCGCTTGATCTGCCCAATTGGCAGAACCAGTGCCTTCACCCTCGCAGGGGCAATAGGCAAAAGACTGTCGGCAGTCATCGTCCTAAAGTCATGCCCATAACGCTATCTGGAAGCAGGCTGGTAGGATGCAGTCTTGGACATGTCGACCGTCTAGGAACGTATTGCTCGTGGTGAAAGTGCTCGCTCGCTATGCGGAGAAACAATGCGTTAATGGACGTAAAACAAAATCTTCGATATTTTGCTCAGAAATGCCCCGATTTTGGCTTGTTCAAATGCCAGTGCTTGCTTGTAGCAGCAGCAGCAGGAGCACTGTAAGATATGTAAGGAGCTCCTCTTGCCAGCATGTCGCATCTCGAGTTGCCCAGCGCTAGGTCCCCAGTTCTTGTAGACTAGACCCACCCCCCCCCCCCCAAAAACACGCCCCAACCCAGGGGCCAAGGTATACCCAGTGGGCCACATATATCTGTCGAGGTTCGTTCTCAGCTTCAATCAAAGCTGTCGCGCAAAGACCACGAAACTGGCCCCCAAAAAAATCACGCCCCAGAGCCAGTCCCCACAAGCTACCTACTGGTTTGTTTGTCGACTGTACTGACCAGACTAAGCCCAAGAGCTTCGATGCAGAAGCGGAATCCCTGGCATACAAATCTGTTAGCCCTACGTCAATTTCGGATCAGATACGGCTCAAAACACCAAACGAGCCTCCGTTAGAGGCCCCATGGGCTATTCCACACAAGCAAGGACAAGCAGGCACACTACGAGACACCCATGCCAAAATCATCCAAGCCACACGGCCCTTGCCAGGTAGTGGGCTGCCAGAAGGTGCATAATTTTCGCTGCACCTATGGCGGCTGTAAAGAGCAGTTTCCGGGTCAGAAGATTCTGAACCTCCTCCAAAGACAAGACGATCTCAAGCTGGATCTAAAATGCCCTCTAAAAGGATGTCCAAAGACGTCAACGATAAAGTCAGGTCTAACAGCACATATCAGGGCTGTTCATGAATGTCGCACTTACCCCTGTTACTGGGCGGGATGCGATCAGACTTAGACCTCACGTCCAGGCTTGAGAGCCCACCTCTAGGCAGTACACAATCTTATGGAACTGCAGTTCAGTGTACACATCTCAGGCAAGTCTTATAGTAGCTTCCTAATTTCCGTAGCCACTTCCCCTCTTTCAGCGCACCAGAAAATTGCGACTTGACGTGAACTTGCTTCCACGGGACCCCATCATCAGAATACGATTTCAAGATTGATCACTACGAGCAATTCCTCTCTTCTTTTGATGCATATGAGGCACTATTACCCCTCGTGGCCAGTACCATGTAAGTATTTAAGGCGGGCCAGTAGGGTGAGGTCGGCTAGTGACCGCCTACCATAATAGGGAAAACTGCCCCTCAGCCCGAAGATCGGAGTGCGGCAGAATTCTTTTGCGGTGACACATCTTCCAAGCCGTCATGTTCAAGCCTGTAGTTGTGTTCTATATTTCTCAATAGGCACGCCTCTTTTAAGGATATTACTTTGGATTATGCTCCAGGGACACATTCGCTACGAGGCAGCTTTCCACTCAGTGTAACTCTTGCGATATTGCTACCGCCATGGGGCTTCCTGATCCCACTAGCGATCTCGACTGGAGCGGCTACATTGGCTCTATTCACGAGATATTCCACAAGAATGCTTTGAAGACTCCCGACGCGCCGTGCGTCACGGAAACAGCGTCCTCCACCACGCCCGAGAGGAGGTACAACTATAAGCAGATTTATGAGGCGTCCAACATCTTGGCCAACCAGCTCCACGAAGCTGGCATCACCAATGGCGATGTCGTTATGATCTTTGCCTACCGTTCCGTTGAACTCGTCATCGCCTTCATGGGCACCCTTGCTGCCGGTGCCACTGTTACTGTCCTAGACCCCGCGTACCCCCCGGCGAGACAACAGATCTACCTTGAAGTCTCACAACCAAAGGCCCTGGTCACAATTGGCAGAGCCAGGGACGAGAATGGTGATTTGGCGCCGCGTGTTCAGAAGTACATTGACGAGGAATTGTCTCTAAAGCTACGAGTACCAGAGCTACGGATGAGCGATGCTGGCCACCTTACCGGTGGCGAGGTTGACGGGAAGCAAGTCTTTACCGACACTGAAAGCAAAGCATCGACTCCTCCAGCTGTTCTAGTAGGTCCAGACTCAACAAGTATCCTGAGCTTTACTAGTGGCACGACTTCCACACCCAAGTACGAGATCCAGCAACTCATGAAGATCAAACATTGACTGATTATTTTCAGGGGCGTGTTGGGCAGACATTACAGCTTAGCCAAGTACTTCCCGTGGATGGCCAAAACTTTCAACTGGACCTCAGACACGAAGTTCGCTTGTCTAAGGTAAACCCTCTCAAAGGTGATGCCTGTCACAGCTCAGCTAACCAATGGCAGTGGCATAAGTCATGATCCTATCCAGCGAGACATTTTCAGTCCGATTTTCATGGGCGGGGAGCTAGTTATCCCTGCTCGCGAGAATATCGCCCACGAAAGGTTAGCTGAGTGGTTTCGCGATCACGAACCCAATGCGGTCCATTTGACGCCCGCGATGGGTCAAATCTTGGTCGGCGGTGCCAAGGCAGAATTTCCGTCATTGAAGTGGGTTCTATACGTTGGTGATATCCTGACCAAGAAGGATTGTGCTGCACTCCGCAAGCTGGCGCCTAACGCGGAGATCTGCGCTGCATATGGCACTACTGAGACGAGCCGCGCCGTGTCATACTACCACATCAAGAGCCAAGCCGAAGACCCGAATGCATTAGATAAATTTGGCGATATTGTTCCTGCCGGAAAGGGCATCGAGAACGTCCAGCTCCTCGTAGTTAACCGGGAGAATCCAACCAAGATTTGCGGCGTTGGTGAGGTCGGTGAGATTATGTTGAGAGCAGCAGGCTTAGCCGAGATAAGTCGTCCCTTTCTTTTCCTAATAGAGTCATGCTGATATTTGACTTTACGGATATCTAAATGACCTGGAGAAAACCAAGGAAAAGTTCCTCGACAACTGGTTCGTCGACAACCAGAAGTGGGTTGAGGCTGATAACAAAGTTGCCGACCATGTCAGCGAGCCCTGGAGAAAATATTACAAAGGCCCAAGAGACAGAATCTACAGGACCGGCGACTTAGGTTACTTTTTGGACGATTCTGGTAATTGCGCAATTACGGGCAGAGCTGATGATCAAGTCAAAGTTCGTGGTTTCCGCATCGAGCTCAATGAGATCGATAGCAACTTGAGAGGACACCATTTAGTCCGCGAGTGCAAGACGCTGCTTCGAAGAGATCGGAACGAAGAGCCAACACTGGTCAGCTACATCATACCTGAACACCAAGAGTGGCTCAAGTGGCTAGCAGAACGCAGTCTGGAAGACACTGAGGAGCAAGGTACCGAGATCGGACCCGTCATCGTGTATTCAAAGCGCTATAGGCCAATGCAAACGGAGATTCGAGATCATCTCAAATCTCGATTGCCGGTTCACGCTGTTCCGACATATTTTATCTTCCTGAAGAAGATGCCTTTGAACCCCAACGGCAAAATTGACAGCCCAAATCTGCCATTCCCGGATGCGGCCCTGATCTCAGAAGAGGCTTCAGAGGAGGATCTGAAACGATGGGAAACACTCACCAGCACCGAAAAGGAAGTAGCGGAGCAGTGGGCAACATTGATCAATGGTCTGAATGCCAAGACTCTTCAGCCCGAGTCTGATTTCTTTGAAAGCGGTGGACACAGTCTGCTGGCCCAGCAGCTTCTTCTCAATACCCGCAAGAACCTGGGTGCCAACGTATCTATCAGCTCACTTTACTCGAACTCGTCCCTCCGCGCTCTTAGCGCACAAATTGACCGCTTGCGTGAGGGCAAGGACGATTCGGCCACGACAGAGGACGGCGAGGCTGCATATGCCCAGTCACTCGACAAGCTGCTCGGTAGCCTCGATGCCAAGTATCAGACGGCGGACCCTGCGGCACTCTCACCGGCAGGCAAGACGACCGTCTTTGTGACTGGCGCCACGGGCTTCCTGGGCTCTTACATCGTCAGGAGCTTGCTCGAGCGTGAGAACGTACACGTGATCGCCCATGTCCGTGGAACGAAAGGCGTCCCGGCCGCCCTCGAGCGGCTCCAGAGGTCACTGCGCGGATACAGCGTATGGCAGGATTCTTGGGCCACTAGGCTCAGTGCAGTCATTGGTGACCTGACACAGCTGCGTCTTGGACTTGATGACGACACTTGGAAGATGCTTGGCGACGCTGTCGATGTGGTTATCCATAACGGCGCCCTCGTCCACTGGGTAAAGCAGTATAAGCATCTCGAGCGTAGCAATGTTCTGTCAACGATTGATGCCCTGCGGCTTTGTAACCAGGGCAAGCCTAAGCTTTTCTCGTTCATTAGCTCGACAAGTGTTCTAGACACGGATCACTATATTAATCTGTCACACCAACAGACCAGCACTGGACAAGGCGCTGTCATGGAAGCAGATGACATGATGGGCAGTCGCACCGGTCTAGGCACCGGATATGGCCAGTCCAAATGGGTAAGTAGCCTCCACAGGCCACTTTCTGCATGAGTAACATCCATTCTGATGGACCACAGGTATCTGAACAGCTCGTCCGTGAGGCTGGTAGGCGCGGCCTCCTCGGATCTGTCGTCCGACCTGGCTATATCCTTGGAGACGCTGCCACCGGTGTCTGCAACAACGACGACTTTCTTATCCGCATGCTCAAGGGCTGTATCCAACTGTCTAGCCGTCCGCACATTATTAACACAGTAAACGCCGTTCCTGTAGGTCACGTCTCTGCTGTCGTCGTCGCAGCCAGCTTGAACCCCATCCCGGCCGAGACTGCAAACAGCAGCAGCGGTAGCTTCGATGTCGGTGTCCACGTCATCCACGTCACTGCCCATCCTCGCCTGCGCATGAACGAATATCTCTCCATCCTGAGCTACTATGGTTATGATGTTCCTGAGATAGATTACGATCAATGGAAGGCCCAGCTCGAGACCTTCGTCTCGGCAGGTCCTGTGCAGAAAGACGAGGAGCAGAGCGCTCTGATGCCTCTCTTCCACATGGCGACGAACAATCTCCCCACAACCACTCGCGCGCCGGAACTTGATGATCGCAATGCTGTTGCTGTCCTTAAGGCTGATGCAGACCGGTGGACGGGTATCGATGAGAGTGCTGGAGAGGGCGTTAGTAGGGAAGCCGTTGGCCGTTTCTTAAGGTACCTCGCCGAAACCAATTTCCTGGCGTGGCCAACTGGACGGGGTAGGGAGCTGCCGGCTATCAAGGCTGGTGTTGTTGAGGCGCACACGAAATGGGGCGTTGGAGGGCGTGGTGGTGCAGCGTGAGGAGAGGGAAAGAGGAAACGGGGACCATATTCAAACCTGGACAGTGAAAAACATGTGATGATAGATCGGAGAGCCTAGACAAAAGTAAAATGGCAGGACTCTTTGAGTTTACAAGTTATGTATCTCATTTGTGTCTATGATGCTCTGTTGCAAGCGATAGATGAGATCTTTAGACACCACTTTCCCCCTAATGATCAAGGTCGAATCGTTTGTGAGATTTGACATATCACCGTAACGGATCCCTTTGCCCTTTGGGGATGATCCGTTCACTTTGTTATCAAAGTGTCCAGCACCTATCTCATGGATGGCCTATGTTGAGGATCACTCAGCTCACGTCTTTCATATCCATGACTGAAGTTATCATTCAATTATACAGAGTCATCCGGTCGAAGCCACTGATTAAAGTCTCCAACCAGCTCCCTCTTTGATCCCTTACTTTTCAGGGCTTGGAGCCACTAGAAACTCATTGCGCACCAGGACGACAGAACTATACTAGCACCCAATTAGAGGCTCTCTAATGATTATGGAAATAAACAAAACACTGTGCTACGACTGACAGGAGTTTTGGGGTATTCAGTAAGTACAAGGTTTCCTATCATGATGACACAAATCCCGTGGAATCAGCTTTGGTCTTCCCTTCCCTCGCTTCGGCCTTCAGCTCACTCTCAAAGATATCAACCGCGAGAGTAGCCTCGACAAAATCCTCCAACTCTTCTGTGACCGTCTTCAGCTTCTCTCTGACAGCAGTGCTCCCCTCGAGGCCTACAATATGTCGAGAAGGGGGGTTCTCGTGCCCTCCAATAGCCGTCAAAGCATGCACCGTTTCCATCACCAGCCTGTCCACCGCCGCGCTTGGCAGTTTGGGATACCGGTACAAGATCTCTGTTTCTGACGGCTCGATCACAGTGTCCGGGTGCGTGTTCAATACATTACTCAGCATGTCCCGTATGCTAGGGGCTGGATTGTTCTCGCTGTCGTACCAGGGCAGTTGGGGGGCGAAGACAATCTTGTTCGTGAGAGACTGGATCTCCTTGTTCGGCTGGACCACGGTTACTTTGATGTTGAAAGGCGCAATCTCATAGGCCAGTGAGTCGCAGAAGCCCTCCAGGGCCCAAGTAGCAGCCGTGTAGATGGGCATGCCCGGTGTCCCTATATGCCCTCCAATGCTTGTCAGGACCATAATGTGCCCAGTGTGTTGTGCTCGGAACTGCGGCAGCGCTGCCTTGATGAAGTTGACCTGTGAGAAGAAGATGGTCTCAAACTGGTCCCGGACAAGATTCTGTGTGGCCATTGATGTGGACAGCTCCTCGACCGTGCCTACCACGGCCTCAAAATTGCAGCAGAGCAGGATGTCTATGCGGTTGAACACCTGAACGGCTTCGGCAACAGCAGCAGTGCACTGTCCCATGGACCGGCCGTCACAGCGTATGCCGCGTATCCTATCCTTCCATCCTTCCCTGTCCTTGCGATTGCTCTTGCACTCATTGATAAGCTCCCTGAACTCGGCGCTCCGGTCATCGTGCTCTATCTCATGAGGCGGAAGGCAAGCCACCACATAGTCGCCATGAGCGAGCAAGAGCCTGACGAGCCTGATTGCAAGTGGCGAGAGCGATTGTGTCAAGAACCATGTTCTTGGTGAGTTGTGTGTGGCTTTGAAGAGGTTGATGAGCCAGGGCGTCACGACTGAACTTTGGAGGGACTGGGGTCAACTCACGGAAAGAGGCGGGCGGTATTGCGTGAGGGTGTCTAGAAGAGCCCGCTTCTGCCCCTTTCCTCTCCGCCATATCGTCCGATACTTCCGGCTCTGGGTTATCTGAGTTGCGCTTAGACCAATATCCAGTTCCAGTCTACATCATCGAGGCGGCGGGTGTCCCTTGGAGGTGCCAGACTGCGGGGAGCAGGAAAAGGGAGCAGAGACATCGCAACAGAGCAGAGGCGGAGGCAGGACAACCGGGACGCACAAGCAGAGGGGAGGATATTATACCTACCATCTTGAGTGGGGTTGTGAAACATCTGGCCAGCTTGAAGCTTAATTCAACGTTTCGAAAGACTCGTGAACATGGATGATGGTTGCAGTGGAGGCCCATTCGGCAGTTGTACGGCATGTTTGGGTAAAATCCGAGGGGCCCATAGTCGCTAAGGGGAGATCTTAACGGCGTTGTTTCTCGGAGTGTTTAGTCTAGCACATCAGCCGGTGGGACCCCGGCAATTAGTAGGGGCCCGTTGAAACACCGCAAACCAACTTTAAAAGGATGTCAAAGCCGCTGGAGCTATTCAAACTATCTACCTACCTGGGTAAGGTAGGTAGGTACCTAAACAGTTCCCACTTGACTGGGCTTGACTATTATAAGGCACGAACAGTTATTAAAGGGAAAAGCCGCAAGTTCGGACCTCTCTCGGCGGAAGATTGTTTAGGCGGTGTCGATCAATCACGCATTGAATGTCACATCGGAAGGCACATCAGGTATGTCTAGCCCATCGATCCTGTAGTTGATATAGAGTCCCCTGGGGCTCTGTAAATAAAAGGCCTACTTAACTTGGAAAGATGAGAGTGAAGAGTCCATTGGAGAAGGTAGGTGTCAGGTATCTCATCCACCCGCGGTCGTCCTTTCCGCTCTTGGCAATTGCATCCCAAGGTTCACAAATGGCAAGCTCGACTGAGGGAGAGGAGGCACTGCACTGTACCTGCCTTTTCTTATCTTAACCCAACTAGGTAGGTAGGAGGGTAAGGAAGGGGCTGCTGGAGGTTATCCCGTGTCCGGTCTGCAGCTGCCCGAATCTGCGGGCCATGGGCCATGAGCCGCCGCATCCTGGCTCTGGCCGGGTTGTTTAGTGGGGTCTACAGCACCTAAAACGCCGCCGCAGAGCTTCAGAATCCAGAACCCCACGCCGCCAGCCGCCCAGCAGCCCTAGCGAAACCTGGGGAATCCATGACTCACGTCATTGTAAGGCGGCGTGCTTGGTGAGTGACTCTAGACCAGATCCGAGACCGGCTACGATTTCTTCAATCCGTTGGTTCGTTGCGTGACTCCCACCACACCACATACGTTGACTTGAGCAGCACACACAGTCGCAGTGACCACATCACATCCAATTCTCACCAGTAGTGCATGCATGCATGCATGCGATCGAGTCTTCATTGAATTGAACTGATACATTTGTGTCATATCTCCAGCAATGCCTACCAGATCAGAGATCACATATTTTGGGGCGGGTCCTGCTCTTTTACCCACGGAGGTACTAGAGAAGGCGGCTCAGGCGCTTGTCGATTATCAAGGGACTGGGCTGGGCATTGCGGAACACTCTCATCGCTCCCAGATTGCCACGGACATCATCAACAATGCCAAGGCGGATCTTGCTACCTTCCTGGACATTCCCGACGACTATGAGATTTTATTCATGCAGGCGGGAGGCAGCGGAGAATTCTCAGCAACAGTGTACAACCTCGTCGGCGCCTGGGTCACGCAGAAGAAGGCTGCCATCCTAAAGGAAAATGGTGTCGAGGAGAAGGATGCCGAGCCAGAGATGATAGAGCGGGAGCTCAGGAAGGCTGTTGAGGAGCTGAAGCTCGACTACATCGTCACCGGCACCTGGTCACTAAAGGCATATCAAGAAGCCCAGCGACTGCTCGGCAAGAAGCATGTCAATCTTGTGACTGATGCTCGCACAATCAACGACGGCAAGTTCGGCAAGATCCCCGACGAGAGCACTTGGAACTTGTCCAAGAACGCAGCGATGGTGTACTACTGTGACAATGAGACGGTCGACGGCGTAGAATTTCCCAAATTCCCCACCATCTTGGAGCCCTCAGCAAATGGGGACGGCCCAATCGTGGTGGCAGACATGTCCTCAAACATTCTGTCGAGGAAGTTTCCTGTCAAGAATTACTCTCTCTTCTTCTTCGGCGCACAGAAGAACCTGGGGTCTACCGGAATCACCGTCGCTGTCGTCAAGAAGAGTTTCTTGCCGCCTGTAACCCCACAGCCATCAGCAGATCTGCTGAGGAACTTGGGACTGCCGATTGGCCCAATTGTTCTTTCTTACGAGACCATCGCCAAGAACAACAGCTTGTATAACACCTTGAGCATCTTTGAGTGAGTCCTTGCATTGATATTCTGTCCTTCTGAATTTGTCTGAACCTTACCCTTTGTAGTGTTTACATTGCTGGCCAAGTGCTCAAGAAATCGCTTGCCACGTACCCTGACAAGGTGACTGGTCAGGAGGCAGTCTCAAACAAGAAGGCCCAGCTGATTTACGCCGCGCTCGAGGCGCATCCGGATGCGTACAAGATTGTCCCAGACAAATCAGTTCGTTCAAGGATGAACATCTGCTTCCGTGTCACGAAGGTAAGTTCGCCGTGTGTCTTGTTCACACCAGAAATAATGCAAGTCTAACAGATTTCTAGGGCGGCAATGTTGACGAGGCGGAGAAGGCTTTCCTAAAACAAGGCACTGAGCAGGGCCTTACCGGCCTGAAGGGACATCGTTCAGTCGGAGGTATTCGAGCCAGTAATTTTAACTCGATACCCCTTACGGGTGCAGAGAAGCTGGTGTCGTTCATTGAATCCTTCGCAAAGGCATAATGGGGTCATCGTAATCATTAGCTATAATGGCGCATCGGTTTCAAGGAAAAGCAGTGAGTACATAAGTGAATATCAAGGAAGAGCTATCAACTATTTGAATAGCCATGAGGGAGAGCGCTTGCATGATTTACGAAGTCTATTATTCAACCATAGGCTGGATAAAGGAAAAATATAAATCTGAGGGGTCTCCAAAATCAATATGTCTTCTGTTACGTTGTCTTTGTAGCCTTTGTTAGACGCAAGTCAGCATGGTCGTAGTAAGATATGTACAAAATCAGCTACAAGATGTGGACAACGGTATATCAGGCTTGTTGGGGAAACCTCTTCTGTATGACAAATAGGCCACTAAATCTATCTAAAAGCGGTGGACCCATTCCACGCAAATGAGACAAGCCTTGTCTCTATGAACCTGCAGCTTCCGACTTAAGCCAGTCTGGCACTGCTGGAGGCTTGTCCCAGCCGTCTAGATATGTTTCCCTCGCGACACCTTCTCCAGAGGGTTTGGCATAGATTGCGCTGATGTACAACACGGTCTGCCCCTTTTTGATGGTATGCTGCAATGTCGGAATCGTTGTACGGCTCTCCACCAGGTTCGAGTTTGGATCCGCATTGACCAGCATCGCCGATCTGCCGATGTCGTCTTCCAGTGCTTTGATGCCAACGGCTCCTTTTGATACGGCGAATGCTCCCTCTGCTCCAGTCGACCAGGCTTCAGGAGTGCCGAGGTCGTAGTTGCCGATGAGCTTCGGATAAGTGCCTTCGCATTTCGTGGCGTCATATGCATCAAGATATCTTCCATCCGGAGTTCTCTCATTGTAGATTGCAAACGAGCCATCGGCTGTCATCACTTCTCTGCCAGCTTCGATTTGATGGACACGAATATGCCAATTTGGTGTCTCCTCCTCAGGTGGAATCAAAATAGTCTTGATCTTGACATCAGGAAATGGCTGCCATTTAGAGACCAGGATCGTTTGCTCGCTTCTATACTCAATAGCGGAGTATTCTGATAGTCGTCTTGCTTTCCAGAATTCACCACCATCATCTGACAATCCCAGTTGCGAGGCAAGCGCATATTGCTCGAGAGTGAAAAGCCCTGGTGGAGCAGAGTAGGCATATGCACTGCTATACGCGAAGCTGCCGTACTTTGCATGTGTTCCTTTCATGGGATATCCACAAGCTTGACCAGATGACAGCAACATACAATGCCCGCCAAGGTTTCTGTTACATGTTAGCATTACTTACGAGCACGGGAATTGAGGCTACGAACGTCATTATATGCCCCGGGTGTTTCAAGGGTTTGATCTTGGGGATCACATCCCACTGAGACTCCTCTTCCGAAGTCCAGAATGGATGGTCTTCTGGGACGGCGAGGCATATGAACGATAGGCATGCCCAGTACTATATCATGTTAGTAGAGCTCGATCGATATCAAAATGGCACACCTACTGGGCTTCCGGGGCTGTTATAGTTCTCGGCCATATACATATTGGGATAGGAGTACCCAATTGTCAGTGTTCCGGCGGGACTCCAGATGTTTGGTTGTGTTTGCCACCATCGTAGATGACGAAGAACGATGCCTTTCACCATCCCCCATGTCAACGGTTCCGGGAGCTCAACTCCCGCATATGCCAATGCACCCCAAAATGATACCATTGCAAAGCGGTAGCCCACACTTCGCCCAAACGGAATGGAACGCCCTTCCTTGTCATAATAATGAGCCATGTCTAATGCTGCCATCTGGGCCCTCTTCTTAAACTCTTCAGCGCGCTCAGGCTCTTCTTTTCCTGCAATCTTTGCATAGAGTAGTTGTAAGAAATGAATAGCAAAACTGGAAGAGTAATAATCCATTTCTACCATGGTATTAACGCAACATACTTCAAAGTGAGTTACACAATACTTACGATGAATGCCTTCTGGGCCATCATTCGACCAGCCATCCCCACGGTAGAAGGTGTTGAGGTGCTCGATATCACTATCTAAACGTTCTTGAGAGAATTTACCGCCGTTCTCTTTCAGGCCTAGGTTGGCAAATACTCTAAACCATAACCAATTCGTATTCGGCATGCTGCCACAATGTCAGTACTCGCAACGATCAAGACCTTTGAGGCGATTAACTTTTTCTCGTTTATGGAGTTACCTAGCCAGTTCTCAACGTTTGTTCGCTCCTTTTCAGAAAACGACTGCCAGATCTCTGGTGCGGCAGCGAGTGCGAAACCTAATCAAATTAATCATTGAGGCAGAAATTGGAAGCACTGAGATTCTCACCCAGAGGACACATCTCGACCATTCTCTGATCATTGTCACGGGGAAAGCCCCAGTATTCCGGGTTCTCAGGGTCAGTTCCCGCCTTGATGCCATCGATCCACCAGCTCTTGCCATGATAGTCCCCGCCTCCTGCCAGCAAACATGCTAAGCCCCATAACGGCCGGCAGATTCCCTCGACTTCAGAAGCTGTCTGGTCGAATCTGACGGCGGTTGCTCCAGGACACCGAACTCGCGCCTTGTTTGGGGAGAAGAAAGGCTCAAGAGGGTCTAGGACTGTGCGCAGAAGCTTTTGAACGGAAGCACGATCGGAGATCGTAACTTTAGAGAACGGATGGAGGCCATTGTAACCAATGACCATACCGGTCTTTGCGTCCATGATGACGATTGTTACAAGATAATAACAACACTACCTTTCTACGAGCTCAAAAAGAGAACAGGTCTAGATTCATGCAGCATGTCCAGTCGGAAATTTGCCATGCGGTGTCCTAGTCGCATTATATTGCCTGAGTAGAGGTCGCGGAACATTGACCCGCTTCATCAACGGCAGCAATGCCTCCTATCAGGTTGAATGGTTGTAGTGGGGCGCCCGCTGAGGAACTCACGGAAAAGCGTGTGAGGGGTTCAGCCATCGAGGATTTGTGGGGGTTCAAGGCTCCCGGCTAAATAACGTGACGTCGTGCACAGTGTATTTGGTTACAGATAAGAATCTATATTGATGGTATGGAGGATCGAAGCGAGACCGGCGCTCTTCTACGAGGGGGAGAGTATGGACCAAGCCGAGTTGCCGGATTTGACTTACACCGGAGGGCCGAACTCAAAAGCTCCACCCCACCGGACAAAAATGGACCTCAAGTGCCGGGTGCCCCGGTCGGCCCCCTTTCCCGTGCCGAATGCCGGCAGTGTATTATACTGGTTATGATGACCCCCACCACCGCCGGCCTCGTAACATGGCATCGCTCGTGGAAGTCTATCCAGTTCTCGCTAGTACATGACCTTCGTTGAGTGCGCTCCTTACTAAATTGTCGCCAGCCACCAAGCCGCCCCCAGAATTATGCTATATAGTGCCCAATACTGCAACCCTTGTCTGACATAGTTCCGCACCCTCTTCTTGGTGGTCGCCAACTCATTCAAATAGGGTACCGGAACGCTCTTCGGCGGCGCCTCCCTGTCAAGAAAATCACAGAGCGGTCCCCAGCCCATACCAAGGTGCCAGATCAAGATGTCGCGGCCGCGCTTCCTGGCCTCTTCTTGCACCCAGGCAAGATAATTCTCATAGAACTCAACGGTCATCCAAGCACTACCCTTGGACTCGAGCCATCTTGGTGTCTCCGCCTGGGCCAAAACACCTTTGCTTCTCCAGATATTGGTCTGCAGGCGGTATCGATACCACCAGAATCGGTACCGTTGCAACGGCCAGCATGCCAACACTCCCCACCAGGTGCTGAAAAACCGGACTGATCCGTCGCAACTGCGTGCCCAGGCGACACCAGCCGGCTCGCCATTCTTTGGAGGTGGCCGCACGTTGAGCACAAGCTTCGCCTCTGGATATAGATCCATGAGGTCCCCAGCTACCACATTCATCGACTCCATACATGCTGCGTAGCCGTCCGTGACTTGATGCAGAAGAGCTTGGCGCCGGGCCTTGTTCTCGTCACCCTGAAGGCGGAACGCGTCGAGGATGAGCTGAAACTTGCTGAGGTTCGTCACTGTCTCAAAGGCATGGAGAGTGGGTTTGATATTGAGGATGTCCGACTCCAAGGCGGCTGTCAGAGACGTTGTCCCACATCTCGGTAGTCCGAGGGCAAGCACCTGCATCTTTGTCTCCTTTCTCTCTGCTGAACTGTTCATGATGTTTCCCAGTCTCCCAAAGACGTTCTACTAGTTGCCAGTAACAGTCGTAAAGCTTCATTTAGGGACTTCAATCACTGGGTTGGGCATTTTTATACTGTTTCTCCCACCGGAATGAGACATTGCGATCGGGAACGCAGATCATCATGTTCCGTCGTATGTCGGATCTGCTAGGATCTGAAAGCCGGTTGGTGTAGTTAGGTCTCACCACACTATTGAGTCCGAGTATCCGTGTTAGGCTCACGAGTATCCGAGATTACCGTTGATATTCAAATTCAGACTGGATAATGTGAAAATTTTCGTCTAGTGACGGGTCCAGATCGCTTTGAAATATATATTTACATTAGACTAAGCCATTGACCAAACAACAACTACCGTTTTGCCATTAAGCACAACTTGATCGACATTCTGGACACTTGTCTACATTTGAAGCAACATTTCTTGTTGCAGCTATGTCAAGTAGCAAATTACTTTACATCTGATGTCAGCTCCTTGTCTCAGCAGACTTGATCGCTTCAGGCATCCTTCAGTGTAGCCATAGTTACGATGATTACTTTGCGCCATATTACGGGACATCTTATTCAAGTATCATTCTTCATGGCAAGATACCCCTTGACCCGCCTTGATCCTCTCGAATATGGGACTTAGATCATGCTTGGCCTCCATATACTGGATTAAACCTTTCTCTTCGCCCTCTGACATTAGTCTAATCACTAGGAATGACGGATTGTGAAGTGCTCCGTCCTCGGGATCGCCTTTGATATTGTAAAACACCTGCAATTCCACACTGATAGTGCTCCCAGCAAGGTCTGTGCTCCAAATCAGTATTGAAACAATGACTTGGCACTCACCAACTGATTCAGCAACGTGAGATTGACTCTCAAATGCTTGAAAATTCTCTTTGAAGAATGCCCTGATGGCATCACGGCCCTCGATAGCCCTGTCCTTGCTGAGCTGTAGTACGGCATCCGAGGCATAGAGAGGCGTGATCCTGTCAACATCAAGAGAGTCTAGTTCGGTATTGTACTGTGAGTTAAGGTATAAATTAGACATTATCAAGTCGCCATTTGATGAGATGGAGGTGCCGCACATGCCCAACCCAATTCTCAGCTTTCTCCACCGTAGTCGGGAGAAATGCCATTTCGTGTCCAAAATAACGAAAGAAAAAGAGCCAGTTAGAAAGAGTCGTCTTGACGGGAATTTTGGAGGCGGTCGGTCTTTGGCTTGTACTCCCCAACGCACGTCAGATTACTCGCTGACTTCCAGGGTAGGGCGGAACTCCGCATAAGTCATCCTGACGCTCGTCATGGCCGGGCACAAATAGAACCATATGGATATTGTATCATTCGACCATAAATGAACATCTATGTGAATACATTCTCTCAGCCGAAACCACGAAGCCACAGCCCGTTATAGAAGAAATTGCGGCCCAAGTCTTAAGATTGAACACTCCGTTACACATCTCTCCCAACACCAGCATAGACTTGAAAATCGAGCGTAGAGATGGAGATGTATAGATCAAAGAAGTGAAAGTATGCATTCGCTATATCACTACAAGGTATAATATAGTACCAAGGGCTATTTCACTGACAATCCTTGCCTTCTCTCGTACTTGTCATCTCAGGGGCGATGTCAAGGAGGCACTATCAAGTGTGCTGTACCGAACAGACCTGCAATTCGCATGACACCACACCCCTTGAACACCACTCCGTAAAAGATTCATCCCTGGCCGCCCAATATAGCCGAATGTTGGATTGAAACTCCTTGCAATGTAGTACAAAGGTCCTCCTGGCAGAAGTAGAAAAATTCCAGGTATGACACCTCCGACCATGGTTGTCGACTAGTAAACATTACGTACTGCTTTATATGCTCTGATGATCGCGATGATGCACAACAGAAGACCGCCAATTGCGGCGTGTCTCATCTCATGGTTTACCCTTCTACACTTCAGTAGGGGTTTCCTCCGCCGTGGGTGTTGGTACATCAGCATCAGCCATGGCGTCGTCTTTTGTCTCGTCATCTTCCTTCGGCTGAGTGCTAGCCGTCTTCTCGCGCATCCTCCTTCTCCTGGCGGTTCTCTCATCCTGCGCGGTCTGTCTTCTCGCCTTCCTAAGGCTTTCACGTTTCTCTTCACTATCTTCCGCGCCATCACCACGCATGCCTTGGAGTAGCAGTGCTGCTCTCGCCGCGACATCATCCTCTTCGGCTTCCTTCGGCGAGGACAGCCCAGGGCTAACCAGGTTGCCATCATCGTCGGTAGGGGCACTTCCTGTGCTCTTGGCACTTTGTAGCCCGGCTTCCACCTCCGGAATCTCGTTCAAGTCAGGAATCTTTTGGCCAGAAGCGATACGCACTTGGTGCCTGTCCTTGAGTCTTGCTCTCCTTCTGCGATCTTTCTGATCTCTGGTTTGCGGTGCAGCAGCCCTGAGTTTCTCAAGCAGGCTGTCCATGGCACCTGCACTGCTAGGGCTAGGCAGTGCACTCTCTATACCGGCAGCAGAAGCAATCTTCAACTGCGCGTGCTTCCTCTTCATGCTTGCCTCGTTCCGCCTTCTCGTATCTTCAAGCTGGACGTTCTTCTCGCGGGACCTCTTCCACTCCGAGATAAACAGGGCCAACTTGGCGAAGAAGTCTCTGCGAGCATTGTCGTCTTGAGGATCTTCGCCATAGAAGATCATAATATCGTTGTATGTTCGGATCATTTCCTCAAGGTACAACTCCATCTGCTCCGCCTTGCGCCTAGCATCCTTCATGCAGCGCTGTACGATTTGGCTTACACGGTCTTGTGGATGAAACTTCTTCGGATCAGACAAGTTACCGGAGTCAAGCGACATCTGGACATTGCGGATGTTGTCAATATACTTCTTGGCATCAGCCTGCAGCTGCTCGATATTGATCTTTTGGGCAGTCAGAACACCCTGGATATCTCCGGTGAACTCTTCCCATTCTGGATACTGCTGTCGAACAATACGCTCGACAAGATCAGCCAGCGTGGACTCGTTTTTGTCATCTTTGACCATTGCAAGACGGGCAAGGGAACTGAGCTTGAAGCCTCGTGCTTGCTTGTTTGCGTCGTTCATGTAATTACCAATATCAAGAATGAGACCCAGTACGTTCATCAATGATACCGAATCTCTCAGCGACTCTGAAACGTTGACAACTTGGCGGATCTTCTCAGAAATCTCTTCATAGTCAGGCTCGAAGCTCCTTGTCAAAGCCAGAGCTCGCATCCTACTCTTCCAGTAATGATGGAGCTCAAATGCGGTTTGCAGGTAGATCTGATCTTGCCTGGTAAGCTCGGCCGGATCTTGTTCCCGGTTCTCTTTATTCGCCTCTGGGCCAGTCCAGTCTTTGCTGTATGGTGCCATAAGCTTCGAGGTATTGTCAGGGATATTGCAGAGATCATCTTTTTGTAGGAAATCCATGACGACCTGGTTATCAAGTACTTCCTTGTCACAATGGATGATCATCTGAACAACTTTCTCTACAGAATATTGTGAAAATTTGGCGAGAGCAATTTCTAAAAGCCAGGTTAGCGTAAAGAACAAACAAGAAATGAGTGCATTGATAACTCACCAAAGGCTTTACGGAGATCATTAGAGATGATCTGCTTCTTGTCGTCCTTCTTAGAGCTGCTTTGACCCAGTTGCTTGATCTCCTTGGCCATGAAGAGTTTCTCGACTTCATCAAGAATACCCTTACGGCTAAGCTCCATGTACTTCTCTTCTCTCTCTTCCGCTGTAGGGGCATGGGCGGCCCAATGAGTGGTCACAGGGGTATCAACCTTGTCCCAATGCAAAGCCTTAAGCTTTTTCTTGGGTCGAACGACAGGTAGACCAATAGTTGGTGTCGCCGAAAAGGCAGGCTGTTGAGCCAGGAAATGACCAGACAAAGTCCCAGGCATAGGCATTGGAGGAGGCGGAGGGGGAGGCATGCCAGCAACACCTGGCATGGGGGGCGGAGGAGGTGGAGGAGGAGGCATTGCGCTCGTACCAGGCATAGGGGGAGGAGGGGGGGGAGGCGGCGGTGGAGGTGCTCCCGTAGCAGAGGTAGGCGATAGCATACCAGGAGGCGGGGGAGGTGCGCCAGGAAGTTGACCTGGCATAGGAGGAGGTGGAGGAGGCGGGGGAGGTGGCCCAGAAGTGCCAGTAATCTCGATCTTAGGAGGCTCGTTGTCACTGGGTGTGATAGGAGATTGCGATTCAAGGCTCGGGTGTGATGGACCGGTAGTGACACCATCTCCATCCTCGGAATCACTGCCTTCATACTTCTTGACCTTGCCAGTGATCTCGCCAAGGAGATTGCTCTGCTGCTTTGGATCCATGACTGGGCGACGGATCTCAACAACACGGGGCTTCTCGTAGATGACACCATCTTCTCCTTCATCTCCGCTCTCAGCGATTCTGTCAGCAGCTTCCCCTTGAGAGTTGACGGGTTTACGGGGGATCTTGGTTTGTCTGTTGACACTACCAAGCATGCTGTTTGTGAAATCTCGAGGCGGAGTGCCGGCGCCAGCCGCGTTCCCATATCCGTCCATTTCCTCGCGTAGTGCGCGTAATCTGTCAGAAGGTCCGGCAGCATCACCCCATACTCTGCCTTCCAGTTTGAATTGGGTCTTTTGGCGCTCAATCTGCATTGCCAGGCGGTCCATGAGACGTTCGCGGTCAAGTATACCCTGCATACGAGCAGGATCTTCATCACCCAGCTTGTTACCCTTAACAGCGTTCGACGCAGCAACGTCTTGCGCATCCCGAAGCATGAGATACAGCTCACGAGTCTCAAGCTCGTATCTTTGAGCTTCCTTAGCACGCAGGGTCTGAATGTTTTCTAGCTCCGATTTCAGTCCCTCGGCTTGTCTCCTTTGAGCTTCGATGAAGCGTGCTTGCTCATCTAATTGCTTCTGCATCTTGGCGACTAGACCATCTGCACCAAGTTCAAGTCTTGCCCGCATTTCGTCCCTCTCGGCCATCGCAGCATCCGCTATCTGCCGGGCCTCGAGGGCTTCATCTAGGGCTTGACGGGCCTCAGAGTCCGTGTGTAGCTTGTCTAGGAGACTCTGGACGGTGAAGTTGAGGCTCTGCTTGAGATCCATATCCGGCAAACGACGGTCCATAGCAACGTAGCTGAGCATGGAGTCCACAAGCTGGAACATCCTGAGACGTTCCTCGCCATCGTTATTACGGATGAGGAGGAGATGTTGCAAAGCAGATATGAAGTAGTCCTGAGTCTTGGTGCCCTGTAGCCGCGTCTGGATAGCGTCTACAATTTGAGCTGGATCGTTTAGATCCTTGACTTCCCCCTCGATACTGTCCTTGATACTGCTATTCTCCCGTTCGAGCATATCCTCATAATCAATGGCTTCGTTTGTCCGGAAACGCTCAATCTGTTTGTCTATCAGGTCGTATTGGAAGGATTCCATCTTCGTCAGGATCCGCCTAATCCCGCATGCAGTAAATTGCGCTCGGATATGAATCCGGAGCTGGAGATCTTTCTCAGGGGCGTCGATGATCATATTGATGAGGATGAGTGTCGCAACGGCATATTCCATGAGGAGATTCTCCATACCAATTCCACCGCTCCTCACTTCCTCGCTTGCACCGACGAGACTGCCCATCTTGCCTCGGCCATCGACCGTGACTTCGACAAGCCGCATCCAGGCATCAAAGCGGCCATTCTCTGCCTGCGAGTTCTTGACATTGTCCATGGCCCCAATGACTTTCATGTGGCCTTGGCCATCGGCCCAATGGCACAAGAAGGTCAAGACTTCACTGACCAGTTTTCGTGTTGATAGTCGGGGAGAGATGAGGGATGTAGCCAGCGCAACTATGACCTGCTGGTGAGTTAAGGCATCGTCGGCGCCGAACTTGTTGTTCATCAACGCCTTCAGACACTTCACAATATCGTATTCCCGGTCCAGGTTCTTCTCGCCTCTGCTGCCCTCAGGAGCTGCCGGGCCGACCGCAGACTTTCGATTTATTTTTAGGAGCACATTGGTGAGAGCAACCTGACCCTGGCACTCGATAAATCGCTTGACCCAGCCAATCTGTTGCGTTCTCAAGTTGACTTCCAAGCTGCCCAACCCTTTCGTATCGAGGCTGTTGTCCATGACTTTCCTAACGTACCATTCGGGACTGCCTTCCTCGTCTGAAAAGGTTGTGACATCAAAATTCGAGTATTGTCCTGGCTTCGCTGTTGCCCTTCTCTTCTGATCGCCTTGCCATTCTGTCAGGCGATCCTGGTAGATCAATGTCCATTTCTTCGCGGCCGGGTAGGCGATCATCTGTCGGCGAGCCTGGTCGGGAAGGTTGTGCCAACCACGTTTCTGCATCAATTCCACAAACATCTGCTCCACGACTCGGTCATCGTCAGGCTTGGAGAAGTTGAAGCCGTCGTGGGAGCCACCCGCTTGGTATCCTCCTGGAAGCTTGGTCAGGCGGTTCGATTCGCGGTGGGATTGTTGGGAAGAATAAGAGCTGAGGGAAGAGGCACTGGGGAGGGCTGGCTTGGATGAGCGATTGTTTGCATTATAATAGGAGCCGCCATTACCTGAAAATACGCTGGACTGATCCGCGGAGCTTCGGCCGCCAGAGGTCTGGTATGAATTGTATCTCGAATTATGGGATCCAGCGTAGCTGCTTTCCCTTGGAGGACCCCATTGCTGAAGCTGTGTCTGTCGGCCAGTGCTGGCCATGGTGATATTGGATCCTGGAGGTGGTCGAGGACCCGAGAGATGCGAGCCAGCAACGTTGTGAAGTTGTGAAGGGTCGAAACTGGGGTACTGGTGGAAATCGGCCGTGGCTTTGGCTAACTGGTGTGGTAACGGTTCTCGCCGTACTGGCATTTGGTCTGGCTTCGGTAGATATTCGACAGGGATAGGTGAGCGGCGGTCGGCGCTCACGCTCTCGTAGGGTATAGTAGTCATCACGCCCGCCATCATATTCAGGCCCCCATCGGGGGTAGTCGGGCGGTCGATGGATATTGTTGACGAGTCTCGATGGTGGTGCCGTGACGTACGCGAGTTTACAGAGCTCGATGTGTCGTATTCGGCCGCCAGGTGTTTACCCTCATCGCTCGTGTTCCTCTTGTCACTTTTGTTTCTGCTTCTAGAGAAAAAGGACGAGGCCTTCCCGGTGGAAGACTGCCTTGACTTGTCGGCAGAAGACATGTTGATCGCGGGTAAGAATCGTGAAACAGCCGCCTTCGGTGCACGTCAAGATGAGTGGATGTGTGCAGCCAACACGCACGCACGCGCGAGATCGCAGACCTCAGGGCGTGGAGCACTGGCACTGGCACTGGCACTGGCCGTGAACTGGGACTGGAGCCGAGCCGCTCGTCTCGTGGAGAGGGACGGATTGGCTTCGAAATAGTAGTCTGCGTCTCAGGACCGAGGGCGATCGCATCGCATATCCGGCCAGCTCAGGACGACGATTCGCGGGATGTCTAGCGGGCAAGGTGTTGCATAATCGAGGCTGTTTGAAAGGCACCCACTTCTTTTTCCGTACTGGCCGCGAAGGCTCATCGAAGGTTCGCGTAGGGAAAGGGTCGTGGAGGTAAGTCGGAAGTAAAGGCAGGCAAGGCAAGACAAGACAAGGTCCAGATCCAGGGGACCCTGGGGAGGGTTAATTTTGGGTGGATTTCCTCAAATGGAAGCGGCACTTTCGATAGGCGGCGCCTCCCCTGCTGACCTCGATCCTCTCCCCGAGCTCGCTCCACATTCAATAATAAAATAAATAGCAGGCCCAGTCCTGAATCAATACGAATGGGCGCCTGGATTCTTTGTCTTTTTCTCAAGATTCTGCAACAGACAGCAAACGCGCAAATGGTGGATGGATGGGTAAGCACCGCCAGCAGATTTTCTTTTAGGGGGGTCTGTCAGCCCTTTTTACGATAGGAGAAGGCACGTTGGCGGCTCTCTTTCTCGTGTTTGGGGACAAAGACAGTTAGCCCGTCTATCATATCAACCACACAGACTACCTAGGTACCTAGTATACTCTAACGGTGCCTCTAGCAATTCACAGTACAACTCTGCAATCAAGTAGCTGCTGTCATAATCAAGCTTGATAGTGGCCAAGGTGGCCAAATGCAGCAGCCAGCGGTTAGTCTAGTGCCAGGTCGACTAATACATACATGTAGTAGAGGTTGTGTGGAGAGAGTATGGGAAATGCTACGCTGGTGGTGATTTCGCACCCCCTGAAACGGGCGTGGTTTCATCCGCCAGGGAAACACAAATGTAACCGTGCGGCCATGCCATGCCATGCCATGCATTTGATGTGATGCGATCGATGCCATGCCAGCATTGCCAGCGCAGCGCCATGCCAAAATAACCAAAGCCCAGTCTTGTTTGTCAAAGCTCATACCGCAAACCGATCTTGGCGGCACGCGTTTTCCCTTGCTTTCGTTGCTCTCTGCTCTCCTCCCCCTTACTGCGCTGGTTGTCTTGAATTGCGGGGCATTGACATGTCTAATCTACCTACTGTACCTAGGTATGTACATACACATATCTAGTGCATTTAGGGGCCCATATTTGCCAGGAATCCTCTCACAAGGTAATCACTTTACAACCACTTCGTGTTGATGACATATTCCACTGACATTGCTTACCGGCTTTGCCATCAGGGTGTGTGTACACGGAGTTTGCACGTAGCATGATCTGTACCTCAGCCCGGTGGTTGAGTGGAAGCCAAACAATGGTGACGGGAGGGGTGTAAACAACAATCCAGCGCCAAATATAGCGCTACCATCAAGAAGACATGAGACGGTGTGTATATTTCGGTACAAGTTTATTCAACGACCTATGAGTAAGTTACTGCAGCAAAATGGACCTATTCACACTGAAGCCCGAGTTATGTACGGAGTAGTCATGGCTGGATATCCCCTATGTTCTTGGTGGCACGAACTGTTTCGATATCTGCTGCATGAACCCCTATTCTCAATGCGCACCCACCCATTCACCCACGAGCGGAGGGGCCCTGGCGAGATGCAGCCTTAGGAGGGAAACAGCCAATAGAACCACCTTGATGATTCTTTGACAGTTCGTTTGTGTGGCCGCTATTGAAGAAATGCGGCTGTGGCTGACAGTCAGCTTGCTGACACTGAGGGCTGGTATCACAATCCGTATTAGCAGAATCTATCGAGAAGCCACAGCCACGGCAAAATGAAAGAGGTAGGGGCGTCGAACCCCGAGATCACTTGACGATATCTACGACATACTCGAAAAGTAATATTCGAAAACCTACAAGGACGACTAGGAAGAGCTTTGATAGACGATGTAAGGAGGTTGCTGTTTGCTGTTAGTGCAATATCTCCATGCCAACGTTGGCCAGACGAGACTTGAATGGCATACTAACACCTAAGAAGGCGGCCCCTAAAATGGCAGCCCAGACTAGGCAAGCGGGTATGGCGAATGACGCCGCCCCTACCCATGTCGGATCCTCCAGCAGCCCGGGCTCCACCTCAGAGCCGATAACCTCAACCCGCAGCGAGATTCTCTGCGCCGTACCGTATCACCAAGTGACCACGCGGCTTGCCAGCTGCGTCCCTGTGTAGTCCAGCGAGAATTCCGTCTCCGGCACCTTTATTACCATATACACACGTCCTTCATCATCCCAGTTTGCCCTGGGCCAATATCGTCTGGTAGCTATAGTATCGCAGGCGGGATCTCGAGCCTACGTGGCCTGACAACGGTTGGAACGCCCCTTGCGGCAAGATGGGCGAAACACTGTCGGTCATCAAGGTGAGTCTTGATACTAGGCATAGAATGACAGAACTATGACTGACAGGCTGAACCCCAGACCTTGATCATTCCAGCCATCATCGCCCTTCTCTTCTTTCTTCTCATCACCTATGTTCTGGTCCCGATGTGGCAGAGATACCGCAACCGATATAGCCAGTACCTACCGGTGGAGACAATATCCAGTGGCTCGTCGCTGCTTCGTCAAAGGTTCCAGGGCGGGATAATAGGCGCATTTATGCCCTCAATCCTGCGGCGGCGACAGGAACGTGTGGTCGTGGCCACCGACAACGGATCGGATGCGGACTTCAACTCGGAGGAGGGAGAAGAGCTAGAGATAGTTCATGAAGACAGAAGAGAACAGCACGAAAGAGAAGCTGGAAGACCTGATCTGGAGAGGCGACTGAGCAGAGAGTAGGTCCACTCATGGGTTTGATACGTGCCCCTTGGCTAATTTGGCGTACAGTTTGGAAGAAGGATTTCGAGACGAAAGCGATGATGAATTAGGACCTGTTGTACGGTCACGATAGCATTTAAGCGTGCGTTCTTACGATTTATGACATTATACTTCTAAATGCATCTACATATTGCTGTCATGGGTATCGACGTGCTCTTCATTTTCGCCCACATGGATCGCCATGGCCATTCCCGTACTCATATGGACTTGGACATGACAATGCAGCATCCAGATGCCAGGATTGTCTGCAGCAATCCGAAGCACAACATGTCCCCTTCTCGGCACGGCTACCGTGTCTTTCCGCAACGGACTTGCAAGATCCAGCCCAGAAGGCGGTTCGCTTCCTTCAAAGGGATTATAGCTGCCCCATCCAGTACGACCGTCAGCTCTATATGAGGACAGAACGTAGAACTCATGCCCATGTAAATGAAAGGGATGTGAGCCGTCGTCAAGATTGTTAATGACCAGGTCAATCCATGTTCTCTCTTTTATGAAGGGCACAAATTGGTGGTCATCCCAGTCCGCCTTTGGCAGTGATAGTAGTGGTTCGTCTTGCGGAATCCAGAACGTGTGATTAATGAAACCAAGTGGTTTGTTTTCATACTGTGCCAGCTTCTGTGTCTTGACGTATAGAACCAAGGTCTGCTGAACCGAGGACGAAATCTCGCCAACAGCCTGAGCCGTGGGCTCCAGACGAGAGAGATCCAGGTGGTTGACGGAGAAATGATCAGTTGAGTCATCCCACGTTCCATCGTTACTAAAAGGAAACGATTGATTTGGATTAAGGGCTGGATTGGTGTATTTGAAGTTCCTTAGATGGTTAGCTTCTCTGCTTGACGTATTCACAAAGCGTTGCTTACTCATTATCCAAGGCTACAAATAGTGTGCGTTTGGGAAATATTGTGTCTGACTGCAGTATCACGTCGACTCTTTCTCCTGGATAGATGATCCCAAGGCTGTGAGCAGCCGGAGCCTGGACCTCAAAGCCTCCATCAACTTGGATAGGTTGTAAAAGAGCCTCATTGACCGCAATGGAGAATCCAGCAATTGAGCCAACATTGACTAATCTCAAACGTGTCCCTTTGGGTACGCGCCCTAATATACCCCCTAAGTCCTTCTCTGGAACGGTCCTACACTCGACTGGACGGGCAGGGACAGCCAAGGAGCAGTCGAACTGGCCTTTGCCGTTGATAAGTAGTGAGTCTGGCACCGGCTCATTACCGAATGATGCAGGATTAGCATACCATGCTAGGATTTCGTCTCCAGAGCGGTGAAACCAGTCGCCCACCATGAGAAAAACGTCTCGTTGATAATCGTACTCCTGCATCTCTGAGGCACTAGAACGGCCATCGATGGTGTTCTGTGGATGATGTACCACAAGACCACCAAAGAGTCCGTCGCCTCTCTGGGTCTGGGAATGAGCATGCCACCAGAACGTCCCGTGCTCGTGGTCTCCTATTTGAAGAACATACACATAGCGTTCTCCAGGCGCAATTGGCTTCTGAGTGAAGCCGACGGCCCCATCATAGGTGTTTTGACCTAGAAGCTTAAGGCCATGCCAGTGCAATGAAACACCTTCTTCTCCGAGGCTGTTGATCACCTCAATTACCAGAGTGTCTCCGGAGCGAGCTTCTATTGTAGGGCCAGGAAACTCATCTTCATTTTGATTAGTTAAACACGGTATTTCGAATAACGGGTGAGCCGCCTACCATTCACAAGATATACCCGTTTCTTGACACCATCCGGCTCTCGAAAGCCAGAACTTATATTCCATTGAAGCGAAATGTTGTACGCATCACGATGTATGTGCTTATCGGGAGAGAGTAGAATTCCAATTGTCTTGGCAGCTCCTCCATGAGATGTCTTCCAGAATATGAGGTTCGGTAGACCCCGGCCCAGAGACGAGTATAAAGCGGCGAGGGCACACAGTACGAGAAAGCAAAAAGCTAGAAGATCTCGTGCATATACTCTCGTTGGGGCTTGTGCAACCTTATGCGCGGTGGGCGGCTTCGCGAGAGGTTGAGACTCTATCTCATCTCCAAACGAGGACCGAGGGCTTTCCTCTAGTATTGGGGTGCTGCCCGGTTGATGCAGACCATTCTCCATCGCCCAGCATTTCAGTAGGCCGGCACTTCACCTCATAATTTTCAGTTTACAAACCCCTCAAATAGTGCGGAATGATGAGGATAGCTGAGATGCAAGATGGAGATAATTTCGACCTTCCTTGTTCGGATGTTCATAGAGTCTAGTAGAAGTTCAAATCCTGAGGGAATTGATCGCCAGAAACATAACCACATGTGCCAAGCAGGGACAATGTAATTGGCTGTAGCGGCCCTTCCCGCCTCCAAGCAACTCCTCCACACTTACACCCGCATCACAGAAACCCAACCGAGTCTTGTTATTTACCAGCACGCCGCTCTCTTCATCTCCCGGAAACCATGGATTTTGTGCAGCACGTGCCAAGTCTCTCCACCTTGTACGCAAGGTACCGTTGAATTGTAGACTTCGCGCGTGTCAAAACCAGCCTCTCAAAGCCAATGTGAAGGTAAGCAGCTAACTTTATTTGAAGTGGTGTCTTCGATGGATCAAGAACATGTTCCTGGCAGGAGATCTCATTTGGTGATGAACCGAGCGGCCTGATGCACGTTGGCCTCCATGGCTTCCCTCAGCTACCAAGGCCACGGTCAGAGCTTGCTGGGCTGGCTCACCTGCCGGTGCGCTCCGGCATTTATATACATCAAATGGCACATGCCCGGGCTATTTGTTCCTTTCGGATCTTCTTCCTGCTAGGGCTGGCATTCTCAGTGTTCCAAGAAAGCTCCCGAGATCCAGTCAATTGATTATCATGGCAGTCGCGTCCAAGCTATTGCCAGTCATGGCGGCATTCATGTACCCGCTACTGGCCAATGGTCAAGCTGGCAGCATAGCCGATATCGATCATGTCGTGCTATTTATGCAAGGTACGATAACTAGTCTGATATTGTGTCTCCCTCGCTAAGTCCGCAATGCAGAGAACCGAGCCTTCGATCACTACTTTGGCACAATGGCTGGCGTGAGAGGCTTTTCAGACCCTAATATTCAAGTGAACGATGGCACGCCGGTCTGGAAGCAGAAAGTGGACGCCGATCTCACGACAAATGCATCCTATCTCAACCCTTGGTACTTGAATTACCTGGGCGGAGACTGGCTCAATGCTACGCAATGCATGGTCGCTGGTGACAACGGCTGGACGAGCAACCACCTATCCTACAACTTCGGACTCAATGACCACTGGGCTGTCAATAACACACCGTGGAGCTGGGGTCACTTCAGAAGGTCTGATATCCCCGTTCAATTTGCCATTGCCGATGGGTGGACAGTAGGCGACATGTACCAAGTGAGTCTATACTCTCCGCGTCGCCATACAATGTACTAAACCGGACAGGAATCGGTGATTGCATCCACCAATCCCAACCGTGTTACATGGGTATCTGGTTCCATCAATGTTCCCGGATCTCCCCAAGACTCGGACGAGGGTGGCTATCCCTATATCGACAATAACGAAACGCCAGGGTGTGACTCCCAGGGTATCAACTGCTACCCATTGGAGTGGCTCACCACGAGTGAGATCTACGAGAAGGCAAATATCACCTGGCAAGTCTACCAGGACGCTGACAATTTCGATGACAACCCTTTTGCGTGGTTCAAGCAGTTCCAAGAGGCCGACCAGAGCTCTAGCCTGTACAAGCGAGGTTTTGAGGGCTTAAGTCTTGACACATTCTATGCACAGGCAGCCAATGGCACCCTCCCGGAGATTTCATTCATCGTTGGTCCGTCAGAGCTATCTGAGCATCCGCCATACTCACCTCGAGACGGAGCCTGGCTACAGAAGCAGGTCGTAGACGCCGTCACATCGTCTCCCAAGTACAGCAAGACAGTGCTGATTATATCCTTCGATGAGACTGGCGGCTTCGGCGACCACGTGTCCCCTTATCACGCTCCGCAAGGTACACCCGGCGAGTGGATCGAGGATCCCTTTGCAGATATGGGAGAGGTATTCGCCGGGCCTGGCTTCAGACTCCCCTTTTATATCATCAGCCCTTGGACGCGTGGAGGTGCGGTATATGCCGAGCACGTGGACCATAACAGCCAAATTAAGTTCATTGAGAAATGGCAGGCTGCTAAGGGCAAGAACGTCACCTCCGACGAGATGGTTCCTTGGCGCCGAGAACACATGGGGGACCTCACGGATGCATTTGACTTCGCAAACCCGGATTATAGCATTCCAAGCATACCAGACGCTCCAGCTCCTCACAAGAACCTCTTGGGTGAGTACGACGGGGCTGCTCACTGTGAAGCTCTTTATTTAGTACAGCGCCCGCCAGTCCCGTATACATCTCAGGTGGAGGACGTGAGCAGTCTCAGCGAAGAAGGCTTCAAGGAAATTAGGGGTGCGCTGACAGAGGGGCGATACCTGGTCTTTGAGATGGAAGGCGTTGCCCTGACAAACTCTGGCTCTGGAAACGTCACTATATCTCCAGTTACGGCCAAGCACGAGAGCCTCGAGCAGAGGTGGGTTGTGCATGTTGAGGAGGTTGGAAGCAACAAGTTTAAGATCACCAGTGCTGTGGATGGTCAGTATCTGAAGAGCCAAGGAGTGCTGAGCCCTGAGGTCGGCGGACTCTACACTGTTATATTTGAGGCAGGCAAGGGATATGCGCTGCAGAATAAGTGTGGCAAGTATCTCGTTGCTGGCTTTGAAGGAGTTGAGTACAGCCGGGAGATCAAGTACTGGAAGACATACAGCGTAACGTATGCCTAGAGATTCTCTTATAGGTTCACTAGGTAGATCAAAACAACTTCCCAAGATATCGATGAACTCATAAATCCACCGCGAAAAGAGCAATGCGTTAGCAATCAACATTTATCAGGAAGTCTGGCAGAGTTACAATATCAATAGGGAAAGTTAGCCAGGACTGGTGTAAGCCTTTTGGAGCTATTCACCAGAAAGTCATCCACAAGCCAGAAAGGATCTCTACCTCGAGGTACAGCTCAATTCTTGTGTCTACACAACCTTGGTTGACCCGAAGCGTGCTATAGAACGACGATAACTGGAATAAGGAGGGTGAATTCCACGGTTAAGCGCCCGAGGCTGCCAAAAGCTTATCTACTGTCCTGCAACACCTGAAAAGAACCGGATTCCGCCATCCCCTCCATTTCATCCATTCTATGACTTTTTGTCTCGGTAGCCACAGAGATCTGCAATTTGCTACAATGTCACCTTAGTCCTACCAGTCTGCCTCGGGCTAAGATAGTGCAAAGGTCAGGCCCAGGCCAGATAGCCAGCCAACCAGTCAGTCAGGCAGGCTGCCACTTACGTCTTTGGCTGCCTTTCACTCGGCGCATTTCATTATCTATCGCTCTGCTATTGCTCCTGGTCCAGTGATTGAACACCACCAACACCAATCTACACACTTACACCTACCTCGCGTTGCCCGATCAGCAAGCAGCGGCTCGCTTGCTTGCTTGCTCGCTCGCGCGTTGGGAGCTTCGGAACCTTGTGACCCCCGATCTCACAGCCTTCTCTCCCAATAACACAGTCCCACCAACCTTACGTGCCTATCTTTACCCCTCCAACCTATCTGAACTTACATCACACCCAACAAACAACTGCAACCTTGAATAATACAATATTCGCCCACTTACATGCGGGGCCGGACGGAAGCTCGCACAGACGGACCCCGATGAAGCTACAGAAGAGCAACGTCCGGGCGTCGGTCGCGCTCACGCTTCCGACGCCCGTGGTGACGGATCCGGCCTGCCCGATCTGCCAGGAGGAGGTCGGGCGGAAGTCGCCCGAGGGCGTCAAGGAGAGCTGGGCCCTGACGCCGTGCGGGCACGCCTTCGGCAGCGTCTGCATCAAGCGCTACCTCGCCATCACCGACAAGCCGCTGTGCCCCGTCTGCCGCCAGGACGTCTTCCACTACTGCTCGCACCCAGTGCTTCCCGCCTCGTACGACCGGGCGAAGGGCACCACCCGCACGTCGTACCCCTGGGACGGCGACCCGCGCAATAGCCTGTGCCCGTACTGCGTTGCCGGCAAGAACAACCCTCCGAGAGCAGAAGCTGGAGCGGCAGCCGGAGCTGGGGCCGGCACCAATACTACCAGTAGGTCTATCTGGATGCGTTGGGCGTTGCCGCGCCGGTTTGTAGGCGCGGCACTGCGATTTGCACATGTTTCTAAGCGGAAACCACTCCATCCAGAACCGGAAGCCGAACAAGACCCAGAGATTGAGTCCGATGCCGAAGAAGAAGAAGAGGCGGAGGAAGAGGAAGAAGGCCTGGGAGAGCCTCAGTCGCCGGCATCAAGAGACCTGCCGCCAGTTCCAGGCGCCTACGGACGATGGGAGCTAGCAGCAAAGGAGCCAGATTGGAAATTCCTCAAGTGGTTCGACGCACAAGAGCCGAAGACAAACGCCAGTGCCGACATTACGAAATAAGTCGTGGAAAGGGAGATTGGACTACGACGAGACGAGATATAATGACCTTTACACTAGGGTGTGCAGACGGAGTGTTTACGGGATACAGAGCTGTCACATCCCTTGGCGCATTTCCTTTCCTTTCCTTTCCTTTACATCTAGACATGGCAGGGAGCTTTCATCGTTTACCGAGACGCTGTATGAAGCGAGGGGAGTATGGATCTCTTGGAACAGCTTATCAGATCACACGGCAACAAATATCAAGTAGGATCTGTAAGGGTCCTATGCGGGGTCATTGGAGTGGACTGTAGTGTAGTGTAGTGTACCCAGGTAGGTAGCTAGGCGTCAATACCCCGCGCTAAACTTTATATTGAGAGCTCTATCAGTGCTTCTTATCGGCAGACCGTGGCTGCTAGATATCCATGCTGTGGATCAGCTTACCTCTATAGCTCCCCCGCACCGCCGCTAATTAGTGACTAGCGATCGCGTTCTCCAACTTCACCAAATCCTCGACCGCGTCTTCTCCGTGATGAAGAAGGTGCCCATCTCATAAGTGCCTCTATACGGGGCTAGAAAGACAAGATGAGGTTCAAAACAGAGCTGAAAAACATTCGGACGTTCAACAAGCTCACCGCCGCCCTCAACACCCTCGAGAAGATTGCGTGGGTGCGACTCGACGATGACACCGCCCGCTTCACCGTCATCCCCGACACCGGGTCTCAGGTCTGGGCGTGAGTATTCTGCCAGTACCGGTAGCAATTTGTATCCAGACAGTCCGCTTACATGAATGCGCCTCGCAGCTCTCTGTCCATGGATCTGATCTTCGAGAACTACAATATCCAATCCGCCGAAGCGAACAATACTATCAACCTTGAACTGCCGCTTGGACCGCTCCAGCGTGCTCTGAGGTCCGCCATCAACAGCACAGAGGCGTCCCTCCGCCTCACAAAAAAAGATGGCATACCCGTTCTTTCTATGACGATCCACACCACTCCCGACCAGAAGAGCCAAGGCCCGGGCGGCGGCGGCGGCGGCGGTGGTGTTGGGGGCGGTTTCCCAGGCGGACGCCAGAACAGCAATGCGCCCAACCCCTATGACGACCCGTTCGCCGACGCCGACTTCCAGGCCGAGGCGCTCGAGCTGACGATGAAGCGCGAGCGCGAGAAGATCATCACGCAGGACATACCCGTGCGCGTGCTGCACCCGGACACGGTCGAGACCATCATGCAGCCCAAGGTGCGCGAGCCGGACGTCCACATCCAGCTGCCGCCCCTGCTCCAGCTCAAGGCCATCTCCGACCGCTTCACCAAGCTCGCGCTGACCACCACGACGGCCGGCGGCGGCGGCGGCGGCGGACGAGGTGGCGGCTCGCCCAAGCTCGAGCTCTCTGCTAACATGCACGGGTCGCTGCGCCTGCGCATTGGCACCGAGTCCCTCGACATTGAGTCCGTGTGGAGCAACCTGGAGAACCCGGAGCTGGACCCGTCAGTGCTGGCGGTGCCAATCGAGGAGCACCCCAGCACGAAGTTCAGAGAGGCTGGCCCGGACAAGTGGGCGACGGTGCGTGTGGACGGTAAAGACTGGAGCAAGGTGCTCAGTGTCGGCCGTCTGGAGGGGAGAGTCATTGCGTGCTTTGCGGACGATCACGCCTTGATCTTGTATGTGTACGTGCCGCAGTATGATGATGCGAGCGCGGAGGACTCGGTTGTTACCGTGAGTGCAACCCACTGGAGTATGAAGAGTGTCATTTTACTGACGAGATGCAGTATTACGTCTCATCCTACAGTTTATAAAACCATCGGTTTCTTCTGGGCGGATAGACGGCGTTGTAGAAGATTTGAAGTTTGCAAATTTGCTGTTGCATGAAAAGGATATGGGTAATAGTAAAAGGGGGCTACTGGCGTTTCAGGGGAAGCTATCAAAGATACATTGGCTAAGATGCTTTGCATATATGTACATTTAAAATGAACAACATGACAATCTCAAGTAGAGAAGAGCTTAAGAGAACATATTCTTTCTCGTCTATTAGATGTACCTGGCCCCTAATTCTGTGTACTCCCACTTCCCCATCCCCACCAATTTACAACGAATTCAAAACCTGTTCGACAAGAGCCATGTCTCCTGCCCGCTCGATGAGCAGCTGGGTCGAGGTTTGCATATTACAAAACATGTAGGTCTCTATAGTACATACAATCGCACAACGACGCTGACTTGGGTACGTCGGGGTCTCATTCTGACTCATACTTCAAAACTCAATTCTCATCACGAAGAGACACTTCACTTCGCCATGACATCAACATAACGACCGCCCTTCTTCGGCTTCTTGGGCCCACGCTTGGTGGTGCCGGCAGCGCCGAGAAGGTCGTCTATACTGCTTGCGTTGCTCATGCTAGTGGTTGGACGACTAGGCGGGCCGCTGGGAGGAGCACCCGGTGCGCTGGTATTGGACACGGATCTTGCCATTAATGGAGGAGCCGCTAGGTTAGATGGTGGTCCATTCGGATTGCTTAAGGGCGAAGGGGTCAATGTAGTTCGAGGTGGAGGGGCGCTAGCTCGACCCAGCTCTGGCATGGAGGTGGCAGCCGGGAGAGGAGGTGTCCCTGTAGCTGATCGTGGAATACCCCTGGGTGGCGGGGGGGTGGCTTTCTTTGGTGCGTTGTCTTCCGCACCAGCCTTCTTGTTGATCCACCGCTTCTGATCGGGATCATAGTAGAAGCTGCTTTGTTCACCAAGGTTGGCACGGACAGGCTTGTTTGGCGAGTTCTCCAAAGTCTCTTTCTTGGCACCGCCAAACCAGCCGCCAAAGCCCCAACCTTTCTTGGCTTTGGCTTCCTTCTCGGCTGCTGCTCGTTTCGCTGGAACAACTATTAGCAATTGAAATCGCTCTAAGACGTCTTGACACTTACCGTCCTCTTCTGCTGCTTTGCGGAAAAGTTCCTCGTTCTCCTTGTCCTTCTCCGCCTTTGACTTTTCTCCAGGTGTTTGAGAGCGCAATGCTGGAATATCATCGTCCTCATCATCCATAAAGCTCTTCTTAGGTTTGGCCTTTTCTGATCCAGAATCACCATCATCATTTGTTGGCTCTGGGTTGGCTTCATAGGAAGGCGGCTCATATCCATAAGGCTGGTAAGATGGAGGCTCGTATCCACCGCTACTAGTATGCTCAGGAGCCTGTGATTGAGATTCCTCTGGAGTAGTTAAAGATGGAGGCTCATAGCCATAGGAGGGTGGCTGGTAGCCATAGCTTGGAGTGGAATCAGTTCCAATCCCTCCCTCTTTTGTTTCAGGAGCAGGTTCGGCTGGTGCGTACGGTGAAGCACCGCCGGACGGCGCTTGTGGCGCGTAAGGAGAGTAGCCTATTGTAGCAGGCACACTAGGCTGGTCCACCTCGAATGGCTCAGCAGGATGTGAGTTAGGCATATAGGGGGATCCACCCGATGCCGCCAACCCTGGTCCAGGATAACTTTGACTGCTTGTCAAACCGGGCGGAACGTAGCCATTTGTATAGCTAGACTGGTGTTCGAGTGACTGGCGTGGCAGCTCATGCGAGCTACGGCTATACTCTCCTGAGGATCGCTCCATCGAGCTGCGGCCTGGTGGGTTATACGCAGAGCTTGGCTCATATGAGGATGATGCAGAGGCAGGTTGCGCAGCCATTGGCGCATATCGCGAGGCTGCTCGGGTCGCAGGAGGCGACGCGAGCGGAGCTGCCGGAATAGGGGCACCAGGATAACTGTTCCCATTTCCAAACATCTCCATTGCATTTGATGTAGATGGCGGTCGGCTGATTGTTGGCGTGCCACCTGCAATTCTAGCGAAAGGACCAGTCTCGTCGGCTGCCCCTGGCGAACCCTGTCCCGAGCTTTCGTTCTCGTCTCCAGCAACAAACTTATTGAAACGATTCCACATTGAATCAGACACCTTGTTCATACTTGGCTTAGGGATCCACGACCCTGACTCTTCCTTCGGAGCTTGTTTGAGTCTCTTCATAAGGTCCTCAACAGCCCCTTCCAGAACTGCGTGATGGTAGGGAGACCTCCTTGTTTGCGAGTTGATAGCGTTGAAAATCACTTCGCAGTATTGCAAAGCTTTGTCTCTGAAGCCATACTCTGCCAAGGTCATAGCATGTTGAAACTTGTATGCAGCCAGATGGGGACAGCTGACCCCGATGTTTGATGTTCCAGCCAAGCTAAGGCCATACTCGTAGACTTCACTTAGCAGGAGAGGCTCCGTCTCCTTGGCGAATTGCTCGGCCTGCCTTTTATGATCTGCACCAACGAGAACGAAACTTGACTGGGGATCGTCGAGACCTCCAAAGACAGCATTGTTTCGAGCAAATATGAAGCATATATGAGCTGCTTCAGCTCTGCCATAACCGGAGAGCAGGTTTCCAAGCGAGTTCAAGGCACGGGTATCATCGGAGCTCCGATTGCTTAGTATGAGTGTGAGGGTTTCGCGCCATTTGTCAAGGCCCTCTAGACCTGCTTTGGCCGGACCCGTTGACAAAGATTTGGACACCATTTGTAGACCTGCTCTCGCGTGGACCGGTACCAACTCATCTACGGACTCCTCATGGTTCCCTGATAGAACGGCATATAGAGCTGCAAGTGATTCATTGTTATGGCCAGCGATGTTGACCTCCTTCTTGATGAATTCCTGCGACACCTTGTGATACAAGTCAGGGGAGACTGTATTGGCGATAAGCAGTGCATGGCCCCATAATCGTTTATCAGCAGCAGCCCACACAGCCTGTTCGCGATCTCCGCTCACAAGAGAGTTTTTGATCTGTTCGATTGTGGTTGAGTCGACTGAATCCGCCTGCATCTGTGTAGTAGACGACTCGTGAAGGCCGGTTGACTCTGCGCCTGTGGCATAAATCGGAGACAAAACGTCTTTCGAGCCATCGCTTCCTGGGCTTAGCACATCGCGAACTGCCTTGTCCACAGCTGCATTCCCTTCAAGCACACCGTCATACTCAACAAATAGTCTAAGAATCTTCCACAACAAAACACGCTCTTCGGCACGCTTATGTTCGTGTGAAATCTGGGTCTGGAATGATGGACTAGGAAGATTCTTCTCAAGCTCTTCAATGCCAGTACTGAGCCACGAGATGGTTTCCTTCTTCTTAGACTTGCCCTTTAATGGCCCTGGGAATTTGGCGAGTCGTTCCTCGAGAGGATCGGTGTCTTTAATACTTTTGATCTTTACCTCGCCAGGGCTACGCGTAATCATCGGCAAAGCTTGGCCAATCCCATACCTTGGTATGTCTTTAGGGAAAGCTGTTACCATCGTCCCACCAACACCCCAGAATGCAACTGGTGCTCCTTTCCATCGTTGCAATGGATCATTCTCGCGTCCGTCCGTTGGCGGAACCATTTTCAAGTTTTGTGAGAAACCACGTGGTCTTGATGAAAGGGGCGCCTGTACTGAAACCGGTGCAATCGATCCAGGGGACATTGGCCCGTGAACCGATGATGGGCGTGGAACAGGATCCAGCGGCTTCACGTTCGGTCGATTACCATACAATGCCCCAGGTGACTGTGTCTGAGATCGCTGGGGAGGGATAAACTCGTGAGTCTGTGGCGAAATGCTAGGATGAGAGTGAGGCGTATAGTTTGAGCCACCACGCTTTGGGGGTGAGAGCGTGGCCTGAGCATAGGAGGGGCCTAGAGGTGGTGGAGGGGTTTTCCTTGGGCGATTTGCCAATTGACCGTATCTTGAATCGGCCGCCGTTGTTGGATGAGTCAATGATGGTTGGACTTGGTCAGCTACAGGCACTAGGGCTGCAGGTTCGTCCTCGTCAACTTCACGCGTAGGTGGCAGAGATGAGACACGATTGAGTCTTGGCTCATACAAGGAGGAGCTGCTTCGGCGCTCGTGTAGCCCAGGTTCGCTATGCTGAGCAGGTGCAGACCTTGACCTATCTTGAGATGATACTTCAAAATGTGCCAAAGGGCTGGAGGTTCGTGGCTGATGGGGGAGGACAGGCGGTGGAGCTGGAGCATAGCCTGAAGGGCTGCGTTGGGGAGGTGGTGCAGGTGAATACCGGCTCGGTCCTGCAGCATGCACAGTACCATGAGCTCCTGGTAATGATGGCGGTGCAGGAGAATATCTCGATGAAGTCGTAGGCGGTAGGCTTGGGGCCGCACCAGTCGCCGAATGGAGTTGAGCATATGGATTCACACGCTCCGGGGCCACCAGCTTTGGTACATCACCAATAGGAGGCTGACTAGGCACATGCGGTTCCTGCGGCGGCGTAGGGAGGTGTTGAGTATGACTATGCGTTTGAGCTGCGGGAGGCGGACCAAGGGGGCTGGGCTGCGAAGGTGATGGCAGACTGTGTCTAGATGCTGGCCGTGGCTTGCTTGTCATTGGAAGATCCTCGAAGAAGCTTGACTTTGAGCGTAATTGCGGTGGAGGCTTATTTGCTAGAGGAGGAGCTTGATTGGAGTGACTTGAGGAAGGTGGTGACAGAACGGCAGCTGGTTCTTGTGCTGGGGCTGCCCCCGGTCCATTCATACTTGTGCTCCTTGGAGGTGGAGGTGGCCCTGGCTGGATGGGAGACCCAGTGCTACGGGGAATATGCTGCATGCTCGCACGTTTTCGTGGTTTGACAACTTCCATGGGCAGATCATAAGGCGAGTGATATCCACCCTTAGCCTTGTCTGCAAAACTCTGTGCCTTGTTCGGTTCTGGACGCGAAGCAGGGGCATTGTATAACCCTGATACGGCTGGCGGCGCAGACGGCGGTATAGCAAACGGCGTTGTAACCGTGCCATAAGGGTTTTGAACAGGCTGTTGGGCGATGAACGGAGAGGCAGCTGGTAGATATGGATTCGAAGGTGTTATTGGAGGAGCCTGGGTTGACACCGCATCTGATGGGAGATATCGGCCATTTATCCCTTGCGACTGATTGCTGGGAACTGTGGTCGCCTCGGGAGCTGGCTGAGCAGGCGCAATTTGATCTTCGTGATCGTCAAGGAAGCCCTCGTCATCGTCAGCAAAGAAGGCCGCCGGGTCTACAGACTTGGCCTCCTTGTTATCAGTGGCCGAGTCATCCAAAAGAAAATCGTCGTCGTCGTCGTCGGCGAACGCTTGCTCCCACTTTGCAGCTAAATCTTCGCCCTCCCCTTTCTGGCCATTCTGATCCGGGACCACCTCAGATTCCGCGACCACATCAGAAGGTTGAACATCTGATTCCTCATCGCCTTCGGCAGTATCTTCCAAGTCAAAGCCCAGACTGGAGGAGGGATTGGTGTTTAGGGAGTCTATGACTTGCATCGTTGATTTTCTTTGGAGAGACTCGTGTAGAGGCTCTTCAGGTGCAACACCGTTAGCGCCCCCAAGTTGTTGAAAAAAATCGTCGTCAGTAGCAGCAGCATCGTGAGAGAAAGCATCATGGGCTAAAATATTGTCTCCTTGTTCCGCCCCTTCAGCTTGCTGGTGAGGTATCAACGGCAGTCCTTCCGCAAAACGTGCTTCTGATGCCTCTTCATCCGGCCCTTGCAAGTCTCCCCCCAGAAAGCTCTGCGTTGGGAAGTCTGACGCCTCCTCTTCATTTCCCCAGAATGTGTCCTGGTGTAACGCGTTCGACGAATGCGATGTAGGTTCATGTCTGGCCTGCTCGATTTCATGCTCGATCTCATGAATGACGTCCTCGGCCTGATTGTGTGGAAGAGGCTCTTCTGTCTGGTCGTGGATATGGTCGGTAACAGGCGGGACTTGAGGGAAGGAGTTCGTCCTATCGTTCGGGGGCATGAACTTGAAGGGATCTGTATCTGTCCGCGGAAGGCTCCATTCAGGATCCTCGTCATCCATCCAATTCACCTCGTGAGAAACAGTTCGCGCGAATGACACGGTGCTTGCATGTTTTGCTGCGGTTGCTGAAATAGACTGCGCATCCTCTACATCGTCGTCGCCAACATGGTCGCCAGCAGAGTTATCATTCGCATCCTCGCCCTGTGCCGGCTGTTCAAGCCATGAGTTATCTCCGTCATCCCCTTGGAACCATGCATCGACCTCGGGTTTGCTGTCCGCGGGAGGATCGATTGTTTGAGGGGATGTCTTCGACTCGATCGGTTCGTCGGACTGGTCTTTGTCGAGTGTCGCACTCGATGGCTGCTCCGGCTCTTCCACGTTCGCTGCCGGTGCCACTGCCGCAGGTGCATTTGGCATCAGCGCCGGATGCCACGCGGCACTGGGCGCGTCCGACATCTTCAATGAGGATAATTAAACAGGTATCAAAACGAACAACGAAGCGCAGCGATAATTAAAAGAAGTACTAGCGGTTTTCTGTCAGTGAAAAGAGCCCTTGAGCGTAAAAGGGGGCTGCAAATAAGTGGATGACACCATCGCGACACACGACTTGCACCGAGCTACTCTGTGCATCAGGGAAACGACAGGGAGATTGAAGAAAGGGCGACTGGAGGAAAGGAGCGTTGCATACTGGTACAGTGAATTCAAATGCAGTATGATTTTCGCTAGGCACTGCGCTTCATCGTGGAAATGGGTATAAGGCAGTCGAAGATGTCCTCTGCCTCTGCGGCCCGGTTGACAACGGAAAAAGGTTGAAAGCTGGCCAGATCCAGATTTCAGTGTCTGGACGGATTCGAGACGCAATCTGGAAGTTAGACGCAATGGAACCTTGCCTCAGTTTAGCTTGCAAGGAATCTCCCTCCGAAAGTCCAAAAGCCACCTTGTAACTTCCGTGCTCCGACACCAAACACTCACTACCTTGCTAACTAACGCCTCCCGTCTAATTAGGGCCCTTGCCAGTAGCTGCAATTGCCCTTGTCAGCATGTGAGGTTGTTAAGATATACCACCCTCTCGCCTAAAAATAGGGGTATGGTCTGGATATTTTAGCGAGCGTTTGTGGTGCTTGCTGTCGGCTGGCTATGGTATCGCACTAACAGAGCCGCGCCACGCTAGGACACCTCCCTCGCAGCCTGTAGGACATACGTATGTGCGATACGGCTTTCATGCCATACTAGACTGCCACATGCGGTCTGTCTCAAAGGCATCGAGCCGTCAGGTGGCCTCTTTTATGACAATTCCCATACCGCAAGCTTCACCTTGACAGATTACCTAGATACTGCGCGCCATAACTGCTGGCCCTTGCCTGAGCGTCACATCTTGTCGGCCATTCCCCAAGCTCTTCCACCAAACAGTTGAGACCGGAACAGCGGATAACAAAAGAATGCTGGCTTCGCGTGATGCCAGCCAAGACTTTTTGTAACTGCAGACAACACCAAGCCGCACTCTCGTCACAGACATACGAATATTATCACGAAGGGCGTAGCCCGATGCGGGATGCCTCCTTCAACCCCATACCATCCGACCGAGCCGCCAGATTCCCCCGTCGATGATTCCGACTCCGATCTCGAACTCGATCTCCAAGAGCTTGACCCCATACCAGCCCGCGAGCCTCGAAAGGCCGGGCTTCTAGGACACGATCGTGAAGCTGCCGAACAAAGAGCCCCGAGAATTGCCTTGCGGAATCTTCGTATGGGTGGCTTGCGACGAAACGGCAAACGACGAGGTTATGGCGAGCTAGGAAACAGCAGGGACGGGGACGAAGATGCCGAGGGTCTACTCGCTGACGAGGAAGGGCACTCATCGAGGTACTCAGAAGGCAGAGGAAGCTCTGGTGACGATGCGCCCCTTTTGCAGGGCCATGGAGAGAGCTCACGGCGAGCAGGGGCGCGCAAGCGCCTGAACAGCTTCACAGGTAGCTTGCGGCTCCCGAGTTTCATATCGAATGCGGGAGAACGTCCGGACGATGAAGAAGAACAAGAGGAGGATGATCCTTCAGCGTCGAGACTCGTGGCTGCTGGCTCTAACCAAGCCACTCGATTTCCCCCTAACATCGTGTCGAATGCAAAATACACTGCTTGGTCCTTCCTTCCGGTCACGCTTTACAACGAATTCTCATTCTTCTTCAACATGTATTTCCTCCTAGTTGCCCTTTCACAGGCAATACCAGCTCTTAGGATTGGCTATCTATCGACTTATGTCGCGCCACTCGCATTTGTCCTGGCAATCACATTGGGGAAGGAAGCATATGACGATATAGAACGACGACGGAGAGATAATGAGGCCAACGCGGAACCTTACGCGGTTCTACAATTTGATGAACCTGGGCGATCTCTTGGGGGGAGTCGGCCCAAAAAGAAGCTCAAGTCGGCAGCTCCCCGCAAGGGTCAGAAGCGGCCTGCTCGAGAACCTGATCGACTCTCAGATATTCAGGAAGAGGAGGAAGCTACAGAGGGCGAGGGGATCAGGCGACAACCTTCGTCTGAAGTCAGTGAGATTACCAAAAGATCTCGAGATTTGAAAGTTGGAGACGTACTCAAGCTCCAGAGGGGCCAACGAGTTCCTGCGGATGTTGTTATTCTGAAATGTCTTTCACTAGATTCCAATCAGAGCATTCCACCTGCTGAAGAAACCCCTCCAGAGGAGCCACTCTTGATAGACCATGTTGCTGAGTCGAACACAAATGATGCGGCATCGCCAAAAGGAAAGGAAGTGGAATCAAGCGGTGGAGACGATAACGGGCCGACCGGAGAAACATTCATCAGAACTGATCAACTGGATGGTGAGACTGACTGGAAGCTGCGCCTTGCATCGCCGCTATCTCAGACTCTTCCTACAGAAGAGTTGGTGAGATTACGCGTCACAGGAGGCAAGCCTGACAAGAAAGTGAACGAATTTGTTGGCACGCTTGAACTTCTACCATCAAGGCAGGATGCGCTCAGCAACAGTACTTCCCTGCAAAATGGTGATGAGCTCTCAACCTCTGCGCCACTATCTATCGATAATACTGCTTGGGCGAACACAGTGATTGCCTCACATGCCACAACTTTGGCTGTCATACTGTATACCGGACCTCAGACACGCTCTGCGCTCTCCACAGCACCCTCGCGGTCAAAGACCGGTCTCCTTGAGTATGAGATCAACTCACTGACCAAGATTCTTTGTGCATTGACCCTCGGGCTTTCTGTCGTTCTCGTGGCACTAGAAGGCTTCGAGAATACGGAAGGTAACATTTGGTACGTCAAGATCATGCGATTCTTGGTATTATTCTCTACGATTGTACCAATCAGTCTGCGTGTCAATCTTGACCTTGGCAAGAGCGTCTATTCCTGGTTCATACAAAGAGACCCTGGCATCCCTGGAGCTGTTGTGCGAACAAGCACCATCCCGGAGGATCTTGGTCGTATCGAATATCTGCTCAGCGACAAAACTGGAACGTTGACTCAGAATGAGATGGAGATGAAGAAAATCCACGTCGGCACAGTATCGTATGCCAATGAAGCCATGGATGAAGTGACGGCCTACGTGAAGCAGGGCTTTCACACTCCTCCTTCTACTGACCTAGCAGTCAATTCTATTCTCTTCACTCCATCTTCTACTTACACGGCGACAGCCATTGGTGGTGCGACTCGTACTCGCCGAGAGATTGGCTCGAGAGTGCGCGACGTTGTGCTCGCTCTCGCTCTATGCCATAATGTCACGCCGACTGTCGAAGAAGAAGACGGGAAGATGGTTACTTCATACCAAGCCTCGTCTCCTGACGAAATTGCCATTGTGCGATGGACAGAGGCGGTTGGGCTGCGACTTGCCTACCGAGATCGAAAGGGCATGACATTGGAATCACCCGAGTCCGGTCGTCCCGTGGTGCAAGTTCGCATTCTCGACATCTTTCCCTTCACATCTGAAGGCAAGAGAATGGGCATTATTGTTCAATTCTATGAGCGTTCGGGCGCTGGTGTCCCCAGCATTGGTGACGGTGAAATCTGGTTTTACCAGAAAGGAGCTGACACCGTGATGAGCTCGATTGTCGCAGCGAACGACTGGCTGGATGAGGAAACAGCTAATATGGCTCGTGAAGGCCTGCGCACCTTAGTAGTCGGCAGAAAACGGTTGTCGCCTGAGCAATATCAGGAATTTACTGCGAGATATCAAGAGGCATCCCTCGCCATAGCCGGTCGTGATGCTGGCATGCAGAAGGTTGTGTCGCAATACCTTGAACGCGATCTTGAGCTGCTGGGCGTGACAGGCGTGGAGGACAAGCTTCAAAAAGACGTCAAACCTTCCCTTGAGCTGCTACGAAATGCTGGCATCAAAATCTGGATGTTAACTGGTGACAAGGTTGAGACAGCACGTTGTGTTGCAGTCAGCTCAAAACTAGTTGCAAGAGGACAATACATCTACACTGTTGCGAAACTGAAGAGAAAAGACAATGCGCAAGATCACCTCGATTTCTTGAGAAGCAAGACCGATTCTTGTCTATTAATCGATGGCGAGAGTCTCAGCTTGTTCCTCACGCATTTCCGCACTGAATTTGTCTCCGTGGCTGTTCTCTTGCCGACTGTTGTGGCTTGTCGATGCTCGCCAACTCAGAAAGCGGAAGTTGCCAAGCTGATCAAGGAGTACACCAAGAAGCGCGTATGCTGTATTGGCGACGGCGGAAATGATGTCTCGATGATCCAAGCGGCCGACGTTGGCGTCGGCATTGTTGGCAAGGAAGGTCGGCAAGCAAGTCTTGCGGCTGACTTCTCTATTGAGCAATTCTACCATCTGACAAAACTCTTGGTGTGGCACGGCCGAAACAGCTACAAGAGAAGCGCCAAGCTTGCTCAATTCGTCATTCATCGTGGTCTCATCATTGCTGTATGCCAAACAATGTACAGCATTGCCATCAAGTTCGAGCCTGAAGGCCTTTACAAGGACTGGCTTCTTGTTGGCTACGCAACTATTTACACCGCCGCGCCTGTTCTATCCTTGGTGCTTGATAAGGATGTAGACGAGAACCTAGCAAACCTCTATCCAGAGCTCTATAAAGAACTCACAGAAGGTCGATCACTATCGTACCGAACGTTCTTCGTCTGGGTCTTTGTCTCTATCTACCAAGGCGGCATGATCCAGGGCTTATCCCAGATCTTGACCGAGGTCGATGGAAAGAGGATGATCACTGTCAGTTACACAGTTCTGGTTCTCAATGAGCTACTCATGGTTGCCATTGAGATCACAACGTGGCATTGGGTAATGGTGTTGTCCATTGTTGGAACCTTCCTGATGTTCGTTGCATCGATCCCATTCTTGGGTGGATATTTCGATCTCGCATTCATTCTTACATGGTAAGTTTCCCTTCAATCTCAAATGACAAGGATGATCACCTGCTAAATTAGACCAGGGGGTTCCTATGGCGTATTCTAGCCATCGGCTCAGTATCACTTATTCCACCCTACGCAGGAAAGCTGATTAGGAGAACAATGAAGCCACCTTCATACAGAAAGGTCCAAGGCATATGACCTGGCTATGGACAATCGATCTTATCATATCACACCATGCATCGTTTGGCGTTGGGGAAGAGCTTTGAAAACATGCTGCTGTAGTTACAACACAGGTTTATGTAGGCGTGCATACGCATAGCGATTTTGTACATCTCCCACTAAATGTTACATTGATCTTACAACAATGACCTCACATCCGTGTGCTCTTTGACATATCCATTACAGCTTGAGTACAATCCAGTCTTTCCATGTAGCTGGGTATCTTCTCTTGAGTTGGCCAATGACGCCTGAAACAGGACCTTGAAGCTCGTCTCCGCCTGCCCATATTTTTGGGCCTGCGTAGTGCTGGATAAACCCATCAGGTCCAGATATCATAAGAATGTTCTTTCCCACGTTACCGGGCTGGCTCTGGAGCTGGCAGGGGCAAAGTTCTTGAGCCGCTGGATCACTCTCTGCACAAGTCTCGATAGCGCGTCCCGAGTGGTAGCGACAGTTAGCCGCGGTGTTCGATGGAAGAAGCCGGTCCACTTCAAGGAGCTTCGTGATGTCGTTTGCCCCTATGTACGTCTTCTCCTCATCCACAAGGTATTTGATATCAACAAGATTGTTTGCTTGCTGCCTCATCTCCCCAAGTTGCCCAATGATGGGGTTCTTGGAAGGTGACAAACCAGCAGAACCGGTACAATCTTCCCGGCGACGATTAGCCCAGAGTATCGATATAATCGGCTCACTACCATCTCTAACATCATGGCCATGTAGAAGCTGTATTGCTTGAAGAGCTGGCGCAATTCCAGTCCCACCTGCGAGGAACACGAGCCGCCTGGCATCACCGAGGCGCTTCTTAAGATCGAAGCCCAGATGAGGGCCACGAAGCTCGACCTTGTCGCCGATAGATAGTCGACTCAGGTACGTAGAGACCTCGCCGCCATGGTATTTGCGAACGAGAAATCGCAAAGCGCCTGTTTGGTGTTCATCGTCTTCGTCGCCTTTTCTAGGTGGCAGAGGTGTGTAATTCCTTGCAATTTGCAGTTGAGGCTGTTTGATCTCAACAGACCAAAGTCCATGCTCCCAGCATTTTCTCAGTACAGCCTTGTTCGAGTGGATATCATGAATCTGAGGCCGACCTTTTCGGACCGCCGTGATATAGTGGCTGCTTTGCGGGCGGATTGTAATTACAAAACTAGTCGACGAGATTTGTTCCTTCGACGTGACAACGAAGGGAACAAATGTGTCCTCGTTCATCGGGTTCCCTCTGCGCATCCGAACAAGAAACGTGGCAAGACTTGTATCATCTAGAAGTCTCCCAAGTGAGTCGACGGCAAATGTCGTAGCAAGTAAGGAAGACAGCGCGATGATAGTGGATGCCACGACAAATCTTCGTGAGGAGGCGGCTGGACTAGATCTTTGCTCCTGCTCATCTCTTTCGCTGCTAGGGCCATGAGAACTGTGAGATTCCGTCCAATATACCCTGGAAGTACCCAGCGAATGTCGAACTAATTTAAGATGAGTATGAAAGGTTGAGAATTGAGTCCGCCGCGTTGTTGTCAAATGAGAGGAGAGCCATACGGCTCGTTTTGAAGAGACATCTTGGCTGGGCCTTAAGCCATCAAGCAATGTCACATTTGATGCGTCTAAGCGCTTCACAGTACTGCATAAAGCCCTCCGACTCATACTGTGCTTGGCAATTATATCCAGTCCATTCGCGCCCCTTACTCTGTGTCATTCGATGTTGAGTATGCTGTGTGATCTTGTTTTTAATTATTATTGAACCTCAAGATTTTGAGGTTCGGAAGTGAAGGTCACGTGCACCATTTGCAAGAAAGAGTTCACCGAAGAGAGCGCTTCGTCAACACGCTTCTTCATTTTGATCGAATAATTTTTCGGTGCAATGTTCTACATATCGTAGCTCGTATATAAGTAATATACATATTTGTACAATCACGACAATGTCCATAGTACGCCTAAATCACGACGCCACTCTATAATCTTAAGATATCTCTACTCGGTGTGATCCCTCCCCGGAACAACTCAGCAACGACATTGCCTTTCAGAATTGTCTCTTGAACTATTCCTTGCACATGCTTGGGTTCTACTCTACCATACCAGATGCCGTGACCCGCCAACGGATGGTCGTATCCCTCAGGCGTCTTCATAGATGGAGGCAAATATATGATAACGTTTCCGGCGAACTTATGGCCGCCAATATGAGAGATGAGCCCGGTCCGTGACGTATATTTCGGCTTGACTATCGTTCCCGATATGGCAGCAACGTCAGAGTCGACGGTGACCGGACCATGGAGCACATCCACTCCGAGTTTCGGCATCTGCTCCTCAAACTCGGCCCTCAGCAGGGGCCCATAGATGCCGCATCTCTGATCTCTGCCTCCGTGTCCACATATGAGCACGATGATGTCGTCAACATCTCGGACACCCCAGAGCAGCCGCTGATAAGCCGTCTTTCGCAATAGTCGGTCACGATGAATTGGGGAGAGGCCATCGTGCATAGGATGGAGCTTCTCAGGTAGTAGATAGCCCTTGGCTAATGCCTCTACGCTCTCAAAGGAGACTCGTGGCAAGAAAGGGACATACTTGAAGCTGGGCAGCAAGTATGCCGACGTGGTTTGAAGCTCGGTCCTCTGGGGAACGGAGGACGGGAAAGACGAGTTCAAGACAGAAATGTTATGAAACGGCTAAGCAGACAACTTACATTAGCACCAGCTCACTCACCGCGAAGATTACCCATCGTGGCCGACTCACATCGCTGTATATCCCGCCACGCCCAAACAGCTCTTTCAAGTCCGCTGCAAGATTATCTCCAGAGTTGTCCTCCTCGATACGCGACGGCCAGTCATCCTTGCCAGTGCAGATGAGTACATGCTCATGATAATTTGAAATAAGCCCGTTGAGTTTGCTCTTGTGGTCTATATCAAGACCCTCGGGCATCTGAGGCGTTGCGGCGCAGTCGCAGGTTGCGGCTGGGCAAGTCTGAACCGTCGGAAATGCCGGTGTTTTGGCGCTGTAGAACCTGTGAAGTGATGCAGCTACATGTCGTCTACCCAGTCGCGCCAAGCGCAAGGGTATTGGAGATGTCATTTATAATACCAAACAAAGGCGTTGGAGTAGAGTGCCTTATTGAAGCATATTACGAAGCAGCAACTAGGCAATGCAAGGAGATCGTTAGTTTTTGGCGGGCGAATGATTAATCTTGGAATGGTAATTTTTTGGAGGTTGTTCGCTAACCTCAACGTGATTCGGCCGAAACTAGGTCATATCTCCGCCTACCAGGCCTCAACTGATCAAGGTAAATGAACAGACAAAAAAATCCCCAGTTATGCTTATGTCATAGGATGCTCGTATGCATTACTGCACGATGTTTTACTCATCCAGGGGTTAAATTTGAGATACTTGTCGTTTCCCTTAAGAATCACAAGAGACGCAGTGTACGTAGTCATACATGAATCGTAGTGGAAATTGATATCCCTCGAACTTTATGACAAACTCACTGCTTTGGAAATCTTGTCTGATCTCTGCAATGATTATCTCACAGTTTTATTCTAACGTCCACGTCCACGAGGCTTGTCTAAAGAGCGTATACGCCACCATGAACTAAACATTGACTCGACTAGCTTTTTGGGCAGACAGATATTCCATACATGTGCCACAAGCACCATGGCAATGCTGGCTACCCAAGTGGTGAATAGCCTTCCCCAGAGACACACCTACATCGTTCCAAATAGCTAGATAGATATTCGACGTATGGCTTAATTTGAGACTGTTTAGTCAAATAGAGCGGGAGCATAAGGACGATCGTCTCAAACGACCACTTCCCATCGATTCATTGCCACTGGTACCTTTTCCATACAGATAGCAGAACCCTGGAAACTACTCGAGTGTCCACCTTTGAGCGGCCATCCTTTACCTTAGATGGTGTTTTTAACACCCAGTCATTGAAAGGAGTGTTGCAAAACTTTGTGAGGCTGGCACTCGATGCTACGGTTTTCTACCGGGCCCTACGATGTCGCTAGTGCTACTGGTAAGCTAGGTCCAGCTCGCTAAGAGCTATACGGGTTGGCGCCTGATTAAAGGTACCTGGGTACCTATCTAGGTGCTTAGACACTCCAGTTCTAGGTGTTAGATAGAAGTATAGGCAATGTGCTCGAGCTCCTAACAGTCTCGCGAGAACTACATACATCTTTATCATACATCTCATGCCGCGAATCTCGCTGTTGGTTCTGCGTCGAGCAAGACTCATCTCTCCACATGCGGCAGCACTTCTCCCTGCCTGTCGAGATTTAGCTTCAGCTTTGAATGAGCTACGCTGGATCCGGGAGCATGTTCAACATGCTAGGCTTGGGAATTCGCACTCAGCCATTCCGCCGTTCAAGGTTGAAGCTGAGGTAGCACGACTGTGCCGGCTCAGGGGCAGAGGTGTGCCTCTCCAATACGTTCTGGGCAGCCAGCCATTTGGTGCGCTCGACATCCTCTGCCGTCCAGGCGTCTTGATCCCAAGGTGAACGAGAACATTCACACTGAATCATATGCGACCGCTAGTGCTAACCGGTCACAGACCTGAGCCAGAGGCATACACAACGCACCTCGCCGGCTTGATCCAAGATGGCATCCTGGGAACAGTCAAGTCCGCAAACGATATTGCCCGTCGGCAACTCAGGATACTTGACTTCTGCACAGGTACAGGATGCATCGCCCTACTGCTCCATGCCATATTGCAATCGTCCATCCCGAACCTGCACGTCCGAGGGATTGACATCTCTCGGAAGGCTGTTGCTCTGGCGCGGGAGAACATAGCACACAACATCGCGAAAGGTTTCATGAAGGCTTCTTCCGAGACCCAGAGCCTCAGATTTGACCAGGGCGATCTGTTTTCAGATGAATCTATTAATGATCTAGTAGGCCATCAATGGGACGTTATCACTTGCAACCCACCTTACATATCGCAACATGGCTTCTCGCACGACACTTCACGGTCCGTGAGGAACTTCGAGCCCAAATTAGCTCAAGTGCCCGCACGGAAAGAACACTATGACGGTTGTGCCCCCGAGGATGTGTTCTATGCAAGGTTGTTAGAAGTTGGAGCCGTGCTCAAGCCAAAATTTCTTTTATTTGAAGTGGGCGACCTGCACCAGGCCCTTAGAGTAGTTGGCATGGCACTTAAGCACCCTGCCTTCCAGAAGTCAGAAGTTGGAGTCTGGAGAGACTGGCCCGATGCGTTGCCGGAGGAGCAAGAGGCTACGTCAGTAACAGTCGCTGGGAAGGAAATTCGGATCAAAGGCAGTGGGCACGGGAGATCTGTTTATATTCAGCTTGACTGAGCTGCCATGAGCGAATGTATTTTATCCATTGTATTACCAGAATTGGGTATCTCTGCTATAGCTTTTCTATGATATTCTATAGTACAAAGTTTACGGTCTTGCCGCCTCTCACTACAACCACCTTTTTGGCAGAGCTAATGTCAAGCGATCCGTTGACAAGCTTCGCCTTGCCTTCTTCCGTCTTAATAATCTGGCCTACTATCCAGTCTCTGAGCTCATCGCCCTGCAGACTCGCCGGCGGCTTAGGTATGTCCACAGCCACTCGAAGCTTTCCGTTTACTTGAACGGCGCAAGTCTGTAGTCTAGGCTCAAGGAGAGAAAGCGACTCGTCCACTACAGGGAACGAAGCTGAGCTGAATAGCGAGTGCGAGGTCTGATGGAGGATGCTCCAGCATTCTTCTGCAAATGCAGGAGCAATGGGTGCAAGCATTCGGATGAGTGCTGAGAGTGCTTCTCTGCGGATCAATGCATCAGCGGCATCGGTGTCCGCAATGGTATTCGTTAATATCATCAAGTCAGACACAATCGTATTCAGCGAATACACTTCATTGTACGACGAAGTGACAGAGGTGATGGTGTTTTGCACATGTCGCCAAACCGAAGAGTCGCTATCCCACTGGGCAAGCTGGGTATCATCCATAGAGTCAAGCTGTTTAGCTCTCTCTTCAAACCATGTCTTAATGGGTTTCCCATCATCATCCCTCCACCAACTGCCGGCCCGAAGGGTAACGTCGTACAGTCGGCCAAGCCATCTAGTTATACCAGCGATCTTCTCCTCGTCCCAGTTCACTACATCGCTCACTGGCGCTTGGAAGAGCATGTGCGCTCTGGTGGCATCTGCACCATGCCTCGAGATGAACTCCGTAGGGTCAACGCCGTTACGCTTCGACTTGGACATCTTTTCAAAGCTGACTGTAGCAGGCTTGCCAGTTGCGGTGACCTTCGGTTGAGATGGATCAGTGAGATCGACTTCGTCTGGCTGCAGGAACCGGCCATTTTCTGGGTTTGTGTATGTTTTCCCGTGTACCATCCCTTGGGAAATGAGACGCGTAAATGGTTCATGGACAGCTTCTGGTGGCCCTCCGTTTTCAGTGACGAGAGACGAGTTCATGAGAAACTTATAGATGAATCGAGCATAAAGAAGATGTAAGATCGCATGCTCAATTCCACCAATATATTGGTCGACTGGCAAGAGAGTCTTGGCATTGTCGGCTGCGAACGGCAGCTTTTCATTGTGGGGATCAATGAAGCGCATATAATACCAGCTCGAATCAACAAATGTATCCATGGTATCAGTGTCTCTTTTTGCCGCTCCGCCACATTGTGGACAGGAGGTATGTACCCATTCTTCTGCACTCTCCAGCGGATTCCCAGTCTTCCCCTTTGCCCAGTGCGCATCGACTTCAGGAAGCTCCACTGGCAATTGATCATCAGGGACTGGCACCGGGCCACACGAATTGCAGTGAATGATGGGAATCGGCGTTCCCCAGTAGCGCTGACGACTGATCAACCAGTCTCTCAAACGCCATTTCTCCACAGGCTTTGCCAGCTCAGCAGCCTCTAGCATTGTGAGCATCATCTCTCCCGCTTTCTTGGATGACAGGCCTTTGAATGGCCCGCTGTGTGCTGTCATGACTCCATGCTCGACGAAAGGTTCGTTGAGCATGGCAGTGGTAGACTCGTCTTCGGAAGCTGAGAGAACCACACGGATTGGTTTGTCGTAATGATGTTCCTTCCAGAAAGCGTGGTCACGGGAATCATGGCCTGGCACTCCCATGACAGCGCCTTCTCCATAGTCGCCGAGAACATAAGGTGCGACATATACTGGAATTGACTCCTTTGTAGCTTCTGGTGTATCTTCATGATACGCCAAGGGGTTGATGGCACGGATATGGGGTAATAAGTATCCAACCTTCGAGTCCGGAGGCAAACCCGGTAATGTGTCAAGGAAAGCTTGCAACTCAGGATCACTCTTTGCCAAATCAGCAACAATTGGATGAGACGCAGCTAGCGCCAGATATTGCACGCCGAACAGAGTATCTGGGCGAGTCGTGAAGACCTCGATCCCAGCGTGAATATCCTGGTTGAAAGCAAATACCGGAAATTTGATCATGGCGCCAGTCGACTTTCCAAGCCAATTCTTCTGCATAGCCAGAACTCTTTCAGGCCAGGCGTCATTCTTTGCCAGTACGTCCAGATCTCGTAGAAGGCTCTCGCGGAACTCAGAGATGCGAAGAAACCATTGCTTCAGCCGGCGCTTCTCAACCTTGGCGCCAGATCTCCAGGAGCAGCCGTTGGCATCTACTTGTTCATTCGCTAGCACTGTTTTGTCGACCGGATCGTAGTTGACCTCGGCCTCGTCTTGATATGCCAACCCTTTCTCGTGTAACATCAAGAAGATCTTTTGGGTGTGCTTGTAGAAGCTGGGATCGCAGGTTGCGAGCTCCTGTGACAGAGCCAATCAGTTGTCTAGTATTGTAAGGGGTGTTTGAAGCATGCTGGAACTCACGCGTGACCAGTCCCAGTTCCCGTTCATGACCTCGAGCTGCTTCTTCATCTTCTCGATATTCTGCTTGGTCCAGGTCGCCGGGTTGACGCCTCGCTCCAAAGCCGCATTCTCAGCAGGCAACCCGAATGCGTCCCATCCCATCGGCAGGATAGCATTGTAGCCCTGAAGCGTTCGGTATCTGGCGAGGACATCGGCGATGGTGTAGACTCGAAGGTGGCCAAGATGCAGCGTGCCGGAGGGATATGGGAACATTGGGAGGATGTACATGCTCTCCTTGGAGCCATTGGGAGTCGAGGATTCGCTGCTTCCAGCAGCAGCCCATCTCTGTCGCCATTTCTTGTCTAGGGCTGGCAGATCAAGCTTGTTGTCAGCGTATGTCAACTGACTCGACCAGCGTGGAGCGAGAGGCGCGAGCCGCAGCTTCGGAGATGCACGCCATTGTAGCCTGGCCCGGCAGAGACTGGCGGTCAGAATCGAGCGAGACAGACTTGATTTGGGTAGACAGCGGCTTATGGAAGCGCCATACGCCAGAGACATGGTGTGGGCATGTTGTGTTGTGGAAAGTTGAAGCTATTGCAGAGCTCTGTTTGCGCAGCAGCTATATTAATTAGTTCATGACTGACAGGCCACTAAGTGACTGCAGCTCCCGAGGTCGCGTGGGGTCGGATGATCGGTGGCGGCACAAGCAAACCTTTGGAAGTACGCTCGGTACGGTACCACGCCAAGTTGCGCCTCCCGCTCAGTTCCTCTGAGGTGTACCTAAGTAACTCCTTGTCTGCCCTGCAACCTGGAAGCTCTTGAAGGTGTGACGTGTAACTACCTAGGTAACAATAAGACAGTTCACAATAGTGCCATTGAAGAACTATCAATTTCTGAAGTGAAGAGACTATGGGGACTCTCCTCGGAAGAGATATGGTCGTCCGCTTTATCAGTTAACAAAAAAGGCTACAGTACGATAAGAAATCCTATTGACTTTGACGAGAAATTTAAGCCCTTGAATACGTGTAAAAGAAGGGGCTCAACAGCCGAAACAACCCTTGTTAGTGATGCCCCGCGCACAGACCACGGCGCCCAGTCCTGACCACTCAGAACCGGGCCTTGCCTCCTGGTCGAAGATTGGCACCCAAGAAAGACATCATCGCATTCTGCCACTGGAGTCGATCTCCTCGCTACTGTAACCTTTTCATTTCCTCCCCTTTCCCACGGCATCTCGACTTTTCACTCTTCTAGAACCAGAACCCCCTTTGGGATCAACGGCTGTTCAAGGCAACTTACATTCTAGCACTATATCATTGTAATACTGGTTCGGTCTTGTGGCGCTTGGGTCGGGTCTTACGGGGTAGATCTGCTCGCTTCGACAATCCTACTCTAATACTGCCTTCTTCACGCCAGAACTTCTGCCACGCATCGCCTTTCTCACTCGGCGCTCATGGCGGCACGTTAGACAATTCAATCGACAGTCATAGCTGAAGATACTGGGTCGGAACCTCCACCCTAGCAAGACCTTTACGATCGACCCGCTACCCTAAGGACAATCTCACATGCCATGCCGCCCCTTTACTCGTCCAATCTCCAACCGCACACCCGCGACTCCTTGGAACTCGCATCGCTCGCAAGCTCAGATAATGGCGCAGACACTGCCGACACAGACTCCCGTCCCAGTATCTCGTCCTCGCGAAAGCTCTCGCTCGAGCAAGACGATCCCTTAGACAATGGGAATCCCGCATCAAGCGGCAGACCAAACTACCATGGCCGCTCCTTCTCCGTGTCCTCCGGCTTCGACTTCTCTGCGAACCTCTTCCCTCTCTCGTCTACCGCCGGCGCAGGTTATGCTCCCATAGGCGCACCGATAGCTTCAACACAACCGAATGGCGGCGTGGGCGGTGCCTCTCTGGAGAAGCACAAGACGTTGACATACTTGAACGGGCTGTCGCTTATCGTGGGGTTGATCATCGGCTCGGGCATTTTCTCGTCGCCGTCTCAGGTCAACTCTAACGTTGGCTCTCCAGGCGCTGCTCTCATTGTTTGGGTAATTGCTGGAGTGCTTGCTTGGACCGGAGCCGCGAGCTATGCGGAGCTTGGAGGGGCGATTCCTCTCAATGGAGGAGCCCAGGTATACCTGGCCAAAATCCTAGGAGAGCTATCCGGATTCCTCTTCACATGGGTTGCTGTCCTCGTTCTGAAACCAGGCAGCGCAGCCATCATTTCCATAATCATGGGGGAGTACCTGGTACGAGCAGCTATCGGTGCCGAGGCGGAGACCATCAATCCATGGATCAACAAGTCAGTGGCACTTGTTGGCTTGTTCGTAGTGACATTTTTGAATTGCGTATCCACGAAGCTGGGTATGAGAATGAACGACCTGCTTATGTTCATGAAGTTTATTGCATTGCTTGGAGTTACGGTCACTGGTATTGTCGTTGCTGCCACTGGATACTCGTTCTCTGGCACGGCCAATCTGGATTGGAAGACACATGAATGGTTCGAGGGTACCAAGATGGATGCTTCAGCTTGGGCGGTCGCGTTATATGCCGGTCTATGGGCTTTTGACGGCTGGGACAATGTAAGTCTTTTGGTATGGGAACTAACTCTACGGTACCTGGGCTGACTCCATTCCAGACCAACTACGTCGTTGGTGAATTCAAGAACCCCACTCGGGACCTCCCCAGGGTCATTCACACGGCAATGCCCCTGGTGATTATCAGCTACATACTCGCAAATGTTGCTTATTTCCTCGTTCTGCCACTGGCAACGATCAACTCATCTAACACTGTCGCTGTCATGTTCGGCGCGAAGGTCTTTGGACCTGTAGGATCGCTGATTCTCGCTCTGATCGTCAGCGCATCTTGCTTTGGTGCGCTGAATAGCTCAACCTTTACCAGCAGCCGGCTGGTGTATGTAGCTGGAAAAGAAGGCTATATTCCTGCCCTCTTCGGCCGCATTGGCATGGGCTCCTCCTCTCAAGAACAGACACATTTGTCAACTACCAGAACAAGATCTTGGTTCTCAAAAAGACTCGCTCGTCTTGTGGGAGATGAGGATACAGGCTTGTTCTTCACCCCTATATACGCTCTTATCCTTAATGGGGCTCTTACCGCGGCGTATGTCATAGTAGGAGAATTCGGAACCCTGCTTACCTTCTACGGAGTCGCTGGGTACTCATTCTACTTCCTGACCGTTCTCGGTCTGATCATCCTGCGAGTCAAGGAGCCTGATCTGGAGCGGCCCTACAGGACATGGATCACGACGCCAATTATCTTCTGCTGTGTCAGTCTTTTCCTGCTCAGTAGAGCTGTCTTTGCACAGCCATTGCAAACCATGATCGTCATCGCGTTCGTGATTGCGGGAATACCAGTATATTTCTGGCGTGTGAAGGGTCGTGGCTCTTCAGGAAGGAAGTACGAAGCCGGAGACATGGACGGAACGGGTTCAAAATGGAAGTTTTGGAGACGCTGGCGGAGATAATACTGCTTACTGCGCCTTGGATGATCAATTGTACATAATGTGTCATATATATCAGCTGCCTAGCTATGGTAACAAAACAAACAGTTGCCCTTGTAGGATAAGCAATGGCAACATAATCTGTCACAGTCGGAGGCATGCACTTCGTGCTTCTTGATGGTCCTCTTCCTTTTTTTTCACTTTGTTCTTATATTTTTGCTACAATTTAGCTGGAGTGTGTAGGTTCATACATGGATGGGAAAGCAATGTCCAATCCAGCTCATCCCAAGCCGATCTGAGGCTTCCCAGACGACAGAGTCCTTCCGTCCTTCCTTCCTTCCTTTCTTCCCATCGTGACGATCCATGGTATCCAACTAACTCATCCCATTTCCTAGCTAACATGTCAAAAACAGAGGAAGAACCTATTTCTTGGCGCGCTGGCCGTACGCCTTGGTGGCGTAGTCGCCCTGGTGGATGATGAGGTCCTCGGGGCGGTAGTCGTGCTTGCCGGTCAGGTAGCTCTCGAGGATGGCCTTTGTGCCCTGGGCGTAGCGCTTCTGGGCGTCGAGCGAGGTGCCGGACATGTGGGGGACCATGGCGTTGCCGCCGCCGAAGGGGTTCTTGGCGTAGCGGAGCGGGTGCTCCTTCGGCGCGGGCTGGGGGAACCAGACGTCACCGCCGTAGCCGCGGAGGTGGCCGCTCTTGAGGGCCTCGGCGACGTCCTCCTTGACGACGATGGCGCCACGGGCGGTGTTGACGAGCCATGAGCCTAAGGGGTAAAACGTTAGTAGGGATCATCGCGGGGTCGCGGCGTTAAGGGGGAAGGAGAGCTCACCAGGCTTCATCTTGGCGATGAGGTCCTTGTTGAACAGACCGCGGGTCTTCTCGTGCAGCGGGCAGTTGATGGTGACGACATCGCACTGGGCAAGCATCTCCTCGAGGCTCTCGACGCGGCGGCAGCCAATCTCGGCCTCCTTCTCGGGGCTCAGGGGCTGGTAGTCGTAGTACAGCAGCTCCTTGCAGTCGAAGGGCTTGAGGCGACGCAGCACACGCTCGCCAATACGGCCGACGGCGACGGTGCCGACAACCTTGCCCTCGAGATCGTACTCGTTCTTGGCAGCGGCGGCGACGTCCCAGTCACCGGCCTGAATCTGCTCGTGTGCGGGCACGAAGTTGCGGACAAGCACCAGGATGGTCATGACGACGTGTTCGGCTACGGACACGACGTTGGAGCCTGTGACCTCAGCGACGGTGATACCGCCGTTAGTCTTGTTGGCTGCGTCTAGGTCGACATGGTCAGAGCCAATGCCGGCTGTGATGGCAAGCTTGAGGTTCTTGGCCTTGGCGAGGCGCTCTGCGGTCAGGTAACCGGGGTGGAAGCTGTATCAAGGGCACATATTGTCAGGATGGGTGTTCTTTCACAGTCTCTCTCTCGACGGCGGCAACATACGGTGTGGTGATGATGATCTCAGCGTCGACCAGCTCCTTGTCGAAGGTGGAGTTCTCGCCCTCCTTGTCGGAGGTGGTGACGAGGGTGTGGCCCTGGTCCTCCAGCCATTTCCGGATGCCGAGTTCGTTCTGGATGGTGCCGAGAAGCTCGGGGACCTGCACGGGAGCCGCTTGTCAGCATCAGGAACAGCCGGACCTCACTTCTTGCGCCGAATAAAACAGAAAAGAGTGAAGAGCTCCAGCCAGCCAACCACAACTAACACCAACTAACACTGCCCACCCGCCCTCTTCAATTGCCGTATGCTTGCTCGTCCAGTCAGGATTGATTGGCAATCACTGACAACTCGCATATCATACATACTGCGCAGTAACACACCACACTCGCCTCTCAACCCTCTGCTTGCTACCCCGCATTCGCTCTGCCCCTCCTCCACCTCTTGTGCATTTCTGCCCGTCTATCATTCCCGTTCGAGACAGCGGCATGTAATGAGCCAACAACCGCGTCTCCAGCAGGGCAGATCAGACTGGTCGGCCCAGGCATACCCTCTGACGCTCGCCCCCCCGGAGAGGAATGATGACAAAATTGAATTGAAAAAGTGGAAGAATGTCGTCTCAATGACTCCTTTTTGAACGTACCTCCTCGGCGTGCTTGCCACCGTCGTATAGGACCAGCAATACCTTGACCTTTTCGCGGACACCAGTTAGCATTCGAATCGACGTGATCGGTCCCAGTGCGTTGCTCCGCCGCCGCGTGGAGGAGGCCAGCGGCAGTGACGCCGCAGCCTGTCGTGATGTCACGCCGCATGAGGAGGAGGCCGCAGCCGAATTGGCAGCAGCACTCCTCAGGCGGGCGGTCGAGGACGTGAGGTTGTGGAAGGCTCGCGCGCGTGAAGCAACGGGACCCAGGGACCGGGCAGCAAAGATGGAGCGGGATGAGGTTAATAATACCATTTTGAAGACAAGTGAAGCTTATATATACACTATGGTTTATATAAGATGCTTTCTTTTCGCGAGAAAGAGAGAGCTAGGTAGGTTGATGTTTGAGGTCAAGAGAGGGTTCGCTGGGCTGAACCTGTCTCTTATGCAGGAGTAAACTCGGAGAGCTGGGTGATGATGTAGCCTGGGAGGAGGCGTGAGGGGGAGCAATGCAAGCCTGAAGCAACTAGCGGTTGGAGGGAAACAAACGAAGATCAAGATAGGAAAATCAGGTCCGAGCAGCCAGGAGCAGGGAGAAGGTTATTTATGCTTCGAGGTGGGTGGGCATTCCTCTCTCTCTCTCTCTCTCTCTGTTGCTCTCATTCACCCACTCCATATGAACGACGGCGTTCGAGGAGAGAGGGGCCTTGGGGACGAGCTACCAGCTTCCCGTCATCGCTCAGCTGTTGGCTGGGTCTGGGTAAACCGAGCTCCGAACGACTTACACGGGAACCGACCCAGAAGCTCCAAGAAGGTTATTCGATGGAGCTTCGACGACCGAGATACAAGCTACTTGTGAACTACTTACACATATCACTTACATTAAGACAGCACTATTGTGCAGCACTGAGCCGTGTCGGCCACTTATCCAGTCCTAAATCTCTGCAGATCAAAGCACAGTGGACACATGCGTCGTGTCCCGGCGTACAGAGATCGAGGGCGGCGTGAAGGAGGTAGGCAGCGGGGCAGAGGCTGGTCCCAGGAGAGCTCTCGGGAAGATGGAGCTCAAACGGGTCCGCATCGAGGCAGTTAGAAGCAGAGAGCAAATAGATACATGGCAGGTACATACATGCACCCACGATCGGCCTATATGCAAGTGTTCACAGGAGGATCCCACTGATTCTTCAGCCGAGACACCCCGTGCAACGCCATTGACGGATGGCAATCGCGAAACCGTTCACTGCTGCTCTCCTATTAGCTCGAGAGGCCACCATCCTGGGGCTTACTGCATGTGTGGTACGGTAACGGCATAGTTTCTGTTCAAGAACAGCCTCCAAATCCCGCTCATACAGGCAAGTTGATACAACACACGTACAAAGATGTGAACCCCGCAAATTGCCCCTCTCCCCTCTTCTCTGTCTCGCCTGCTCGACTGCTCGAGACGCGGTACGGTTCTCTACGACAGAGCGTACAGCGGCTTTCTGCGCTCACATGCAGCCCGTAATCTTGGGTAATCCTTCCTCCATTGCCTGCCTCTAGTCCCCATGCATCTCTAGATTGCCCCTACTACACCCCAAGTATCCAATACTTGCCCCGGCAGCCTGCTGCAAAGCGTCTTGGCTTGGCTCTGTAGCGGCTGATTCTCGGATATGCCTCGGGATCCCGCGAAGTGTGTGAGTGTGGGGTAGCTACGAGGCTACCTACCTACCTGGTTACCCATCAATCCCCTTTCCCACCTATCCAGCAAAGGAGAGCTCTGGATACGCAGTCGGTTATGCTGCTTATTGCAGAGAAGGGAGGCGAGAAGTTGCGGCAGATCTCACGGCGAGGAACCCCTCACTATGTACCCCCTTCCCAATGGCAATGGAACTCCCACTCGTGGCAAGATGAAACGTTCGGAAACAGGTAGATTGGTGTCATGGGAGCAGCTACCATCCATAGTCTAACTAGAAACTGTGCGCTGGCCGAGGAGACGATATCTCACAGAACCAACCAGATGGACTCTCTCCCCAGCTTCTATGCATCTTGCTTGCCAATTCCAAATCTATGTATAGGAACTTTGAGACCCCGAACAATGCAAACTACGGGAATAGAAAAATAGACACTCGTCACAGTGACAAAGGCTTGCGAGCTCCAATCAACAAGAACCGCGGACACACGCCCTCTTCGTTCGGCCACGCGGGATGCTTCCTGCCGCCGTCGTCCGTCCGGCCCCATTCATCAAGCGCCGCCAGCTCAAAGCCGGCGCCCAAGAGCATCGTCATAAGAGTGCCCAGTGTCCTGTGCTGCTTCTGAACGCCCTGGACAAGCCAATTGACCTCCCTCCGACCTTCGTTGAAGTAGTGATCTAGCACCCAGTGCTTGCTGCCGTCCTCGCGCTCTAAGAAACCAGGTTGAGGTGGAGCTGTGAAGACGGGATGCTCGACCGAGAACACGAAGTGACCACCGGGCAACAGAGCCTGGTGCACGCGCTCCAAAAGAGAGCTCAGATTCTCGACATAGTGAATTGCAAGGCCCGAAAAGATAACATCGTACGCACTGGGCGATAAGTCGATCTCCTCTAGGTCAGCCTGGCGATATGTAACAACATGCCCAACCCCTGAGCCCCTAGCCGTCAATTTCGCAGCGCGGTCCAACATATTATGAGAGGCGTCGACACCGTCAACCCTCGATGCCCCTTGCGTCTGCGCCCACCGACAGAACCATCCATCTCCGCAACCAAGGTCAAGCACACGTTTGCGAGACAGCGTGGCCGGGAGCATTTCCCTGAGTCGTGGCCACTCCGAGGCACCCGAGAGGCCATCGATAGCTCGTGGGTATTTGCTGTACCTCTCGAAGAACTCGGCGGTGTCATATATGTTCTGCGTCATCATATACGATAGGAGGCGGTGGTGTCAAGTAATCGATACCTGTAATTTTGAAGTAGATCCCGAGCTCTTTGACTTTACCTGCTCCGAAAGTAAGATGGTTCAATGACTCCATAGACACTTCGTGGTCCGTATCACGGATCTCTTATACTCGCCAGGTCTCAACGACACAGGAGGCAGCCAGGTGGTAAACCTTCCATACTATCCCCAACAGATCACATTGATCACTGCTTTGACAAATTTCTGCTGTTTAGATGTTCACTCGAACACACAGTATGCCTCACGGCCTGCGTCAGGCCTTTGGCGCCGGCTTCGACGTACTCGGTGAAGCATGACTTCAAGCTTTCGTTCTGACACAGAGAGTGAGCAGCGCAACCTCTCCCCTGCGCCGCCTTTCAGAAGTGTCCAACACCCGCCATAGACGAGAAAGAGTCGCGAATGAGGCCATTGATTCTCATTTTCATGTGATTCCCTCACAGCCGGATGCCTCTTACGAAAGCCCAGCCCGGCCATGTATAACGCCGCCCGTTGGCGTGGCGCAGAGAGACGACCGGCCATGCTTGCCGACCCGGCCAAGTGCCGGGGCAGATCATGAAGTAGCATGGGCAGACACGACCGCCGCCAAGCAAGTGAGGGAGCCTATACGCATCTCGTCAGGCAAGCCTGCCCAGACGGATAGATGCCGGCGAGGGTTCCGCGATGCAGTTTCTCTTACGGGAGGAAGTGGCAGTCCTGATCGAGGAGGTCGCAATGTAGTCAGGAGGTATCGGGGTTCGAAGAATTACCACCTATCACTATGCGGGGTAACAAGGGGTAGCACATGTGGAAAGCTCATGGATGCACACCATTTTCCCATTGCCTACCTGGGAAATACCCTTGCTGCGGCTGGATTGCTTTCCCATTGGGGGACGTTGTCCATACAGCGCGATAAGGTAGGGGACCATCGCGCAGTGATTGTGGCTTATTCTGTATCCTAAGTCTTGAACTCGCCTCATAGAATCTCACCTGCGCCGGCTACCATCTCCAATGCCGTTAGCTCAGGGAGGAGATTCGGCGATTGGATGGCCACTCCCATCTGACCACAGCAGCCTAACTGACGGAAAACATACTGAAGGCAGCAAGTAGTTTCCCGCCGTAAGACAGCGAGAGGTCATAGTGAAAATCAGCAGAGAAAGCGGACAACAGCGCCCTTACCACAACTAAGGGGGATACCTCGGCATTCAACGCTTCGGGCGATCCGGAGAGTTAGTGTCGGAGTAGTGGGGGACCAAACGTCTGGATAGTTCGACATATGGAGTTCGCTCAGTCGACCTTCGGCAGCTAGGCGCAACTGGCGCCTGCACTACCAGGCAAATAGAACGGACAGTTAGAGAGAAGGCAAAGCCTGGGTGGTGAAGGTGGGAATCTCCGATATTCTGTCTATCAATATTGTGTATATGCAACAAACCCCAATGTCTAAGCCAAGCCAATGTGTCTTCCGTTATGTAAACTCCAGTCGCTTATCCATGCGCTTTATTGTTACAGTGCTATCTTAAACATCGTGCTGGTCATTTAATCAAGTAGACTTGTATATGGCGGTGGTGCCACCGACCTCTGGCTCTCTACAGTCGACGCTGGACGAGGACCTGTCGTGACTGGAATGCTAGCAGACGGAGTCCCCTGAGCCCAAGAGACGGCCTTTGCCATCATCTTCGGGAAGTATTGCTGGATGAAGGACTCGCTGTATCTCGTTAGCAATTCAAAATCAGAATTAAACAACAGTCGACTTACGTGTAGTAGCTATGCTCGGAGTTGTGCTGAGACTGCAGGTTGTGCGCCAGTTCATGGGCAATGACAACCCACCACCAAACAGCCGCCTCTACCTTGGCCTCTCCCTGCCCAGCTCCTTCTAGCTTGCTCGCATGCAACTGAATGAAAAAGCGCAGGTTACAAAAGATACTTCCGTTGCTGTTGAAGGCTATCGTCCCGCCCTTTTCGTCATAGAACATGTGCATAGCCTTCGTTGGGAGCCCATAGATGTTGCCAATATCACGCAAGAGGTTCTCGAAGTTGCCTATTGGTGTGATATTTGACGACAAGAACTTGACAGGCTCTACAGAAAGATCTTTGGCGACGAAGACTCTCATTCCATTTGGTGCTTCGGCAGCGAAGTTGATGTTATGAGCTGGCTTGCTATCGCAATAAGTCGACTGTTCCTTGACTTGCTCAGTCTTTGGTGGAGAAAACAGAGTTGATGAATCATGAGGGCGGGTGGATTTGATGGCATTCAAAAGGTTCTGCTGAACCACTGCGGGTGAAGTGACTCTGCCATCATCCTGAGGACGCTTGCTCTTTTGATCAGTGCCATTGGGTTGTGAGGGTCCGCTTTGGACGGGTTTGCTCTCTGGCTCGTGGAGGAAGTTCTGCAGATGCTGTTCCGACTCCTCATCTTTATCAAATCCGAACCGTTTGGACAGGTTCGAAAAGAGGCCTTTAGGCCTCCTGGTAGAATGAGAAGGTTGTACGGGCGGCAAGGCATGGCGGTCCTCAGGAGAGTCTGCACCAAACGAGCCGGGCATGACGGGGTCTGGTGTCTTTACAGTCTCTCTTGCGGCCTCTGCTGCTTTATTTTGCCTTGTCCATTCCTGCTCCGCCTCTCTGATCCGCTGCTGCTCTGCTTCCAAGGCCTTCCTGCGCTGTTCTTCTTCAATTCGCGCTTCTTCTCGCTTAGCGCGGAGGATTCTGTCCACATTGTATCCCCGGGCACGCAAGTCCAACAAGTCGAGCTTCAACAGCGGCTCGAAGAAGAAATACGCCTGCTGGCTTGGCCTTGTCAAGAGTATCTGGCATACTGCCTGCCCGACCTGGTACATGTCGGGTCTACCTTGTTCAGCGGCGACATAGAGTACCCACGCTGAGTTCGCCTGCGCGCTTGCAGCTGACCTCTTCTCGGTGTGTGATTGGGGGTGTCCCCGAAGAGACCGTCGCAGTGCCACCGACTTGACAACCTCGACCGTCAAGTGTTTTTCCAGCCACTTTGCGTCGTGCTTGATGACATCTTTTCGATACTTGGCGTATTCATACAAAAAGATCCTCGACCGTTCGATGACATGCTTCCTGAGCCATGCAGCACCCTGTTGTTTATCGCTATGAGGACCGATGCGAAGATCCTCCTGCACCATGCTGCCCAATGTTTGCGAGCCAAGCGCAAGGTAGAAATTTTCAAGAATCTCTTCTTGAGGAGCGCAGATCAGCGAATCCTTGAATAGTCTATAGCTAATATAGTCGTCCAAGATGACAATTTTGTTTGGGGCCGCGAGTTGATATTGCATGATAGGCGTCTCATCCTCGTCATCGCCAGCACCTCCTTTTGATGAAGAAATCTCCCGCGAGGCAAGCAGCCATGGCTGAGTTTTCATCTTCTTGTACAGGTCCTTATCCTTTTTGAGTGCCGGCAGATCCTCAGCCAGTGATCTCAGAAGATTCAAGTATTTTTCTGAGCTTTGCAAGGTTGTCGATAGCCGGACTGGCTCAGTGCAAGCCAGTCGAGCTATCTCAAGCTTTGTCGGCTCATTCTTCGCGCCACACTTGAAAAGAAAGGCGTTTGCGTTGGCCCCAAAATCCACGAAGTCAAAGATCTCTCCATACGTGGAAGAGCTGCCAAGATAACAGTTCTGTGGACGGACGTGGGTGAAACTGGTCGTGCCTTCGCTCTTCTCTCGTTTAGTTCTTAATATAGGCACAATGGGAGCATCTCTGAGCTTGGACAGGCTGTTTTCTCCGAGGTCACCCAACCGGCTGGTGAAGTATTCGAAGAGTGTAATGGCCATTTGTCGGTTTTGTGGCGGTCTTGCCAGTAGTCTATTCACACACTCGGTGATAGGAGGATCTCGCACTACACCAAATTTATTCGCGTGCAAGTGTAGGTCTTTTTTGAGAATATCGAATCCCAAAACAGCAGCATCCTCATTTGTATAACAAGAAGATGGTGGTACGAGTTGCTTTTCGTTCCCTTGTAGAGGCAGAATGGCCTTGTTGGTGTTCGCGATATTGAAATTGGCATATCCATTGATGTGATGGTTCGCAATGAAATAAGTCCGTGACTTTTCTCTCAGAAACGCATCGGACGAAGACATCATGTCCACCAGCTCTGGTACTGTTGGATATGGTCTCAAACCAAGCACTGTGAGAAACCGGGCCTCAGGGCTTGATGGCCGGAAGCTGCCTGGTGGACCAGGCCACTGGAGAATTGGAAGTCCGAGAGTACGCAGCGTGTCCTTGGGCTCGAAGAGCTCAGACACCTTGTACAACTGCGTAGTTGCTTTCGTGGACTCCATTCCAGTGGGTCCAGCTTCTGCCGGGCATATTTGCGAGCTCTTAAGCTTTTTCATGTCATCAGCTGGGATATCGTCCCTAACCGAGGCGAGATACTTGATTAGCTCGACATGACTCCATTTCTTGGAACCGTTTTCTCCAGCTTCGGGGGAGGGACTTAATAGCCGAGTGAAAATGGTTTCAAGATCAACTGTTTTCCTTACACCAAGGGCTGTCAGGAATTTGTCTTTGATACCATGTGTCCCTTGGAGAATTGGCAGATCATCGAATAGTTTAACGGAAGGGAAGAATGACTCTGCAGGTTTTCTCATTCCCATCTTTGTGGGCATGGCCGTGACGTTCTGCAAGGCAGACACGACAGAACTCTTCGAGCTTTGGCTGAGATTGTCCCAATTTTTAGACAAAACAGTGAGAACCTGAATAGAGAACTTCGTGGACTTCATGATGTTTTGTTCATCTGGCTTATTCGGACCTGTCTCAATGAGAAACCGTAGCCAGGGTACGATCTCGAGCGTCTCCCAACCAAGGGCTTGCAAGTGAGCAACAGGGGTTTGATGAGTAAAGGCGTAGGGGAGGGTCGTGGGAGGAATCGGCAGATCCGGTGGAATTTTGTTTGTACTCAAGTAATTCTTAATTGAGCCCAGTGCAATGATGCCTCCGGAATCACCACCATCACTGATTGTCGCAATAGCCACGCCAAGGAGGCCAGCTCGGCTTGGAGGATCCAATTCCCCTGAAGCAGCACTTTTACCTGCCCAAGTAATGAAATGAATTAATTGCTCTTTTGTCAGTGCCTTCGCCTCGAGCTCTTGTCGGACATCATCAACATTGATATCCTTAATAAGACCAAAATCCGTCAATTTTCTAATGAACGGCGTGTCTTTCATATCTTTTATGATGACGGGGATGCCATCGACGAATTTGCTCAGCTCATCGGACCCGGTACGCACCTTGGTTGTCAGAAGCACGCCGCAACTTGAGTAAACCTCAATAGAAGGCTTCTTGAAAGATGTCCAAAAGGCCTCCTCAATGATCTGCGCTACATGGGCACTGGGGGTTGAGTCTTCGAAGGTATATGTTTTGAGAATGTGCAGTGCTTCAGGCACAAATTTTGCAACATCTTCACTTGAAATTTTCGAGCCCTTGCCCCTAGACTCTGCTGCTCGAAGAAGCTTGGTCTGGAGATCAGTCATCTCGTTCGCGAACGCCAGTCTTGTCATGATGCCAGCTACGCGCAACATTTCAATGTTCCAGCTACGGACCCAACGAGCATTCAAGTCGATAGCCTCGCGTTCCACGGTTGGTATAACAGACGGTGCGGAGATGTGCATACCAGCACCAGTTGTCTGGGTTGTTGGAAACCCAATGAAAATCCTCCCGCCCGGCTTTTTGCTCGGTAGCACCGAAGCAAAGATATCTGAGGCTCTCGCAGCGGCTCCAGTGGTGGATGACTTCTCCGAAGCTAGTGTCTCATCATACGACGAGGTCAAAATAGATAGCTTGGTTACCTTCGGTGGCGGCTTCTTCGTAGCTCTCTCCAGTTCTGCCGCGAATGAAGCATTGACATGGGTTTGCACAGAAGCGGACGTCACTCGGAGGAAGATGCTCGAAGTGGAAAGTGCGGTCAAATCTTCCGCTATGGCTTCTTGAGCAGCCTTCTCTTCCCTCGCAGCTTTCCCTCTGGCCGCTACCTGCGAAGAGTTGGATGTCAACCTGGAAAAGAAATTTCTTAATGAGGGCATCTCGCCCACGCCATAGTTCTCGATAGTCTTGGTCGCAGAAGACGTAACTTGTGGCTTCCAGCCAAGCACGCTCATGAAGGAGGCATCAATCTGAGCACTTGTGCGTTCTACAGCTGCTAGTTTCATGATTCTATCCTTCGTCCAAGTCTCCAGGTCTCGAGGAATCGGAATATCGAGATTTGGGGATGTCTTCTTTTGCAAGGATAGGACCTTCCAGTCATCGATCCAGAATTCGATGTTTTGTAGAGCCACAAAGGTAAGACTGGTTGCAAGAAACTGCCCAACGGATAGGAGATTTGGTAGGGGTGTCGTGGTGTTCCGATAATCCAAGACGAATGCCGTTTCTGAGTTCCCCTGGCCATCTGGGAGCTGTAGCTTCCTGGTGAACAAGGCATTCCCTTTCCAGTAGAATGCCATAGCCTCACTGCCGGAGCTGACAAAGGGCTCTTCGCAGTCTGCAAAGACGCTATAGAAACCCACGCCAAAGGCACCAATTTTTGTCTCGTCAGGGTTACCCTCCGCAATCCTCTTCAGTCTTCCCCAATCGGTCTTTGTGAACGGTTGCCCATTATTTTGTACGACCAGCCGGCGCAGTGTGTGGTTTGTGAGGACATGCTTGAGCAGCTCGGAGCGGTTCGTGGTACTCGGAAGGGGCACGGATGTTGAGGGGAGCGTTTCCCATTTTATCTTGACCGATGTCGCTTGCGCATCAGCGGCATTCTGGATGAGTTCTCGTAGGGTTGTCCATTCGCCAGAGTATCTAGCGAGGACCTTGTCTATTAGGGCTCGTGTGTCGACTGTGACGGCCTCTTCGTCTTCGCCATCCTTCAGCGCCGCAGCGCGCAACCTGGAGTAATCCATGATAAAGCAGTCGGCTGCTTAGAGCTGCAAGCAACTAGGCAGGACAGATCTGGGAGATATCAACAGTCGGCCTGCCAGCCCCAAGGGGTTTCTTCTTTTATTCTTGGAATTGGGAAAGAGAGAAAAGAGCGGAGTGATATCCTAGAGACTAAGACGTGCAATCCGTCAGGCGTTTAGAGGAAGGGCATATGGATGACGACAAGACAAAGGGGCGAAACAAAACAGTCACCGAAAAGAAAGAAGAAAAGAAGAAAAGAATATGCAAGCACGCGTCTTCAGAGAATGACAATGTATCGTCGTATCTCTAGGAAAGATATAGAACATGCTATTTCGCCTTCGCAAGACTCGGTTCTCCAAAGTCAAGCTGGAGCTTGAGGCTGCCGTCTTACGTTTCGTTGCGTTGACACAGCTTTTGGCTCCCGGACCCTGAAACCTTGCCTGCCGCGGGGGGGCAAACCACCCGAACCTGAAGCGTCATCTCAACTGTCAGTGGTCGGTTAGCGGGGCGGGCACTCTGCGCGCTGGCTGCAGCCTTACCGCAAGCCCGCTAAGTCCGCACCGCCCCGGGTCGCCCGCCACCGTCTACAAGGCAAATCGGGAACTCCTAAAGACCGATGTCTGCCGAGATGGCATCTCTAATTCACAGTGTAAGGACCTCATGCGGGTTACTCTAGCTCTTGGATATGATATAAATCTACTCAGCCGCTTTGGCACCTCCTCTCATGCGAGGGATCTAATATGGCCATTGCTCTATAGTTTGAACCACGGCCAAAAGCCTGTAACTTTATTTGGAGAATAAAAACGCCCAAGACCGCGGTACGCCTAACTGATGGGTTGTGGAGCTCTCTCCTCGGTGGGTATCATATCCCAAGAAGACTCGAGACTATAGTCTTCGGTGCGCCTAGTCTACTATCCTCATGATCTTTCTGAACCATTAGGTCTCCGCTGAGGCTGCCTTGGGCTTGAGCTCCGCCTTCTCTCGGCAGATCTACGCCGATATCTGTCTCCGCACTCCCCGTGATCTCTGTTTTTGCGCCTCTCCCGGCTTCTGCTCCGATAGCGGTCGTGTTTCCTTTCGCGACGCTCATAATCCCGGCTTCGACTCCTTCGTCTCCTATCTTCGCGGAATGTTCGCAGTTCTGAGTTCTCAGCCTCCCTGAGTGGAGACCTATCTCGCGGTCGGTCTCGACTACGGCTGCGGTCTCGGCTCCTATCTCTGCTGCGGTGCCTTCGCCGGTGATGATGTTGATGGTGGCGGTGAGACCTGTCACGGTCCCGTGGCTCGCGATCCCCTCGTCGATCTCGACCTCCTTGTAAGCCGCCCTTCAGTTCCTTGGGTTCTTCTGCGGTCGTTTCTGCCTGTATATTGGCCACTCGCAATCCTGATACCTCAACAGCATTGGCTCCTGTGGTATTTCGGGGCGCAACAGGTAGACCGAGTGCTCTTGACATGGCGTCCTCCTCTGCTTCCTTGATCCTCTTAATCTCCTCGCGACGCTCTCGCGCCTTGCGCTCCTCCTCTGTCTCATCTGGATTTGCCGATGCGTCGTCGGCCTTGGCATACCATGTGAGGTCGCGTCCTTTCTGCCATCTACCCACTGGCGCCTTGAGGCTGTGTCCCAGATAGTTCTCTCGGTGGGCGGAATTTGCGACCTCGTCCCAGCTGAAGTTGACGCCGCCTCGCGAGCCGGACTTGCGAACCGTCGACAACAGATCCATTCTAGCCTCGTATTTCTGATCCTCGTATTCAATCGGTAAAGGTGGTCATGGATAATGTAGAAGGTAGGTAGGCAATCGTAGACCTGTCTCTGAAAAAAATACGGAGAAAGGTTCAAGAAAGTTGCGCCGCTTGCGAGATACCAGTCCCAGGTGCGGCTTCACTAAGTACTGCGCGGGGCACTAGGTATGGATCACCCTGTCACGCTAGTGCAGCTCCCCTGCCACTCAAATCCGGTGCGATCACCCCCAAGCTCTTTTGGAGAACTTGTCCAAACTCCGTATGCGATCAACTGCTCTTGAGCTCCATTCAACCCTTGGCTTCTATACCCAATCTTACTATAACACTCCAGAACACCACAGACACCTCACTCCAGAAAAGTGCCCAAGATGGCTTCGAAGCCCGAAACAGCCTTGGACGAGATCCAATGGCGGCATCCCCAGTTCATAATGGAGAACGGCCTCCACTCGAACTCGATCCTGTTCTACTTCGCCGAGTCGCCCTTCTTCGATCGCACCTCCAACAATGCCGTTATCATGAGCCAGGCACTCTACAATCCCAATATGCGCGCTGTCATTAGCACCCGCGAGGCCTTCGAGGACCGCCTGAGGAGCATGGCCGGGCTAGAGTTCATCGTGGCTCAGGAGCCGGCTGAGATGGCTCCTGGGACAGGCACTGGTGTCTGGGTGATCCGGAAGCAGACGCGAAGGAAGAGGCAAAGAGATGAGTCTATTCAAGAGGACGAGATCACTGTTCATGCGTCCTACTTCGTCGTGGGAGAGAATATCTACATGGCGCCAACTTTCGCCGACATCATGAGCTCGAGGATCGTGAGTAGCCAACCCTGGAGGTGCATAGCTCCGCTGCTGACAGCTCTAGGCGACAATATCCTCCTCCATTGAAAATCTCTTCACATCCGCGAACAGCATACAGAGATGGACGCCATCCAGGGGCCACGTATACAAAACTCCCACCGTCCCACGCTCACAGGGTCTTGAACCGAGGGAGGCCACACCGATGCCAGACGGTGCCGGCAAAGCTGGCCCACCCGCACAGAAGGCGAGCAAGACCGAGCTAGACTCTCGTCTTGCGGAAGAGTCGTTTGCTATTCATCTCCGGTTTGGAGGTGACTACATGGACGAAATCCCTATCACGGGAAAACCAGGCGAGTTTCACTTTGCATCGACCGGCCGGACAGAGAAGCTTGCAGTACCACAAACTGGAAAGTCAGGCGCAACCAACAGGCTGCCCACATTAGACACAAAGGCGGCAGCGGAGAACCCCTTGACGAAGGACTCGAAGGCAGACAAGACCCCAAAGTCGAGCACCATGCCTGGGAAACTCAAGCGTAGAAAGAGCAAGGGCGGTACTATAACACCATCGTGAAGCTGTAACTTATATGATCGGGTTCTCGAGGCATTTTATAAGGCGTTCAAAATGGTCATGGCATGATACCCATCCTAATTGTAGGATAATTATTTAGGTTAAAGAAATGATGATAGCATAAGTCCGTGAAACGCTCCTTAGCCCCCGAAATCCTAGTGATGACTTAGTTGATCACATATCCCCCGTCAACAGACTATAATTCGTTAGCAAGAGCTGTTTCTACAAGTGCTTGCAGAAGACATACCAAACCAGCCCCTTGAATGAAGGTGGCTTTCGAGCTAGAAAGAAAGAGAGCAGCATCTGCTACCTCCTGCGGCGTCCCTTTACGTTTTAGGGGCGCGACCAGCACGTACTTGTCATCGTTGGGCACATTTGCCGTCATTGGCGTACTAAAAGTAGATGATCAGCTTGGAGATATCAGGCCTTTGGCAAGGAGAGGCTCACTCTATCAAACCAGGGCAGACAGCGTTGACTCTGATGTTGTGCTTTGAATACTTTTCTCGATATCAGCCCTTCTCATTCTTCGACCACCAGTTGCAGCATCCACTCACGTCGATAGCATCGCTTTTGGTCAAACTGAGAACCGCAGCTTTTGACGCATTGTATGCCGCTTGCAGAGGTGTCAGCTTAGGACGGCTAGATCGCACAGTATCCAAAATTGCTTACGAGTATTTTCGCGCGACACAATTGACAGATTGCTGCCTATATTCACAATCGAGCCCCTATTCCCAGGTCGGCCATCATGTGTAGGTAGTGGGTCCTGCTTCAACATCCGTTTGATTTCGGCTCGTGATGAAAGCCATATCCCACGGTAGTTGATACTAGTAACCTTATCGAAGTCTTCGGTAGAAAGCTCGTGGGATGGAGCCAATGGACCCATGATGCCTATAGATATATATGTGGTCAGAATGTTCAGTGGTATGACTATTTGAAACAGTCTAAGTGATATCTTCTGTCGAAAAAAATGGCCAGACTTGTCTGTGAATCATACAATTGAACACAAAATGAAGTTCTCAAGCACTCTCCAATTTGGCGCTTTAATTCGACGACTTGAGGGCAAAAGTATTTCGAAACTTACCAGCGCAGTTTACAGCGTAGTCGATCCTCCCCCATTCTTCAATGACGCAGTCAACGGCGCCTTCAACATCCTTCTCATTACGAACGTCAAATGGAATGATGAAAGTCCGTACAGACCGATTCTGCTCTTTACAGAGCCGAGAGGTTTCGGACAGTCCGTCCTCATCCCGGTCGAGAATAGCGATGCGTCCACAGCCCTCCTGGGCGAATGATATAGCCACCTGCCGGCCGATGCCTATGCACGAGAGCCCTGTCAATAATAGACCGTGCAGATATAGAACTGTTCTAAACTTACCTGACCCAGCCCCGGTGACAAGAGCCACGCCTTTGAACAGCGTTTCGGCCATTTTTCTTTTTGCTTATCTCAGTCTTTCAATGATTATTGAATAATTCTGTAGTCTGCAAGATATCCGACGACAGGTGTAGTGGTGCCTTAAGCATCAAGTTACCTTGTGTGGGGGAATGAAGTCATATGTAAGTCAACAAAACTGACCTTCCCCAGTCCCGGGAGCTTATCGGGCGACCTTAGATAGTCTCCACCACCACCTGGGCAAGTCCCAAATAGCTTCAACTGATTGAGGATCACCAGACCTCAGCATTCTATCACACCAACATGTGATAAGTCTCGCAATATCCACATGTCCCCAAGAACCTAACTTGAAGAGGCCCCAATGGTCAAGTTCTTGAAAAGACGGCGTTGATACTCCATTTTAGTCAATATCACCAATCGAATGTCATTGGCACCCACTATAAAGCATAGACGTGTCAAACAATACGCAGTTTGATATAGTTCGTTAAATCTGCCAGCTATAGATTTTGTAATTGGCAGTCTTGGTTCATATTATACCTCATTCCACAACCCACCCTTTACCGGCGAGTTTCCGTTGCTTGACCTTCCTAGCAGGCAGAGGCCAACCCATGCCTCCCACGCCTTCAGCTCTCAGATACGGTACGACCCATACTTCTCTTACACGCCCATCTTCTGACTCGGAGCCCTTGACTTCCTTAATGGGCTTCCCATAGCTGATCAGTGGGGTGCCCTTGGCAAGTGCCGCGAGTTGTCCGCCCGTGATATCCGTGAGAGCGTGCATCCTCGTTCTTGCCTTCTTCTCGCCTTCCGCTCCAGACGCCTGCCCTCTCTGAAGATAGGAGTAAACAATATACTCGGGACACTCTGCAGGGCTCAAGTGTGCTAGCGGGGATGACGGGTGGATATAAACCATTCTCTCCGTAATATCTGCCGATTTGCCAACGTCAAGGGGCATGAGGGGCAGATAAGAGACGTCGATGGCACGACGGGGCTTCCTCCATTCCTCTGGCGGATTGGGTGACTTGTCAGCCCGTATGGCGACCTGGTCAATGAAGCCAGCAGCAACCATCTGTTTCAGAGCTGTCACTTGCTTCGACGACGGTGGATCAAGCTTGTCCTGGAAGGCGAGACCTTCAAAGTTAGGGATGTTGGTTCTCAGCAGGTCGACAATTTGCCGTCGAAGTTGCTGAATCTCCTTCAAGATCTTGAAGCGCACAAAGTGGTCTTTGCTCCATTCTTCAGTAGGCTCATGCGCAAACTCACCCACAACTTGGAGAAGCTTGATTGCATCTGATCTGTCGTCAAGAAAGCAAAAGTTCTTGTGGGTCGCATTGTACGCTCGTTTCTTGTTGGCATGCTCGTTTTCGGCAGCAATATCTGCTGGAGTGCGGATCGATTCCCCGTCATCGGCTGGCAAGGCCGGGATGGCTTCATGCTCTGGTATAAAGAAATCTGGAGCTGACAGTCCAGCCACCAAAGCAATGGTGTAGGGCAGGCAATCATGAAGGTGTCCAACAAGTATGATTCTAGCAAACCGAGGAGACAAGGGGAAGATGGACATTGTAGCTCCAATTTGGGTAGCCTTCCCTTCCCCTGTGATTGCAGATAGATATGTTAGGAGTTTCTCAGCCTTTATCAGACTCTCCCGGCTCGGGCGTGTCGGGAAAGGGAAGTTGACCACGTTCTCCAAATTCATGGCCTTCAACTGGAGGACTACCCCCTCAATCGGCATTCGCAAAAGCTCCGGATCACCAAACTCGGGGAAATCCCTTTCGTAGACAGCCGAAGAATATAGCGGATACCAATGACCAGGGCCTGTTCGACCGGCACGGCCACGCCTTTGTTTCGCGCTCGCTTTGCTGATCCAACCAATCTCGAAAGTCTGGACTCCAGTGATGCGGTCGTATCGTCTCTCCTTGGAACGACCGCAATCAAAGACGTATCTTATTCCAGGAATCGTCAAACTAGTCTCTGCGACATTTGTCGCAATGATAACTTGGCGCGACCCATCTGGAGGCGGTTCAAACACGCGCAATTGCTCCTTTGTCGGCAAAAGCGAGTAAAGGGGAAGAACCTGCATTCGTGAAGGACCAGTCCCGGTTTCTTCCTCAGGTATATCAAACTCGGCGTCCTCATCTTCTACTTCTTCGTCAGATGGTGGCTCATCGTCAAAATCTTGAACTCCTCTATCATCGATGTCCCCGAAGTCGATGTCTTCAGCCTCTATAGGTGCTTGGCTTGTTGGAATCCGTACTTTTGGTCCAGTTACAGTGTCCATTCCAGTAAATTCCGTCCTTAGTCGTTTCATTAGTTGTATAATCTCATTTTGTCCCGTGAGGAAAACAAGAAAGCCCCCAGGTGGCAGTTTTCGATGGCCTCTACATATCTTTTTGTACGCTTCCTCTACGTAATCGTGATGTGTTCTTCGCGCCCAATGTATGGTGACATCGAACTGTTTCCCCTCTACCTGCAGAACTGGCGGAGGAGTCGAGAATAAATTTGGATTTTCAGTCAGCTCCTCAACTCTCAGCGTAGCAGACATGATGACAAGTTTGAGTGGTCGTATTGTAGTGTCCTCCTTAGCCATATCGCTCCGCAACTTGACAACTCTGCTCAACATGCCAATCAGAATATCGGTGTTCACACTCCTCTCGTGTGCCTCGTCAACAATAATTGCCGAGTATTTTCTCAGCGCAATATCTTGCGCAACCTCACGAAGGAGCACGCCATCTGTCATAAATTTCAAGGATGTCTTCGGATCAACAGTGCCTTCGAACCGGATCTGGTATGCCACCCTGTGAGAATGGTCACCCAGCTCCTGACCCACACGCTTGGACATGCTGACGGCCGCAACTCGCCGGGGCTGCGTGATACCGATCATACCGGGCATTGGAGAGTCAGGAGAGCCGTAACCCGCTTCATACAGGAATTGAGGAACTTGTGTTGTTTTACCAGAGCCAGTCGCACCACACACCACCACAATGTCATGATTATGAATTGCTTCCATGATCCTCTGCTCCTCAGCAACAACCGGTAGCTGCAGCCTGGCAGCTTGAATATCGGGTGGCCGGGTCACCGTAACGCTATAAGCTTTACGGCTCGTGTTCTTTGTCGGTAGCAACTCCATCGGAAGAGGATCTTGCTCAACCGGTCTGGGTTCGAAATTTGCTGGCTTTGGTATGTGTAGTATCTGTGATTCCGAATCCATTGGCTGGTATCCTAAAGCCTCGTTCCTTTGCTGGTGAGCCCAGGCTTTGAAAGCAGAGGATCTCTCTTTCTTGTTCGATTTTTGTTCATCATCTTCTGCCTCGTCGTCTCCTGACCCGGACTCGGATTCCTCGCTGCCGCTCTCATCGCTCGAGTTTTCCTTGCTAGAATCATCATCCTCCTCAGTAGATTCATTTCCAGATACATTTTCTTTTGAATCACCGGCAACTGAGGTCTCGTCCTGGTCCATGTCATCACTGTCGCTCTCTGAGCTGAACCCGCTCCACTCGTCAGAGCCTGAATTCTCTACTTCTTCGGGTTGGAGAATGGATATCTTTGATTTGACACCGCCACGCTTCTGTCTCTTTTGAAGTTTTGGACGACCGTCATCATCCAACTGCAGGGGGCGTTTTAGACCAGAGCCAGCTGAGGAGACCTTTTCAGAATTGGTGATCGTCAGCGCAGTTGTGGCAACTACCGCTGGCGCGGTGATGGGTGAGTGAGATTTTATCTCGGGTTGTTCTTCAGAATCTGATGAAGATGCAGGTTCATCACCCACATCTAGTCTTTCTTGGAAGAGCAGCCCTTTGATACCATCATCCGTCGCGATACCAGCATTATGTTGCTTAAGGGCGCGACCAAGTTCCTCTCGTTTCGTTAATCGCCCCCTTCCCAGAGTTTTAGTGCTGCTCAAAAGACTCGTGTCGATCTTGCTTTCAGCAAGTTTGGCGAGAAGCTCCCTGGTCTCGTCTTTCTTGAGCTTGTTCTCAACATATTTGTCAAACCGCTTAGCTTTTTTGCTGCTAACTTTGACTCCTTGGCCTCCCAATTCATCCTTCAGCCGAGCTTTTCTCTCCTCCCTTTCCCTCACCTGTGCCGGTAGTATCTCCTGGACGTTAGAGTCCTGTTCAGTCGCATCATGCGTACCATTTTCACGCGCTTTCTCGCGAGCGAGGACTTTGTGCTTTCTCTGGCGACGAACAAATTTGGCCATGATGCGCTGCTAATCTGACGCCTGCTGACTACCACATCTTCGCGGAAGCACCAAGTCCAGCATCGAGTAGGATGGTGATGGCGATGTTCAAAATAACTTTTTTGACCGCCTGTGGCAGAATCTTTTATCGATAAGGTGCCGCTAACGATAGTGCCGGTGGGGCCTGATTAGTATCTCCCATTACAGTACGAGATCGCTAAGAGGGATGCACTGTGGGCCGTGCCTCATCTCTTCGCCTTCAGAGCTCGACATGGCTTCAAAAACTTGCACTGTAATTCCATAATATTCGCCTATCCACCTCGCAGCTCCGAACTGCTTCTCTCTAATTATGGAGTCCTCGACCGACGTCAGAGAGGAGTCATATCCAGCTGCCTCAAGGCAGGCGAGCGGCGCTGTCAATGACGTTCCCACTGAGGTCTTATTTATGAGTTTCGCCGACAAGATCCTTGTAACCATCTCCCAAGAAGGACGCTTATCACAATGGGTATTTTATTTCGACTCCTCAGTCACTATATTGATGAACTCATGCTTGCTTAGGTCCAGGTGCCCTTGTCTGCACCGTCTTCAGCCGCCGTGGAAATGTCATTGCCAAGTGCAAACCTCGGCTCACTACCGTCTCTACATCTCACGCCCAAAACACTGCTAGGCGGTGGTACTGAAGATAGAGAGACATTGGGGCACCTATATGCCGCTCAGATCGCAAGTCTACTCGCGATGAGAAGTCCGGAGGATAAGAGAACGCTGGTTCTCGGTCTCGGGTTCCAGAAAATCGATACGCAACGGGAGGCATTTTTTGATGTCCTTGAATTGTTACAAAAAGTCCTGTGAATGGCACCATACTGTTGAGGGACGATGTTTACAGAGACAGCGAAGACCGAGCTGGAACAGAACAGGCGATTACGGGTCGTCCACAAGTCAATAGGTTGAGCCCACTCGGTTTCTATAGACAAACGGCCAGCATGGTACAGGATAAGCTCACTTATCAGACAAGAAGACTTTGGAAAGCGGCCAAGTCATCTAGCATGAAGCCGGCCCCATTGCCTAAAGGCTGACAAATAGCATTTCAGGGGAAGTAGACCTCGCCGCCGTGCGAGTGACCTCCTTCACAGACACATGAAATGTGAATCGCAGAGCCGCAGATCAGCGAGCCGTCACATGCGTCCATCATATATCTAATTTTGCTTTAGTCAAATGCAGGGACAGATAGGAATTCTTCAACATACATATGTGAAAGCCAAGCACTTGAGACAACGCCACATCTCTGGGTGGTGGTTCCTTACTTGCATATATTTATCCCAATGTCCACACTACCCCTGCAAATCGCTGCGAATCGCTGCGAATTCTCGTCATATCAATATACCTCAGTAATAGCCATTACTGCTACTGGTAGGAGCCAATGCTACTTGGATGCTTTTGGTAGTAATTGTAGTACCAAAACTGATTGCAAAATGTAAGTAGCTCACGAGCTTCCTCATTTTGAGCGAGTAACCCTATTCAGAAAAGAGTGTGCTGCATTGGTTCACAAATGGATGACTCCGCATGAGGCTCTGAAGAAGCTTTGTGGAGACGATCATCTCCTCGGCCAAGTTCACAATGTGGGATTCGGAGGAATGCACAACCGTCTTACAACGACTATTGGGTTGGCGTGCATATCGCCCCCAAAAATGGCACCACAACTCCGCAGGCTTTCAAGACGATAACAACGGTGCGGTTAAGGGCTGGTCTGGCCGGAAAGAACGTGGCTCGCAAGGCCGCAAGGAAATCAGTCTACGATTGGCGGTGTCGGGTAGCTAAATTGCTTTCTGGTGGCTCTCGCGAGGCGCAATGTAAATCGCAGGGATAGCCTGCATATTCAACCTTCAGCTCTAGCTTCTTATCAGCCTAGGAGCAAAAGGACCCTGGTTCCTAGAATAAACTACGCAGTTTCTGCCATCGCCAGCCTTCAATTCTCATCGTGCCAGCCCGCACGCCAAGAGCTCGACTATGACATCGTGCCAATTACAAGGGGAGTTCGCTTCCTCCTCTACGCTACTGCAAGCCTCATGACCATCACCACCAGATGCAAGCTGCTCGTCAGGCTGGGATCGTCGTGGTAATGGATGTCCAGGCGAGGCTCTCCCCGCCGGCGTGGCGTTCTCGGCCGATCCTCGAGCTCTCGTGCATTTATATGTTCACTCCAGACCATTGTCTCGGTATCCAGAGACAACAGCCTTGCTGTTTTCGGAACGTACCTCGATAGTTCTCGCAGATACCAGTGGCTGCGGTTCTATTCCAGGGTCTTGACTGACATAATGAAACTAAGCGCAATCATTGTGCTTGCTTGGGCAAGCATAGTACTAGCCAAGTCGGAAGTGCTTCTTGTAAGATATATCCCTCAATCCCAAGAGCAGCTTGTGGCTAATCTTCATATGTAACAGCCAGAATGTGGCGTACGTCAATCAAATAAAGAGAACTTCTGAAGCCTCTTTATCTCTTTGATATTCATTCATGTCTAACTCAGCTCACATAGGTAACATGTGTCGACAAGACTTGTGGTGCTGCAGACATCAATTGCTTCTGCAAGTCAGGGAACTCAACCTTTAACACATTTGAACAGTGTATAGGCACGACCTGTGGTCCTTTAGACTTCCAATCTGCTCATACTTGGGTCTCTTCGGTATGTGGGAGGACTGAATTGGGTCTGCTCGTGCAAAGAGCCTGTGATGCTGGCGAAGTGGCATGCCACTCAGGTTGTATGCCAAGGTATATATATACTTCATTTTACTCACTCATTCCCTCCTTTACCTTTGCTATGAATATGTTCAATATTTCATGTTCCTGATTGGATACCTCTTCACTTTCATCACCCTTTGTCGATGACAAATTCTCGGGCCTTCCTTGTATCATCATTGACTGACCCAGCTATCACTTAGTGACGCTGTTTGCTGTACAAATAATAGCGGCTATTGTGACGCAGGGGAGGCTTGCTGCACTAATGGTTGCATGCCAGGCGACGGTAGGCGACTGTCGGTCCTATTTTGAGCACATCTTTACTTATGATATCTTTCTCACTCAAGGAAGCACCTGTTGCGGAACGAAATATTGCTATGCCGGAAATTACTGTTGCAATAATGCCCAGTACACAAACCAATGTATGGAGAGTTCCGCGTCGTGCTGCGACTCAACGGAATCCTCGTGCGGGAGCGGTTGTATACCAACAGGAACAGACTGCTGCCCAGATGGCGGGTACTGCGACTCCGGTGAAGAATGCTGTGATTCTAGGTTAATATATCGACCATACTTTGCAAGATCGTGCTAATAGAGGTTCAGTTACTGTATACCCTCCGGTGCAACATGCTGTGGCTCTGGCTCTGGTAAGAGACTTCATGAGGACGACAATAAGACTTACAATCTAATTATTTAGGCAACTACTGTGACGCAGGTAATGATTGCTGTAGCGGGAAGTAAGTAATAAACTACTCTGCCTTTTCAAACTATCCCAGTGTTGCTAAAACACCAACCAGGTGCATTCCAAGTGGCACAACTTGCTGTGATGCAGGCTATACGGCTTGCGGAGATGGCTGCATGCCAACCGGCTCTGTGTGCTGCGATAATGGCGCTGGGTATTGTGACTCAGGAGAGGCTTGCTGCAATGGAAAATGCCTTCCGGATTCGACGCCATGTTGTGACGCTGGCGAAACTGCATGCGGAAATGGATGCATGCCATCCGGCTCTGTCTGTTGCAATGGTGGCGGATACTGCGATGCTGGAGAGGTCTGCTCAGCTTCCAAGTGTTGGCAATCCAGCGCAACGGCAAAGCCTACGACAAGCGTGTCTAGAGCTCCTACCACGGCACAGTCTGCGCCAACAACGACCGAGATGACGACGAGTTTGGGCCTTACAATGACTGGTGGCGGCATCACAGTGACAGACACAACACCAAGTGTGTCTTCGGGACCCATATCATCATCTTCTTCCGTCTCCTTCACTTCATTGACTTTGGTTCTCACGTAAGTAGATGAAATGACCGCGGATGATCCATCTAGTAACAACTGTCTCTAGGACCGTTGATATTGTGCACCCCACTGGGCCTGTGTCGCAACCAGATCTTACTAATACGCCCCTTTACTCGGGCTCAGGGTCGATTCTCTCAGGCGAGTGCAGCACAACAGAGTTCACCCTGATAGATGCGGGCAGTACTGTCTTCTACGCTCCGTTCGTTGGTTGCGTGTCAGACCGGCCCGAATGTTGCCCCTGGACCGTCGCCCTCACGACGACAGTCACGGTCACTACCAATGGAGCAACCTCTGTGGTTACGAGCACCCCTTCAGAGAATCATCAAGATGTGGCTTATCCTTTTGCCCGAGAAAGCGGTCAGCAAGCCTTGGGCGCCTGTCCTGCCGATTATTACAGGATATCTGGTAGCTGTTGCCCTAGGTAAGTCTGGTTACTCAACTCTGGGCTTACCATTACCATTTCATAGGGATAATTAGCGAATATGGAGAGTCTGACATTTTGTAGTAACTATCAACCCTACGGAGCGGCTTTAGGAGGAGCAACGCCGTGCTTCAGTTCCCTAAACAACTATGCTTCGCCTCCAACGCTCACAGCTGGACTGGCAGGTCAACCGACAGACACGACCCAGCCAACATCAGCCGTGATCAACGTTGTCTGGGCAATGCAGTATGAAATCAAGGAGAAATCAGACGAGCTCTCTACAGGAGCAAAAGCGGGAATCGGTGTAGGAGTTCCCGTGGGTGCTATTGCGCTCGGGTTGTTGGGCTTTGTCATTTGGAGACAGACAAGGAAGAACAAGGGCTCTGATACCGCCACGGTCTCTACCGTTCAGAGTCCCCCTCCGCAACAAATGCACCAGGCACCACCGGGTTTTGCAGTCTACCCAGCACCCGGCTCAACTGGCAACAGTAGCTTTGCGCCGACAGGAGCAATACCGTCTCAACACACTGGTGGTTCAATGCTCTCTCATAACACGCAGGGAAGAACCAGTGAGCTCAGCGGAAACGGCAGTAACCCACACAACTCAGCTTATATGGCAGGTGCTGGCGCGGCATCGTACAGTCACCCCCCTTCATTCCATGGCTCTGGTGGTGGAAGTCCCGTGTACGGAGCGCCCAATGCCCAGGGGCAGTATCCGTTTAATTACAATCAACAACAGGCGCCGTCAGGAAGCCCTCCCCCGCAACCTCAACCATTCTATCCGTCTGGCGGCAGTTACGAGGGTCAGCAGTACGGGTATGGAGGACAGGGAGCTCCTCCACCGCCTCAGCAGCCATCTCACGGTCCGTGGTATCCCCCGAACCCACAGCCGCAGCGATGAAGTGAGAAGGGCGATGAGTGAAGGAGCATTGACCATTGTTAAAACGATAGTTCAAGGAAGCTCGAGTTGGAAAGGAAAAAGAGAGAATGCATTACAGGTAATATAGTCATCCCGTCAAATAGCACCTGACATAAATATACGAAGCATATAACTTGAGTCTCTTCGCAAGTAGTCAATATGATTAATAGGCTTTCTACACAACTGTTGGTAATATGTGCAAATGTGGATGTCAGGTAATGGCTTTACAGTTGGAAAGAGTGAATCAGGCTCTCAAGCCCGGTTTATATAGGACATTATCTAAGGTCAAAGAAGAAGGCAATTGGAAAAGAGTCTTTGCAAATTTCCCGATGTACACAGAGTTGTTTATCACTGGCTTCTCAATAGGGTGTTACGTCGCTCATCAACTTGGATAAACACAAAAGTGGTAAACGTCCGTTTTAAAGCCGGCCTTTCGTGTGAGCTATGCCCGAAGTGCGGGCAAAGAGCTATTAGTGTACGATCCCCTCACCAAGAGTGTCAAAGCAAATCAAAATGGACATTGGCGTAACACTTTATCATCAGCCGCCGAAATTAGATCGATGTGTATGAGAATCACTGAGAAGTTGGTCCCCGCAACCTCAATATCGCTGATATACAACTGCCATAATGGCACAGCCAAAGCTAAACGAGAATGGCATTCCGAATTTCGACGACCTACCTGTGAGGAGAGGAGATCCACACCACTCCGCCTGGGGCCTATACGGAGAGGCTGACGAGCTTGGAACCTTGAATCGGCTCACTAATGAGCGAGTAGCATCCGCTGCAAAGGATGAGATCAGAAACGGTACTAGGTGAGTCTTTCTTCAAGTATAAACCCGGAATGAGATAGCACTGACCAGCTCGACACAGGATTTCATTGAACTGGCCCTTGGATGCTCAGGCGAAGAAGTCCTTCTTTGACAGACAACTTTTCCATCAGGAGATGTGGCCCAAGCCACCGAGAGTAGTCAACGATGACTTCTGGTCTTTCAACTCACAGGTGTCCAGCCAGTGGGATGGCTTACGCCATTTTGCCTATCAAAAAGAGGCGAAGTTCTACAATGGCGTGACGATGGAGGATATTCATGGCGTTGATAGTAACGGTGAGAAGACTACAGTCAATGGTATCCAAGGTACATCCCAATATCCCCAAATCAGCTCCCGCCACCTTGAAGCTGACCAAGATGATAGCTTGGACAGAGAAAGGTATAGTTGGAAGGGGCATTCTTGTGGACTTTCATAGTTGGAGACTGGAGCAGAACGACTCGGCTTACACCAATTTTGACGCCTTTGAAACGACACCCATTCCCCTAAACGACTTGAAAGCCTGCCTTCAAGCTCAGGGAACGGAGGTGAAGTTTGGAGATATACTGATTATTCGTTCTGGTAAGTGCTTATCCCATCCCTTGTCAGCCCCACAGAATCGTATTGACCGACAGACACAGGATGGATGGTCGCCCAGGCCCTGAAGACCGAGGCCGAGCTGTCAGCGTTCCAAGACGTGAAACCTCCACATTTCGTCGGCGTGGAGCAGAGTGAAGAGATGATCCGCTGGATATGGGAGAACTTCTCAGCTGTGGCTGGCGACCAGCCGTCCTTTGAGTGCTGGCCAACACAAAAGGACTGGTCGCTGCATGAAGTTCTACTGGCGGGCTACGGCTGTCCCATCGGAGAGCTCTTCCATCTCGAGAAGCTTGCTGAGCAGTGCAAGAAGGAGAAGCGGTGGAGTTTTTTTGTTGCCAGTGAGCCGTGCAATGTCCCTGGCGGCGTAGCGAGGTGAGTCTTCTGCTCGTCACAGACGCAAGATGCTGATGAGTCTCAGCCCGCCAAACATACTGGCAATATTTTAGAGATAAGTGAGAAATTGGCTCGACCTCCGGAAACTCATCTGGAATAAGCAACTAAGGTCAGCAAGCAACGGAAACTAAATCTCTATCAAAAAGATACATTGAGGGACACGATTGCATAAACTTGTTTGAAAATATTGGCTCGTTACATTTATGTAGCAGGTTTACAATGATGCGGCGCTTTCTATACACAGAAGTTTGCAAAATTACTTCCTACCCGAGACGGTGTCCCGATCCACGCGACCTCCACGAGTCCGGCAGGGGACCACTCCCTGATGAGCCCGTGCTGCTGCCTGCACCCTGACCGCCGCGGATAGCAGTACCGTAGTCTCTCTGCAATACCCTAGGAGTAGTCACTAGGCGCGATAAGAATGCAGGCGTGGGAATCAAATTGGGTCCTCCCCCAAACTCAGGGTACAGCCTTGTCAAAAAGTCGTGTAAATGCGCGGCCACCAGTCCAGTAAGCTGAAGCATGGCAGCCTCGGGACCTTGCATCAGCAAAGTCACAGCCATCATGCAGACTGGAACCAGCTGTGCGGGGACTGTGAAGAAGAAGAAAGTGGCCTTGACTCCACGTTGATCCTGGGTTGCAGTGTATGCAAGGGCCAAGATTAGAGCCTGTAGATAAAACGCAGATCCGAGAAGGTATGATGCGAGGAACTGCTTGACTGTCAGCTAACCATCCAGGACATCCATGGGAGCGTGACGCATCAAGCCACAAAACATGTAGTCAAAGAGATGTAGGGAGCTAGAAACCACCCGAGTGCACATGATTCAAAACCCGAGTCATCCATATAGACATCCCACCATACCCACACCCCAGACCAGCCCTTTTAGGATTTGCGAATGACGGGCCGGCCTACAGTGCAGGGGTAATCTTCCTCATTTCCAGGAACCGTGATAGCAGTAGGAGCAGTAGCACTATCCGGGCAGATATATGAGGGACAACAAGAAAGGAGAAACACGCGGGAATAGTGTGGACGACATTGCAAGACAGTGCAAGAGGCGGAGGGTTACCTACAATGATGACAGTACCCACGAAAATGAAGTACCAAAGGAGATCCTCCTTGCGCGGGAACTTGGGGTGGCCAGTTTCAAGCTGGCTTGTGTATTGAAAAACTGTCACCCGACATATGTCAGCAATAGGTCGTTCGGACAATATCGCAAAGATCCATACCAAAATATGTGTCGAACACGATGCCCAGCTTCGGGCCCGTCAGGAAGAAGGACGAAACGGGGCGCCAGATCTGCGGCGGTAGCTTCAAAAGCAGCCTATAATCGAAGTAGAACCATGTGTAGGGTATGAAGCCCATGTAGATGCCTATCGACGAGGCCAGGACGGCGGTAGCCAAGGTTCTGTAACAATTGCCATTAGCACCTCGCGCCCTCATTCGAGATCCTCGGACACCAGGGATTGTCACTCACCTCGCTAAGGGTGGCGCTTGCCAGTAGGCGTCCATGACTTCGGCCATTGTGTGAGGGAGCTTGCTTGCTTGCCTGGCGTTTCGCGCCGCAACAGAATAGCACTTATTTAAGGATGAGAACAGAAGAAAGGGAGTCAGTTACTAGCTGACAGTGAGCATAACAGAGAGGGAAAAAACTACCACAGCGGGCGACAGGCAGCAGTGGTGATGATGTTGGAGAGGAGTTGGGTGAATTGTGTCCTTTTCTTAGCTAATTAAGCTGGGCGAAGAGGACAGAAAGAAAGTGAAGAATTACGGAAGCTGGACGGAGCTTTTCCAATCCTGCCTGCCGAAAAGTGTGGCTGGCGGCGGGGCAGATTCAACTGTGCCACACACCATTCACCATACACCACACAGCTCAATGTCGGCCATGTGTGGCTTGAAGCTTTGAAGCTTCAGGTCCCTCCTTCCACTGGAAAGGCCTGGAGCTCAAAATGAAAGCAGTGAAGAGGTGCAGTGAAGAGGATTCGAGAAAATTTGCCCAAAAGGGCGGGCTCCGAGGAGGTTTACCACTGCAGAATGCAGTCCTCTCTTTCTCAGGGGACAGTGTGACGGTAGACAAGCGTATGTCTCGACAAAAGGGGACAGGGCAGATTTGATATATGGAAGATATCGAGATTCCCAAGGTTTGTGAAGAAAAGAGAGAGTAAAAAGCTCTCTATGTCCTCGTGGAGGTGAGAAAGAAAATTTTGGAGGAGCTCAGACCAATTGATCGCTGTAATTGGTAGTGCTATCCTGGCTAGTGGGCTGGGCCGAGTGCGCGCTGCTACTACATCTGTACAAGGAGCCGTGCCGGGGCGCCAGCACTCCTCCGGTGCCGCTACGCACTGGCGCAAAAGACCGTGCATTTCTTATAAGATATATATGCCTCTTGACTCACTCACGGTGACTCTCCTTGTTCTCTCACAAGGCCGTCTATCCTCGCAAACCCTCAGATTCGTCTCCCAAAACGAGTCCGAGCCATGGAAGCGCCTTCAGGTAAGATTTGGGGCCAATTGAGGCATTCCGGCGCTCAATTGGCCTCTCAGATCCGGAATAAGAGGTTCTACTCGGCCCCCGTCTCTGGCTCTATACCCGCCGCCAAGAAGAAGTATGTGCCTACCAGCGGCTCTTATCCCCAGGGCTTCAGCGCCTCTGGTACAATCGTCGGTGTAAAGGCAAATAACACCACGAAGCCGGACCTTGCTTTCATCACTTCAGATCGGCCGTGTGCTGCCGCCGCCGTGTTCACCAAGAACAAGTTCCAGGCCGCCCCCGTAACGTTCAGCCGGAACTTGCTTAAGAAGAAAGGCAACCAGGGCGTCCAGAGTGTGCTCGTCAACTCGGGATGTGCTAATGCCGTCACTGGCAAGGGAGGTCTTGAGGATGCGGAGAAGATGGCACGGGCCGCCGACGAGTCTGTTGGAAACGACGGAGCAACCATCGTCATGAGCACAGGAGTCATTGGTCAGAGGTTGCCCATCCAGAAGATTGTGGACAATGTGCCTGCGGCTCACAAGTCCCTTGGCTCTTCTCACGACCATTGGATGGCTGCTGCCAAGGCTATCTGCACCACCGATACTTTCCCGAAGCTCATCTCCAAGACATTCAGCCTGCCCTCTTCGCCATCCGTGGAATACAGGATAGCAGGCATGACCAAGGGCGCCGGAATGATCCACCCAAACATGGCCACCTTATTGGGCATAATTGCCACTGACGCGCCTGTCGCCCCGAGCGTCCTTCCCTCTGTGCTCAAACACGCTGTCGACCGGTCGTTCAACAGCATAACCATCGATGGCGATACGTCCACGAATGATACTGTGGCCTTACTAGCAAACGGCGCTGCTGGCGGCAAGGAGATTACTTCGGACAATTCACCCGATTTTGAGAAGTTCCAAGCCGTCCTGACAGACTTTGCCGTTGATCTAGCCAAGCTTATCGTCCGAGATGGCGAGGGCGCCACGAAGTTCGTGACGATCCGCGTGGTCGAGTCGGCGTCCGAGGAGGCAGCACGCAAGATTGCCAGCACCATTGCCCGGTCGCCCCTGGTCAAGACCGCTCTATACGGCAAGGACGCGAACTGGGGCCGCATCCTCTGTGCCACCGGCTATTCCCTGATCTCTGAGCCCAGTGAGCCGATCAACGACGTCCCGGAGATTGTCCCTGAGAAGACGAACGTGTCTTTCATCCCTACGGATGGTTCTGCTGAGCTGAAGCTCCTGGTGAACGGCGAGCCAGAGCTCGTTGACGAAGCCCGAGCAGCAGAAATCTTGGAGTTTGAGGATTTAGAGATTCTGGTGCGCCTCGGCACTGGTGATAAGCAAGCCACCTACTGGACCTGCGACTACAGCCACGAGTACATGTGAGTACCTCTCTACCCTGCTCTCTCTCAGTCATAGTCTAATTCATTCAGAACTATCAACGGTGATTATCGCACCTAAAGGCACCATCTTTCTCGGCGAGGAATCTGTGTGGACGGTCTTTAGAGCTAAGCAGATCAGGTGTTCAGGAGTTGGGCTAAAAATTAACACGATTGAAATCGAGATCGTCTAAGCCTCATTGTGTAGACTACCATCCTGCGCTCATATGTATATTGAGCGTTGAGATAATGAAAGCCATATTTGCATTGCAACATGAATCACGATGGGGAGCTTGATATTTGTCCCGCAATTGGGGCGAATTTCATTGACATGACGCTTCGAACACATTTTATGTGCCGACATTTGTCCTACTTTACAGCGAATTCTGTGTCCTCCTTTTCAAGTTACCATTGCAAATCGCTGTGATATATGATGCCGCCCTTGACGATCCGTGTCGGGTATATCCGCAGACAAAAACCAAAGCAAATCAACGCCAGATATTTCCTCTGTTTTCCAGGAACGCCTTCCAATGCAATAGCACAATGTGCTCAAATAATGTGAGCTCATAATCTCGTAGACAGTTTCCACCTTCAAACATTTCAGTAAGCACTTCCATAATCCTTCATTCTCGTCTAGTATAAACCGCGTCCTCAGACACGTTTCTTCTTAATTGTGTTGATCGAAGGGTGACTGTCCACTGAGCATCATGTCGTTCTGCTCCCTGAACCAACTCGTACCCTCATCCATCTCCGCGGCAAGGGCTTTGAATTCCCGAAGAGTTGCCTCGACATCGGCTGGCATAAAGCTCTCCTTCTCGTCCGCCTGCGTTTGGTCAACCATAGCCGCGCTAGGTGACGGTGCCTGAGGGTCTGGTAAAGATCGTCTCAAGACATTCGCCTTTCCTAGGCTCGATTGTGGAGACCATTGGCTGGTCCGACCCTGCAGGCTGCTCCTACGCCGCATTGCTAGCTCAGTTGTGTTCCCTTCGAGATCCACGGCTTCATTTGGCTCTGCCGGCTGGTTCTTGCCCGGCCCAAGACCACAATCGCCGATTCCTGGATACCGTACGCCATCATACATCATAGGAAGGGCCAGAGACTCATGTAGAGCACGGCCATCAGGCATGACTACCAAGCCTCTTGCTTTCAAGCGCCAGTAGTCCGATTTGACACCATTGGACTGTTTGCTCCCCTGCGACTCTGGCCCAACAGATGATCTCGGGCTAGATGTTTGATATCTAGTGAAATTTGTCATCTTAGTGCCAGCCGGCAATGACTGACTAAAGTTGTTGACGCTTTTGTGGTTGAGAAGGCCATTGACAGTACCATCGGTATGTTTCCCTGCGGCAATATCACGCAACCATCGCTTTTTGGCGGACTCTTTCGGCCTGGCAATAGATTTGGACACACCGGTCTTCACGGGTCTCAGAGGATTCCTAGGTCTACTTGTTGGAACCGCAAAAGCCGTAGCCGGAGTTGTCTGCGCGAAGGGATGTGGAGGCGCCTGGAAAGATTCATCCCGAATCGTCCGAGAGACTGCCTCACGCTCATTGCTGGTACCAGCAAATACGCCACTCGCCAGAAGTGCATGTTCGAGGCTGTCCGTGGAGCTTTCTCTTTGTGACGAAGCTGTCCTGGCTCTCTTGTTGGCTCGGTCTTTCAGTTGTTGGACAAAATTCGTAGCGTCGTTGATGCCTCTACTGTGGTCTTCTGCCGCCTTGCGCTTGGTCTTTTCTCGGGCAGCCTTCGCGGCCTTGGCCTCGGCTGCTTGCGCTTCGCGATACGCTTTTATTGCCTCCCTGTTTTGTCGCCCCATTCGCTTACGTACAAGGCTTCGAGTGATCTCCCTCCAACGATAGAAGAACTTCAAGCCAAGATTGTACCGTCTGAATTTCAGAGCATCTGCCCAAGATTGCGCATCTTCTTCCTTTTTCTTCCGTTCTTCTTCTTCCACTTGGTATCTGTCAAATACACCCTGTACAAGATGCTCTAAGATTGCATCCTGAAACTGATCGATCAAACCATCATCTCCTAAGACAATCCACTTCGTGAAATCACCCATCAAATCCTTAGGCTTAGACTGCTGAATAGGCGCCGCCGGTTTGAGGATTGAAGCAGTCTTTGGCACACTCTCTTGCGTCGGTATGTTTGGCACGGACAGTGGAGCTTGTGAAATGATATTAGATATGCCATCCTGCTGTGGAGTTGATTGTGATTCAGTGAAAGATCCCGTGTTTGGCAATCCCGTCGAACCAGTGGTCTGGGGGCCTTGGAATGGTTTATCTTGTAAGCTATCCAGGCTTGTAGTCGGAGCTGTAGTAGCTTGCTGCTGTTCAGCATTCGTTCGACCAGGGGTGGGTGGCGTGAATGTTATGCTTGGAGCCTTAAGCTCATTCCTCAAAGATGCCGTGGTGCTAGAGAAAGGGTTTGTCTGCGGTTTTGGTGTCTCGAAAATCTTGGTCGATTGAGGTTGGTTCACTGGCTCTGTGCCTTTGTTGAGGAAAGAGAATGCAGTTGGGTCGCTAGGTGCCGATGACCCTCCTGTGGGAGGCGTTTGAGCGAAAGGCGGCGCCGGAGGAAATGCTGGCTTTGTACTCGATGAAATACCTGCTTCTACAGCTGATCCTGTGGCTTTAGCGGGCCAAGAGAATCCTGATGCTGGCTGAAAGGAAGATTTTTTCTCTACATTTGGCTGTGCATGCGATGTGGCGCTTTCGAAAGGATTCGAAGCCGGCTTAGATTGTGCTGTTGTATCAGACTGAGGCAGCACACTTGAGAAAGGAGAGGAGCCTGTCGAAGGTTTGGCTGGAGCTGAAACTATCGATGGTTTCGAAGCGGACGATGCTGATGATTCTTCATCAGTGACATCATAGTCACTTTGATCTGCTTGGCTTGGTCTCGTTTCCATAGAAATTTCACTTGGAAGGAACATGCCATCTGGACTCTCTCCTTGTTCGTTAGACGGCGAAGTAGTCTCGAAAATTGTCGAGTGAATGACTTCGGGAAGTGAGTGATTTCCACGTTTTCGCTCAACCATCTGGCCTGAGTGTGATTGCTTGACTGTTGGACTCGGAATGTGCTTTCTTCGTTCCACGAGCAGATAAGGCGGGCTTGCATCAGATGAGAACTCCATATCGTGCTTCTCGAGGAAGTCAATACATTGGCTCGTATCGTCGAATCGCAGAATATTGTTGACAATCTCGGCAGTCAGGTCTTTTGGGTGATCTCTTACCCTGCCATAGGACTTATTGATAGTCTTAAGGAGATGTCGTCGAATCTCAGTGAAGTGGATCTCGGCAAAACACGCCATCGTGTATGACACCTTGGAGTCCTCAACAATGGAAAAGTAGTTGGTGAATGAATTTGAAGCAGTGGTCAGAGGTGCTGTAGGCCGAAGAGGCCCACGATGTCGAAAGACATTCTGCATAGCTTCCATCAAAGAAACGGCAGTTTGTATCTCATCAGACTCAAACCAGATCTCTCGACCCCAGTCTTGAAGTTGTTGCTTGACAAAGGGATCGTGAGCATTGAACAGGAGGTAATAAGCCCGAAACTCTGCTTCGTTCTTTATGACCAGACCATCGTCTTTGCTCTCATCATATACTTGCATAAGCGACAAAAGGGTCTTGCCCAACTGCTCTTTTTCTTGTTGTTCTGAGAAGTCGTCGGCAGCAACTCCCTCCTGCGACAAAAGATGAAGTCCCACGGCGTGAAACCGTGCAATTGTCTCGAGACAGTAAATTTGATCCAAGCGTTCGTCTGTTGTCATTGCATTCTGAAAGATGAAGTCCTTCCGTACAGCTCGCGTACGATCCCATAGAAAGTTGTGCAGCGCGGGTAACCTATCATCGCTCCGCAAGAGGTCGTCCACGAGATAGTCCACCGTCCGTCTAAGCGCTGCGGGTGAACGAACCTCCATGGGTAAAGGGTAATCCGCACCAGCAGCAGATCTTTTGAAAGCCTTGACCATACGATTGGGGATATCCCATTCGGAACCATCTGCTTGCTTTTCTTTCTCTGGTCGCCTGACGTCATGTTCCGTTATGCGGGATACCTTCTCATATTCAGGGCACATGTCCTCACAAATGCCTTTGAAATCGATGGCATCACTCAGGCTCTTTCTTACGTCTGGATCGTCGACCAGGCCAGCTTTTATCAGTGATGTTCGTACACGACTCAGGTATTGTTTATATGTGTCTTTGAAATCCTCCAGGGCTTTTCGCTTCTTCGGATTTCCAGGTTCTGCTGGCCAACGTGGAGGCTTGATACCGTCCCGTTGGAGCTGGCTATGAATAGCCTGTGCATAGCTCGTCGTCGGTTTTGCGAATCCATTCGGCGTAGAAGACTTCATGGCTTGTGAGGTGACCGCCTTCTTGCCCGAACTGTCAGCAAAGCTTGCGAAGCCGCTCGCCAATTTGGGCTTTGCCCCGAAGCCGCTGGCTTGAGAACCTGTTCGCTGAGATAACACTGGGGCATGCGGCTTTGACGTCGGTCTCTCGGAAAGTCCGTCCTTTCGCTTGCGATCGTTTCCAGTTACCTGGGCGAAGGGGTTCGACGCGCCGTTAGTCGCTGGAGGCGCTACACTAAATGGTGACACTGGACGGCTTTCAGAGGAGTTCTCGGCCGGCTTGGCAAAAGGATTGTCCGTCGCTACCGTAGTAGGGTTTGGCGCAAAGGGATTAGGAATTGCGAGGGCATTCGTCGAAGCTGAGGAGGATGGTGCTGAGAAGGGGTTGGGGATCGCAGGAGTACTCTGTCCCCCAAAGGGTGAGCCACCGAAACCTAGCCCATTGGCTTGTGACGATAAAACGCTAGGCGCAGTGTTTGAAGGGTCAAACGGTGATTTCTGGCGTGGCGGCTGAGATGTGGTCGTTGACATGCCCCCAAATGCGCCGAATGAACTGGGCTGGCCGAATGGTGAAGGCGCGGTCATTGGTGATGGGTTGAAGGGGGATGCGGGACGTGTCGTCGCCTGCCCGGCGGGCGCCGCAAACGACGGGGCCCCGAAGGCAGACGTTGACCCAAAGCCCGACATCGCCAGCGATACCCCGGCCAAAGTGTATAGGGTTGTGGTGTTCTGACGACGTTTCGCCAAATCGCGAGAAGAGAGGAAGAAGGAACGAGCGAGAGAGCTATCCTAAGCTGCTTAATCGCATCTGCTCTTTCCGCCTTGATTGACCGCCTGATGTTGGCCCCGTTAGCCGCCCAACGCACGGACCATAGCATCAACTACCGGTGCCTTACTATTGTCGAGGCGATGATGTTTACCCTAGTTTCTCGCGCGTAGTTTCGACAAACTTGCGAACTCGTTAAGAGGCTGCGAATCGGTCTCGCACAGAGATTTCGCGAAAGTAGGGACTGTCCAAGTGCAAGCTGGATCTTTACTGAAGCGTGGATTGAACTGCCTTTGTTCAATTGATCAACTGTAGTTTGGCCAAATCACAATGGCTTGAATGGAGCACAAAGGCCGAAAAAGGCACTTGAAGGTGCTAAGTTAGGGAGCGAGATAACTCCAGCGTTTTTGTTGATTGGGTATCTTTATTGTAGGTCATAATGACCTAGGTATCTTGGGCCACGCAGCCTGTTACTATTGTCCATTATCTAGCGTTTCGGGATCTGATTCTTGCTGGTCCAAGTCCTCTTCGAATCTCATCTAGCTCTTGCACTCCGGTCTGATCTTTGCCCCTCTTTACATGTCTCTTGCCTTTTACGGAGTGGTTTCCAAGGAACTCATCGAGGATGCCATCAAAGTCCGATCGAAGTGGACCTTGAACACTAGACATAGAAGAGAGACCTGAAATACCCGAGACACCTGAAATCATGGACCCTTCATCATCAAAATCGGGCTGGTACTCTTCCTCGATCTTATCGAATCTGGCATCAAGGATCGACATCTGCTCCGTTCTTACGAGCGAGGATGAAGTCATGGAGTAGCCGGATTCGCTTGTCAAGGCACCCTTTCTCTTCTTGCGCCTGCCTCCATTCGTTGTGGTTGTCCATATAGAGGACTGCATCTCTGAACGAGCCGGCACAACCGGCTTTTTGTCTGATTTTTGGTCCTTCTTGAATTTTTTGAAATCCTCCAACCAGTCTTGTGATGGTCCTTCCGCAGGTTGGCTTGACGTATCCACCAGGTCTGGTACGTCGTCGTCCTTGAACTCTTTGATCGGTTTCGCAGTGTCGTCCGACTCCCAGCCATCATCGTCGTCGTCGAAATAGGTATCTTCAAACTCATGGTCATTGAGTTCCTGCCCATCCTTCGCTAGAGCCTGGAAAATATCTTCGTCATCGTCCACATACGCCTCATCCTCTAACGCCTCGAGGACCTCTCGGAGACGCGGGTCCATGTCAGGCTGAAATCCAGCGATAGCATCCGGCACATCTTGTTGGGACTGATAAGTTTGTCGCTGCAGGTTCTTGGATGGGAGGATCTCCTCATCCAGCAGATCGCCTGACTTCTGCTCTATCTCCAGCTGTTGCAACGCCTCCTCCAGCGACTGCTTCTGTTTGCCTTTTCCCTTGTTCTGAGTTGCTGTGGATTCGACAAATACTACATCACCACCTCCGCCGGATCCTAGATCCCTCATGTGTTGCATATAGTCATACTCTGTGTCGTCGTAGTAGATGCCGTAGTTCGCCGCCTCGCCCTCGTTCTCCCGAATACTGGCAGCATCAGATCCGAGCTCCGACGCTAGGTCATCCAACTTCTTGACTTTTGATCCATTTGGGTTCTGAACTGGATTTAGGACCATAGACGGTGCCGATTCATCATGAATAAGAGGGTCATTCTGCGGACGGTGCACCAGCGTAAAGTGCTGGGCAGTTCTCTTGTCGCTGCGGTTCTCCTGTCAGTACCAACTCTTAATGGAGAGTAGATCTGTCTTACATCCACTTTCTCCGGGGCATTTTGAGCCAGTCTCACAACAGAGCTATGAAAATTTACTCGATTGTGGTGTGGGATAATTGTGAAGACGACGTTTAGGCGTTGATGGTTTTCGTGACCACGACAAGAATTATGCTGCAGGATAAAAAAGTTTTGGCGGGGCGCACCTGGGCACAGTGACATGGACGATATCTGTTAGCTAGAAACCTTTTTCAACAACTAAAGCACAATATGAAAGAAGTATCTCACTAGCGTGCCAGTTATCTTATCGGTGTTTTTATTGGCGGGGTTTGCAGGTGGTTTTCTCATTCTCTCTATATCGAAATTTTGCCCCGCCATTATTCAGCGGGAAGTTGGAATATTATTTCCTTTCCTGCGACCTCACTCTACAACTCTCCGTTCTTTAAGAAAGGGGATCCCATATCCGGTCGCCGACCGTTACTCGCATTTCAATCAAGAGTTCGCTCGAAGAGAGCAACAGTCACGATGCCGCAAGCAAAGTCCAAGAATGCCGTTGGGCTCGGCAACACGCTGATGAATGACCGGTTTGGTAAGGGCAAAGGCTCAGATAGAAAACGAGGACAACAAGGAGTCACCAGAATCAATCATGCAACTGGAGAAGAATATATCACGAACTCAAAGGAAGAGGCAGCATGGGTCAAAATGCGCTCCGTTACGGAGCAGGGCGCCCTCGACGAGTTTCTGGCGACGGCGGAGCTGGCAGGCACAGACTTCACAGCGGAGAAGATGAACAACGTCAAGATCATCCATACCGACCAGAAGAATCCTTATCTTCTTTCTGCCACAGAAGAGAGGAACACGCTGAGGAAACACAAGGAAAATAAGGGGAGGCTGACTGTCCCGCGACGACCGCACTGGGATGCTTCCACTACGCCGGCCGAATTGGATGTCCTGGAGCGAGAGAGCTTTTTGAATTGGCGTAGAGGATTAGCAGAGCTTCAGGAGAACAACGACTTGCTTATGACACCATTTGAGCGGAATTTGGAGGTTTGGAGACAATTATGGCGAGTTATTGAGAGGTCAGACCTGATCGTCCAGATCGTTGATGCTCGAAACCCCCTCCTCTTTCGTTCAGAGGACTTGGAGTTATACGTGAAAGACGTCGATAAACGAAAGGAGAATCTCTTACTCATCAACAAAGCTGATATGATGACGTACAAGCAACGCAGGGCTTGGGCCTCCTACCTGAAGGGTGCCAAGATCGCGTACAGATTTTTCTCTGCAAGTATGGCGAAAGAGCTGAACGAGTCCAAGTTGGATGCAGAGGGGGAGGTTGATGGTCAGAGTGATGGTTCCAGGCCAGCAAAAGACGAGGATAAGGATGTCTCGGACGAAGAGGACGAGGAAGAAGGCGACAGCGAAGCAGAGCATGACGCAGAGGAGGACAAGGACGATGTGGACACTAGGATATTGACAGTCGAGGAGCTGGAGGATATCTTCTTGCAGCATGCGCCGGACAGTCAGGACCCGGATCAGAAACTCACTATTGGTCTTGTTGGTTATCCTAATGTCGGCAAGTCCTCGACCATCAACGCACTCATCGGAGCTAAAAAGGTCTCCGTCTCATCAACGCCCGGAAAGACAAAGCACTTCCAGACTATCCACCTCAGTGATAAGGTTGTGCTTTGTGACTGTCCTGGATTGGTCTTTCCTAATTTTGCAACTACAAAAGCGGATCTTGTGTGCAACGGTGTGCTCCCGATCGACCAGCTACGAGAATTCAGCGGCCCAGCTGCTCTGGTTACCAAGAGGATACCACAAAGCTTCTTAGAAGCTCTGTATGGTATCACAATCAACATACGGCCCTTGGAGGAGGGAGGTACCGGTACTCCGACGGGATCTGAGCTTTTAAAGGCCTATGCTCGAGCAAGAGGCTTCGCAACACAGGGACAAGGCAATCCGGATGAATCAAGGGCAGCAAGATATATCTTGAAGGATTACGTGAACGGAAAGCTCCTCTACTGTGAACCGCCCCCAGGCGATCTCGACGCGAGGGAGTTCAATAGCGAGCTGTACGACCCCTCTCACCTTACCGGAAAGAGACGGCTTGCCCTAGCTGCGGCTATGGAGGCTATGTCGGTCGCTGAAGACGATGGCGAGTCTATGGCAGATCCCGACTTCATTCCTCTACCCGCCACTGGGTCGAAATCCCAGAAGCTAGATAAGACCTTCTTTGGACCGGGGAGTGGGAGTGCAGGGCATGTGGCCAGGCCGTTCAGCTACAAGTATTCTCAGCAAGGTCAAGAGGCGGCGAGGAAACAGCTCACCGGGCGGAAGGCGAGAGCGATGATTGCCTTGGAAAACGACATCGATCCGAAGGATGTGCAGATGAACTTGTCCGGGAAGAAGCATTTCAAAGGCGGCCAAAAGGGGAAAGGAAAACGTCGCGCCAATAAGGCCGACGACGATAATTAGACGAGCTTATGGTACACCTTTATGTAGTCTGGCGAAGCAGTAGGGCTTATTCATCAAGCTACTTTCAGGCCCCCAACATGGGCCGCATCTAGTTGCTGCTTAAATCGACTACCTAAAATATATTTTTGATGTTGTTACTCTAGGCCCGATAGAGGCTCAACAACGTGACTGGCGTAGTAGTCTCTAACCAACAAGTCTTCTAGCCAATGATCACAGGACATTTTACAGCGGCTTCTAGGATTGAGGATAACGGAAGTGCTATACCTGCACACGTATCACACGTGTTGATGCATAGGATTCCCGTTGTTCTCGATTACCTGCCAGCGAATATGTTTGTTTCATGTAACGACTTTCTTGCATCACGATTGCTCTATCTGTAGACCTGAGCTCTCCAATGGCTCATGAGGATGCTCATTGTAGCAATGCGTGACGTATGCACGTCTGCCAAGGTTGGCGGAGAGATGCTGCATAACACGGCTATTAAGGAACCTCATGACCTATGGCGATCCATCTGTTCATGGCGGAACGCCGCAACAGTAGAGCCTCCTCGGCCCGTCGAAGCACATGAGAAAGCGGAGCACAGCTCCGAGGGGGGCGGAAAATTCGACAGACAGATAAGACCTGTGGCGGTGCACTGCCCCTAGGGCTTCCAGTCGAGAATCAAGAAAGCCCAATTGCGACAGCATCGCGAAAGGAGGATCTGTTTCGCACTTGCCTGCTAGCAGTCGATTGCTGATCGCTCTGCACTTTGCGGGGTACCTACCTACAGTAGGTACTACCATACCACCCACGCAGTAGGGAGGCGAGATGCGTGCTGGCGCCGCCCGCTTTGTAAGGCATAATAAAACTTAAGGTATAGGCCCCCTCGCTTCCTATCTGCCACATCTGGCGGTAGTGATAACAAGCCGAGAGGCTCTCGTGGCTCCTCGGCCCCCTACAGCATCCCGTTCGCCGGCGCGTGGCGATTGCTATCTTTAAACCGCGCTCAATGCACGATCCGGGATCAGAGGGTCGTCACAAGGTGGCATCGTGCGGTCTGCGAGCCCGTTTTGGGAGATGCGGTGTACAGATGTCAACGACGACGGCTGCAGGTGTCAACGCCGCCGCCTTACCTCGTCGAGCTTCTTGGGAAAAGGCCTACTGCGTAGGTACGGTGGCAAAAGGAAGGCATGAGGCTGGCGGATCGCTAGTTGACGTCCATGATGCATGAGAGGGGCGTTGAGAAACGAAACGGGATCAGACGGTGCCCCAAGCTACCATGTAGCAGATACGCTTGTAGGAGATAGCGGACGATCTGGGCGTGAGAGCCACCACCTGCACCAGGACAAACAAGCCTGCGACAAGGTTGCATCTGCGACCAACGGGCAGCCGAGACGCCATCATCGTTGAAGCTCCTCCTGGCAGTTTTCTTGTGAAACGGTCGGTCTCATTGGATGAAGAGTTTGGATGGTGTCCCCCTCCCCTCCTCTTCCAGATTCAGTTGTTTGTTTCCCGCCTGTAGGTGTGTCCCAGCATCTACCTACCTGCCTACCGACTCTGTACTATAAACAATGGAGTTGGTTGTGCCGCGACACGCAAGCTGACCCAGCCGGGGCGAGTCAGATAGCGCTGGGCTGACTCGGGTTAGCGATCCATGAGTGCTGAAAAAGATCGAACCGGCGGGCTGAGAAAGGGGGGTTTCGACGTTTTAGCTTGAGCACAGTGCTGCGGTAGCAGCTAACGGCAGGCCCGGTCGGCACCGTTGCGTTTAGAAGGAGCCATCCGCGCGGACCTGACCTTGCCAAACGAGGTAATTGCTTTAATCAACGGCGGTTCTTTTAGCACAAGCTTCTCCTGAAGAAGCTCCGGGCGGGAAGAGGATCTTGAGTAGCGTACCTACATGTAGGTACTGTATCTAGAGGTCACTGCACAGTACGGTACCTGATTGTTAATTATCATTATGGGGGGAAATTTGGCCGCGTTAGCAGAATTAGCAGGACTGGGCCAGGGGGCGATGATAATGTCGAATGGGAGGGGGGCCGCTCATTTGCGGATTCATTGACAAGCCTGCAAATGGAAAACTTGAATGGACGCTCAGTGACGTTGTGGCCAGGGTTCTTCCATGCAGGACCAACGGTAGAGCACGGATTTGATAGCCAGGACTTGAAGATACTATCGACCTCGTGCGTAAGATGAAGTATCTCGCTATCACCGGCACATCCATCCCATGGTCCCCCAGCCCACCCGCTGCAGCGTCACAGGAGGCAGGCACCCTGCCAGCCTGCCCTGCCCCTGCCCTGGATCGTGCCTGCCACTTTCTCTTCCATTGTCTCTCGGTCTGTCTCTTTGCCTCTCCCACTCTCCGCAGCCACCAAGATTAGCTACCTCAATTGCCCCCTTTCCGTGGCCCGCCCACTCACAGGTGCCAATTAATTGGAAGAATCCAATGATTCTAGCTGCTCATCCTGCAACCACGACCACGACGCAGAAGACCGGAGGAGCAGCCCCCCCAAAATCGCCCAGCCCAACCAGCAGCCCTCCCCGGGATGGCCTGTTCCCCAATCTCTAATATCACTGGAAATTGATCTTCCATCTCGCTCTCCACAACCTTCAACGACATCATCGTCCTCCTTCCTCCTCTTCTCCTCTCCTCTCGTCTTTCGTGAACAAACAAAATCAAAAGAAAAATCAATCACTCGTTATTTGGTTTTCCATTCCCACCGGCAAGCGCACACACTGCGAGAATCATCCGTTTGCATCCTGTGGACCGGACGGACTATTTGTTCTCTCGTATTTCCTCTGCATGGCACGGCGGATGACGACTAGCAGCTAACGTTACCTTTTGTCTTGCCCGCTGAGAACAAAGGGCGCCAAAAACCAACACGGACGGCGTCTGAGAAGGATCGCAGCGCACTGCCTCACTTAAAGATTCCAGTCGGACTCGACCTAGAACACAGGGGCATTCCTCAACACCACGCCAACCCAGGAGACCCTTCTCCCACTCTCACCTCCCCCGCGACGACCCTGATCTGATCGGCTCTGAAAGCTGATCGCGACACGTTTTGTCCCCCCTTGGATCGCTCTTCCTTTCGTTTTTTTGCTCTTTTTTTAATCCAACCCCCTTGCCTCGCAATCGCTCCCCCACGATAGGCTACCTGGATCGAATTCTCTAAACCTTCGTTCTTTGTCATCGACCTTTCACCAACCCCTGACGCATCGAGACCGCGTTTTTTTTTTTTGCTCAGCAACCCAGTGAACGGACGTGTTGGACGCCGCAGAACAGTCGCCCAGGATGGCGTCCTCGTAAGTGCATGATTTGACGCGCCTCCATGCATTACCAGAACGTCAATACTGACCGTGTCCATCTATATTAGCTTCGGCTCAGCTTTCCGTTCGTTCTGGCACACGATGACCAGCTATGACCGACGTATGTCTTGGCAACCTGACAGCTTTCCGGGCGATCAAAACTGACTTCACTGCTAGATTCTACCTACGATTCACCGTACCGAACAGGCCGACATGTCCCCCTTGGCCAGGGAGGAAGGATGGGTGTTCTCACCTCAGTCGCGACGGCATCGGAATCAAGAGCCGACATCACCTCGCCCTACACAGACGAGACCGGGAGGTTCTCTTCATCTGCATTAGACAACAATGCAACCGCGTATCAAGGTGCGGGTGGTTCTCCCGTGCTGCCGATGAGCCCTGGTTCGGGCAGACCTTACTCCCCCGGTCTGCGTTCTCTGAATGCCCGCTCCAACACGAATGACGGCTTCGAGACGCATAGTCCTGCTGGTGAAATTCCAATGCAGTCCTTTCAAGATGGCCTCCCTCCTCCGCCACCCGTGAGCCACACCTGGAGCCGTATCGATGCATGGTGCGAAGAGAACTACCCAGAGCTTTTTGACCAATTAGGCGAAGGATGCACCGTTAACGACATCAACGAGCTGGAGCACCAACTTGACTGCTCTTTACCTCAGGATGTTAGGGAGTCTTGGCAGGTACATGACGGACAAGAAATCGGCGGCATTCCCACGGGTATCATCTTTGGATCCATGTTGCTCGACTGCGAAGAAATTGTCCGCGAATGGGACCAGTGGCGGAGAGTGAATCAGGAGTTCCTCCTGGAGACAAATGTGGTGAAGCCCGCGGTGCCGTCGAAAGCATTTGGCGGGAGTAACGAGGCTTCGTCTTCAAAGGCCGCTCCAAGTCCGACCTCGCCCAATAACCCTCATTGGAGACAAGACCTCCTCGCCCGCCAGGACTGCGTGCCCCCGAACGCCATTCAAAAAGCCTACGCTCACCCAGGCTGGGTTCCTTTGGTTCGCGACTGGGGCGGTAATAATCTGGCTGTGGACCTGGCGCCTGGTCCCGCTGGCCATTGGGGTCAGATCATCATGTTTGGTCGAGACTACGATACCAAGTACGTGGTTGCCCGCTCGTGGGCGGCCTTCGTAGCTCTGGTCGCGGATGACTTGAACAGCGGTAAATGGTTCATTGATGAGGACACCAATGAGCTGAAACTGCGTGAGTTTAAGGCAACTCGTGTCGAGCCAGCTTACTTCGATATTCTGCGATGGCGAATGGATCAGAAGTACGGTCGCCGCGCTGCCAAGAGGAGATCCATGGCTCCTGGCGGCGCCTCCTCTCCTACCGGCTCCGCATCACCGTATGCCAGTCCGACCGAACCGGGCGGCGAGATTCGTGGTCGACAACTGCAACGTCTGAGCAACAGCTCTCCCTTGGCCAGCCCTAACCGCCCTGGCTACGGTAAACCCAGCCCGCTTGCCCGAGTCACCGAGGAAATAGCGATTCCGGAAGCTGCTCTGTCAAATGGCGTGAAGAAGCCTGAAAAGTTGGTAGAAGTTGAGACCCCACGACCAAGTGAGGATGGAGTGAAGGCGCCAAGGCTTGCGTTGCTGACCAAGCGGGAGTCTGGCCTGAATGGTCAACTTGTGGCATCCGATGATGGCGAGGCTCTTTCTCCCAAGGCGAATGGCAAGAAACCTATCACCATCGAGGAGGCCATGAAGGAAATTGAGATCTGAAACGCTCCGACAATGAAATAACGACATCTCTAAAGGTTCTGAAAAGCATTACTACAACACCAGGAGCGGATCGGCGTTTGTGGCGTCTTTTTTTACGGTCTCATAGAAAGTCGACAAGTGGCAGCCTGTGTTTCTGGCATTCATTCATCATCAGTACTCTTGCCTCGTGACGAACCGTCTCCTGGCCAAGTTGGACATTCCGCGCAAATACTGATTCTGGGGACATAGCCTACCTTCGTGACCATGGTCAGCCAGTCGATTTCAACGTTTCTCTCTTGTATGACTAGATCATTGGATTCTGTTTCCACTTCGCTAGCGGGAGACTTTACAAGACTTCCCGGCAAGTCATTTTCACTGGAAAGGCTACACTTTATGCCACCGCATTTTCATATTACATGCGAGTGGCCTTGTCTGTATAATATGGCGGAAGGGGACGACAGGCTGATGGCACACTTATCTGCATGAAAAGACTCAATAATTGCATTCTACAACAACCCTGCACCTACCCTACGGGGATCGTTGGTTTCAACACTTGGAGTTGAGGTTGAGTTACCCTTCACGGCGTTCTGGATGGCACAGATCCATTGTTCTGTTAGTCCGGCATACATGCACTGAGAGACAGCAGCATCGGAAAGAAACGAGAGGCGGGCGCGGTCTATAGCTTTTGTCTTAGTAGGGGCACATCAATGCAAGGTGGATGCTTGGAACTATTTGAATACTGATGAGTGACTTGTTTCCTTGTAGCTGTTCCGTGACCATAAAGCGAAATTGAGACCTCGAATCTGGTATTCGCAATAAAGCAAGCCACACCGAAATCCCAGAATATCACTTGTAGATTGAACTACACAATCACTACCATATGAATTGGTATCTGAGATCCAGGTCTCAAATGGAGGTCACGTGCCGAGCTCGCGAGGCTTAACCAGGTGGGTTAGCTCCAGCTAAGCCAGCTCAGACGTCGTCATCTTCAGCCTCCCAGACCTGATACAACGAACACCGCAACCTACCACGAACATCACCGCTGCTTGGTGCCTCCTTTCTCCGTCTTATTTGTTCGCTTGGAAATCTCTCTTGTCAACTATATCGAAACGAGGTGAAAAATCTACCTCTAGATATCCCCCACCTCAGACATTCCCTCTTGGATCAACCCTATCGAGACAATGTCGGAGGAGCGTCTCTGGAAGTTCTCGAAGCCAGAATGGCTGAATAGCGCATGGGCGCGCAACGCAGGTGTCTACGGAGCTGGTGGTCTGGTATGTTTTGATCTATCTTAGATTTCCTTTCCCAGCCGGCTGTAGGCAGTCTAGACGGCCAAACCAGGAAGCCTTGCTTCTTGTCCATGGGATCCCTCATGCTTCTAGCCCAACGTCTCCGATCTCCAGCAGGTCAAAACTAACACCACCCCTCACATAGTACTCGCTAGCCTTCTACTGCCTCCTCGACGCCGCCGTGTGGTCAAAGTCCGGGCGCAACGGCTCCGACGTGCACGTCAACTTCATCGACTGGCTGCCGCTCATCTTCAGCAGCCTGGGAATGTTGATCATCAACAGCGTGGAGAAGACGCGGCTGTCGGCCGACTCGTTCAGCTACTCCGGGTCCGGAGTCGCCTGGAAGGCGCGCGTGGTGCTGTTCCTAGGCTTCGCGGCGCTGGCCGGTGGCATGGCCGGCGGCGTCACCGTGTTCGTGCTCAAGTTCGTCGTCCCCCACGTCGACTGGCCCATGATGGGCATGGGCGTCGAAAACGTTGTTGCCAACGCCCTGGTCGGCCTGAGCAGCGTCGTGTTGTGGATCAGCCAGAACATGGAGGACGAGTACTCATACAACCTGGCCCTGTGAGGGTAAAGAGGACGATGGGGGCGAGGGACGATAGATTGGCGGAAGAACGAGGGACGGCTCTGGGCAGCCAACCGGAGTGTACTCAGATTCGGCTAGCGAAAGGGTGTTGGGTTGGGCGGACGGTTGTTGCTTCGAGGGTCGTTGAGAAACGGTAGCCCGGCGCATCTTGGACAGGCTTAACCGCACTTTTCTTGCATCTTTGTATCAATAGGTGTTTACAGCGACAAGCAATGCATTATCAATATCAAAGTCAAAATCAGAGTTGCATTACGTGGCGGGCTTTCCTCCCCGTCGGAGGAAGATTCTACCAAGTATATTATCACGACTCTCTAGTAAGGACGGAGTATCTAAATTCAAAGCTACCACGACAGACAGCCATCCAGCGGTCATGTCAAAGGCATGTAACATTTGTTTCGGATGCTTGTCGAGCCCTCCTGACATTCAGCACAGTTCATATGAGACCTATTCGGGCTGCACTAGGTAAATCAGCTTGGGCCAGGCATTCCGGTAGCAAGTGTCCGCTTGACTATGGGATGATGGCTGGAGAATACCAGTGGCTCAAGTAGTCAACGTGAAGGGACTACAATGATTTTGGTACAATCATACCTAACAAGATCACCCTGGTTCAACAGCTATTTGGTATCAGAGCGAGCAAGTATCAACCTTTGATGTTGTTAGAGCCTCAAATCTATAGACCGTACTAATTGTACATACAGTAAGACTGAAACCCTCTTCCTTTTTCAGTCACAGTATTCAGTATCACAAAGTTCTGGTCTCAAAGTGCGTCCTCAATAAGTTATGATATAGTTCATATTCTATCCTGGACTCCATAGAAAATAAAATACGTCACGAGTCGAAATCAAAGACCAATGACTAACATATCTACGGGATGGTCTAGGGGTTTCGTAAAGGAATACGGGCTCATGTATCTTTGGCATGCGTGGCCTGATTGTGGTGTTTGCAGCTGCAGATTTACCAAAAGACGGCACATCGAAAGCTACGAAGACGGAGGTAACAACGGCAGAGACAGCCGACAGAACCCGCTCTAGACGAGGCAAGCGCTGGGAAGAAAAGCCATTTCGCACCAGCCGCAGCCAGTATTGGCCTAGTCACACCACTATGCAGCGGTTGCGGTACCCGTCGTTGCTTTTTCCTGTTGAGGACCGGGATGAATCCGCGAGGATAAGACCACACGGCCGGCCATCATCGTGAAGGCTGGCGAGCAGAAGCATATCTGCAGTTGAGAAAAGACGCACGTGGTAAGGAATGACCTTGCACATTAAACCCTGCCCCGTCTGGATGTGTCTGTACTACCATGCTTGCAGCACCCGGCTATTCTGGGAGCAGCATGGCGTAGTTTCCGCGGCCAATCAACGATCAACAGGTTGTTGAATGCACTTGAGCAACGTGTGGCTCTCTAAGTGTTGCCTAGGACCTTGTGTTGCGGTGACTGGTAATGGTGTGCAAGTGAAGTGAGAACTGACTTCGATGTCTCGTCACTCGGGCAAAGGGCGTTGAAGAATCAAAAATATACGGTGTGCTCGGTGAATCATTCACCTCCAATTTTCCACGTTCGCCTCGTCCCGACCCTTCTCACATAAGAGGAGCGAGTCAGAGGAGGCAACCAGGATCGCAAACCGGTGAACTGCACGGGACCCGACGTTTCGACGGCTATGCAGCCAGCCCAATGGGGACATGTGGCACAACTCAACCCAGCAGGTCCTGTCGATCGTAAGCTGAAGAGTCTGTCATTGTCTCTCAACTTGCATAAGTCCCTCGTAAAGAAAAGACATTCTGATGAGTAAAGCGAAAGTCTAAGAGGTCCGGGAAGGGCATATTGCGAGATAAGGTAGGGCCGATAAACCCAATCCATAGCTTAGCATCTGTGCAATAAGCTCATGGCTCTGGATGGCTGAGGGCTGCGCCGTCAGATGACGGAAATGATGCCTTGGATGCATCATGGAATTTGGCATTATGGGATTGGAGTGGTCATAAATGACAGAATTGGGGAGGAGACTTCTAAGGAGGTTTGGCCTGGCTGATGCAAGTAAGAGGTAACTCTACCCCGCCGGGCAGATTGAGTGCCTGAAAGAAGCTTATCAATGTGGTAGATAGGATGACCACGGCTTGCATATTGACGATAGTTTTTTTTTTTTTTTGGAGACACGTTCAATGGAAGTTAAAGATCGTCGGTTCTCGCTTCTGCACCCAGGCTGATCTGAAATCACACTCACGATGGATCGGGAGAAACGGCAAGCTGGTCAAGTATTTTGGAACCTCTCAAGTAACAGTCAAAACACCCCCGTCATTGACCCCTCTTCCAAACCTACATGTAAGATAATGACAGGGGGAGCTTCAGTTGGCCCAAGCTCCTAGCATCCTGGCGTCTTGTTCGCCTCACTTTCAAAGACAGACCAGGCTTTCGAGGCTCAATGTTTCCATTAGCGATGGTGATGGCTCCTGAAAATTGCTGAATTCGATCGTTTGAAGTCACTTTCTAGATGCGATAGACAATGAGCTTACTTTAAGAAAGCCTGACTGTAGTTGTGACTTGGGCATGTTAGGTGAGGAGGCTTACACGGTTGAAGTGATCCCTCTGCCGGGAGCTAGTGTCCGACTCCCCTCCTTCTCAAGCCAATAGCTTCCCTATCGTGCTCTGGGCGAATGAACAGAGTTCTTGACGCATGCAGCCTGGAAACCCAAGCATGATCACGAGATGTTTGAGATTGGCGGAATGTGGTCCCGGCCATCCTGTTTGAAGCACGATGGCGGATCCCATCTCATCCTACATGAAATGATCACGGGAAATAGACCTCATTGTTTCGGAGATCTGAGGCTTATCAATTCATTTTTAGACGTCGTAAATAGACGGTAAGTATAGGAGTTCACATTATTTAAACACCAACAGAAAGGGTATGACTGGGATATGAGAACCGATGAGTGATGTGTGCAGATAAAGGGGAAGAATGAGCATAGAAAAAAGACCATGATGAGGTGGTGGTCTAACCTTTCAAAATCTAAGATGCCTCTCGATCTTTTCTTTATTTTTATCCAATCCTATGAATGATAGTTCCGAAACTTGGGATAATAAACCTCGGGCAGATCTTCCTCACAGAAACTTTTCAATAGACTGTACTTTATGGTTGTTGTCTTAGATATTCAACACCCCGCCTTCACCGAGTATGTTAGCGGGCTGGTAGTGAGACATACTTACGGCGTGGCCGCTCACCGGCAGCTCGGTCGTTATCTTGACGCATTTCTTTTGTTTGTTCCATCTTCATCGTGGTGAGATATTGACACATGGATTGGCAATCACATGTCGCAAGGTCTAGATGCTGCAGCTCATAAGCAGGGGCGATGCTGCCACGATGACCTAGCAGCAAGCACCAAACCGTGTGACCATCTCACAGCATCTGCGCCGGGCCTGTGCTTTAGATGATATGGCGAGCCCTGGCCCGATGTACAACATGTCGGTTATATCCGGCTGCTTGCTGCGAGTGCGCAGTATGATAGTTCATGTAGGTACAGAGTTTCATGTCAAGTTGTGTTTGGTGGGCTGGGGCCTTCGTCTGCGAGATCTGGAAGCTGACGCGCCGACCGTGAAAGGATTATCCTGAAGCAATGGCATGCACCGGAACCTCCAACCAACGCCCAAGTTCAAACATTGTACATATATGGAAGTAAACGTTCCAACGGGCTTCCGGGCGTATTAAGAAAATTGGCGGATACCAGGGTCATGCGGCGAACATGGAATAAATAAACGAATCTCCGATGTCTGTGCTCCGCCATGGATGATGGCTGGTAGATATGTCGGTAAAGGGGATGATTACGCACGCTCTTCGCAGTACTCGTCCGCCAGGGTGATATGTTACTTTGACAAGAGTATTATTACCTCCTCAACGGGGGATTACTGCACTTGTAGAAGTCAATAGACTTAGTAATGAACTGTATCTTCGATATCTCGTTGAGTATCATGGCTTTTAACATTTGGTATCCTCACCCTTTAAAAATCAAAGCTTATTGCCCTGGCGAAAGAGTAAATCTCACTGGATTCTCCAAAGGACAGGGTAACCCAACATCGCACGAATTTGACAGGCCTAGCTACTGCGTGTGCAATAGGGGACCGCAGAACAGCCTCGTGACAGAGATTACCCACCAAATTCATGCACGCTGCCAGTTTAGTTGGTGGTTTTGGTGACATTCGTACCCTGCTTCATTCCTTTGGATCATCTCATGGTGGTCCATCACAACACACATGCCCAAGGCCCGAAATGGTACAGATCCGATGATGCATTGATAAACCTCTGGTCCATGGCCGGCTGCGGCAGTTTCGACGTTCTGCAAGCCCAATGATCCAGCGTCCGTCAAACCGCTTGCCGCGCGCTGGCTCGTTTCGATATTGCTCCCAAAACCTCCTATAGGTACCTGTGGTGAGATCTAGTAAGGCTCCTGGCCCAACATGAACCTAAAGCCGTGATTAGCGTGGCTTCTGAGAGGTCATGAGACCTCTCATTGCTCCAGAAACAGGCCAAGGATCCCTGAGGTGCTCTTGCAGAGCCAGGTACCACAGGTACCGATGCACCATCGCAATGTGTTTGATCCTGGTGATTGGGTGCCGGGCAAAGTCAATTGATGCAATGTGCGGAATGTGTACCACCATTTCTCACGGCATCCGGACTAATGATGATGGCTGTTGGCCACGGCAGACCGTCTAGTTGCGGGACTCGAAAGAAGCTGTGGTCGTCGAGGGAGCAGTGCAGAGAGCATCCTGGTATTGTCCATTGCCCTATTGCTTACCCTGCCTCCAGCTTGCCTACCCGAATCCAAGCAGGAGCTGCAGATTGGATCGCTGAGTTTAGGCGTGTCAGGGAGTGAGTCCATCTACCTATGCCAGCTTGTGATCTTATCTTATCCTCCAAGATAGAACGGCTGCTCGGGAGAGCTGTCTGGTCTCTCCACCTAACGATCACATCTCCCTCCCTGCCAGTCTTTTCTCTCTC